TCTCTTCGTCTTAAGCAGAGAAAATCTAAATTCCCTTTTTCTGGATCAAAAGCAGTTGGGAATATCGTCCGGTAGTCTTATTCGAGACACTTTGAATAGCGAAAAGTTGATTCCTTATTTTGTTACTGCGGTCAGGTCTTTGTGACTTCCAAGTGTCAAGAATACAGTCTTGCATCGTAAAATGACGCCTTCAAAGCTGGTTAACAATTTACATATACATATTTGATACATAAAGAAAGTATAGAAAGAATCTCAATGGTATGCATCTAATGGATGATAGGTGATATATTGTATAATATTGTTCTTGTTACAAGCTCAGGCTGCGTCCAATAGCTAATATCGTCGGATGGCCTTATTTTGAGAAGTTTCAACATTGGACAGGTATACTATAAGGTTGAGGCTATCATCGACTTTATACAGTGTATAAAAATGAAACGGAGGTAGATTAGCGATAAATTACTACGCTAGACTTCAATTTGACACTTCCTTTGACATTAATTGTTCACTTGGAAAGAAATACAACTGTGTATACCATTAGAGACAGATAAGGTGATGACCTGTAGATTTTTACTTTAGCTAAGAGCTTCAAGAATACCATTTTATCAAATAAAGACCTGAGGATGCCTGGTATGGAGTATGATTCTAGGTATGACAGTAACACCAATACTAAGAACCAGGAGAAGGCACAAAGCTTTCCACTTCTCCGAGACAGCCTCCATGGTCACCAGCTCATAGTAGGCATTGTTGAAGTGCTTGAGGAAGAGAGCGCCACAGAAGGGACAGATTCGCGGCCTATCGTTTCCTTCATCGTCAAGACCTCGTTGTCGATGGTTGCTTTATGGTTGAAAGTCGAGGAAGCTCTGTAGAAAAGGGTGCTGTCCCAATAATTTAGTCGCAAGACGATCAAAGCTCATAAACTGTTTAATGCAGGTGAATTTCGTTTTAGATGAAGATATTTTTTGTTAGAATGAATTATTGAACACGCTGAGCTCAATTTGCATCCGGAAACACCACCCACCCCTTCGAAAGACATATTCACTGAAATTTCTTCATTCCGATTCACTCTATTATGATTGTCGTCTTCAAGGCTAAGTAAAGCCCCTCTTGGGGCTCTTTTGTCAGCCCACTCACTTCATAATGAATTTGTACTGACCTTTTTGTGCAAGGTGCTGGGATAGTAACATCGTATTGCGAGCGGATTATTAGGAATCACGCACACAGCGCAGATAATTCTATACAAGTTGCTCGTCGGTTTAATCCTTTCGACTTCTCAAACGCCATATCTGAGCATCACTATTTCGGCCATCCAGCGACTGTACGAGCTCGGAACTATATTCAGATACACTTAGGAGTGAGCTGGCGTAAGAAAATAAAGGCAATAGAACAATACTACTCCAACACCTTCGCAAACCAACACAGGAAATAGAAGCGAACCTCAATTGAACCAAGCAGTGCTTGAAGCCTGTCGTTCCCAGCTAGTCATATATGGAGAGATTCGACCATTATGAATCTCAAAAATATACTCTGGTCTCTGAATCGCAAAATTAAAACCCCTTCACATTTATTTTAGACAAGCGAATGTTCATTGTCATTGCCACAAAAAAATCCCCTTACTTTATTTTTAGTGAGATTTTACAAAATCGAGTCTGTATTTAGCACAGAGCACAAAGCATACGTAGAATAACGAAACATCGAAACAAAACAGTGTAACAACAGGTACGCATACATTTACCATGGATTGTCTAGTCTAGTCTAGCCCAACAGATATTTAAGAAGATCCCCAAGGACTGGGCATAAGCTATTCAAACTCTAGTTCTATGGTTGAAAGACGAATATAACGGTGATACATTAGAAGGAGCTCCTCGGATACTTAAAATCTGGTATAAAACTAGCTCCTTCAGCCTTCATGCCACGAGATCAAAGAGGAATCATCGACTTGGTTGATTACACTAGTCAGTTTAGCGAAACATAAATAGCCAATAACAACCATTATAAAGCCACAATTAAGGGAGGGATCAGAGCTAAGGAGAAATGGTTTAATCACAAATATGAGCGTATCAATGCTTGCGAAACTGATCATAAAGTATATCGATCCAATGCCATGTACATCATATATAGCCGGCAACCAAGATATCTTCATCGTTTGAACTCGCGAATACATATCAATGAATTCTTTAGGTGATCTAAGTATATAGCTAGGCTGCATCTAGTCTCGAATTTCCATAAAGTTTATGGGAAGTCTTTTGACTCATGTCGATAACTGTTGCAAGCTCTCTAGATTTTTTATTTTTATTTTACCTCACTTCGGCTTTTGAGCGAGATCATAAGTTTGTCTCGAGGTTGATGTAAATGGATTCCTTCTTTATCTAGCTAGCTACCTATCTATATCCTCGATGCGCGTTGTGCAATTGAGTGAAGAGTTAGGCCAGATTAGACTATTCGGGCTGGCAGGCGCAAGGTGGGGAGATGAGGTGAAAGTAAAGTAGTCATACCACCCAATCGAACTTCTTCCTGGTTTCTCGTATCCTCACAAGAATAAGATTTCTGCCACAAGCAAGTATGCCTTTTCATGAGCTACCTTTCTAGATAGATCTTTGCTGGCAGAGATAACATAGGAACTTGGGAAAGATGATTGTGGAACTGGTATGTGTTGAATTTTGTAATAGAACATTCATCTAATCATCCAATGAATGTTGTTGAGATGTGTGACACAAACACGCCGAACAAGCCTGGACCCAAACTCAAAATTCCAAATTCCAAACCTCAATTCACCGAGGCCCTTCAGGAGATACCCCGAGCTGTGTAATCAAAAAGCGTTGCGAAAAAGATAGTCTAGAAACTGGCGCTGATACTTACCACCGTTTTGCTATTCCATTACCCTAAATACCACCCACCGATGCTCCCAAATACAGCCTTCATGTGCTCCTCTACTTCACACACCTAGCCTAGAACAACTGAACGAGCAGCATAAACACAGCAAAGAAAACTTAATCTAACTATTCATGACATCTTTTGTGAAAGGCAACATCGATTAATGATATGGGATACAAAGTCCAGGGAAGTGGGAATGGAGTGTGAACGAAATGAATTAAAAGGCGTCACTGAAATTAGGTTCTTTGGGTAAGGACATGTTAAACATCTTATGTCATGAAGCGGGATATGGTCAAAACTGGGAATGAATGGAGAGTGTAATTGAGAAACACAATATCCAGGGAACTCTGCGACCGTTTGATGGGGGATGTCTTGATGTGGTTGTGAGCATATTGTATGTTTCGGATCGGAAAGACTGGAATCGAGCTTTGCGTGGAGATTCTGGTGTTTAGCAATATAGGAAGAAAGTAGTCAGAGGATAGTGACTGTTAGTGACAAGAGAAATAAAAGGGAAATAAGAAAACCACGATCAAGAATCCCCTCAGATCGATGCATTTCCGGTGGAACTGGTAGTATTATAAAAATGCTAGGTCTTTCGTAGGCCCAGAAAACCAAATGACTCCATTTGTCCATAAAAGAATCTCCCAAGCTTTGAAACTTGGCAGAATGTGAGTACATATGCATCACAAATATCGCACCGCATTGCACTAAGTTGGATATCCTTCCTACCATCGTTGTTTGTACCAGTCTTGTCATTGTAAATGCTATTGATCAAGATCACGCAGAAAGCCCATTTTGCTCATCCATGCTTGATTGAAAAATCTCCCCGAAACTTTCGAAGATTATTCGTTCATTTCGTTAACAACAACAACCCAATTTCCCTTCCATTGCACCGCGACAACCATGAACAAAACATTTAACGGCTAGTGTTCATTGGCTTTGGTGCCTTACCCTTGGAACCTTGCTTGCTGACTTTCGATTGGGTGGAGACATTGGTCTTTGCCTTTGTGGCCTTCTTGGCGGCTTGCTCTGCGGCACGCTTCTCCTTAGCGGCCTTGATGGCGGACTCACGAGCAGCGGATCTGGCTTCTGGTCTCTGGTTTCTTCGCTCCTTGATGACATCGAGGGAAGCACCGACGATGGCTCTTTGGGACTTGACGGTCTTGCGGGAACGCTTCTTGGCGACTTCCTATATGGTGAAAACTGCATCAGTATTTTTCTTCTCCCGAATATCCCATGATGTCATGTATTCCATCTCTATGTGAATTAAGTCGCGGAGTAGATTGAAATATCGTACCTCAGAGACACCCTTCTTGTGTTGTCTTCTGAAGAGGACGGTCCATGCAATTCGGCGAGGGTTCTTGCGTTGCAAGAACAAAGATTCGGATTTACCGTTTTGGAAACGGAAGATCTTGGAGTCTCCACGGATGTAGAGCTTGCCCTATACAGTTCCAAAAGTAATTAGCATTGAATTCTTCGATACGCAATCCTTATGCGCCTTTGATATAATTCCCAAATCTGCACAGTCGTAGCCCAACAATTTGCCTTCCTCCCCTTTCAATCCAATCATCCATTTGTCGACCACAATCCATAATCATTCAAAGGGGCAACACTCGTACCTTTCCAGGGTAGATCTTGGCTCCGGAGAAGGAATCTTCGTAAGTACGCATGATGTCGACGGTTTGGCGTGGTTGTCGTGTGTTTGCTGTTTCCTGCGGAGTCGTGGGCAGGAAATTCAATAAGATCGCAAAATACCGAATTCGTTAGACTCTTAATTTTTTGGTTTGCGATTTGCGTGCGAGCGCTAAGATCTCGCTAATTTGGCCCTAGTGAAATTGCTCTGAGCCTTGTCCGCAGCCTCGACATTATTGACAGCCTTGCTTTTTGAAGACGTTTATCTTGACTTCATGCAAATTCAACCCAATTTTAGGACAAGGGATAGAAAGTATGAGGACTCTTGCAATTTCATATCCTCCGTTAAAGTGTTCTGTCCACTACATAAAGGTATAGCAACTCGAAACTCAATATATCAATATCACGTGACCTACCTCAATCATCCACATCCTCGCGCTATTAAGAAGGTCCAACCTTTCCGTTCATAAGTTACAAGTCCATCATCAACGGCGACCATGACTCTCGTGAAGGTCCCGTTTACTCCCGAGCCTTACCCTCCTGGGTCCTCGGAAAGACTTGAAGGTATTACTCAGGAAAGTAGTCATTGCTGGACACCTTTATTTCAGCATAAATGTTCATTTCCACCGGAGATCTTTTCGCAAGTCATGCTGAATTTAATTCGAAATCCAAATATCAATTCCAACCATCTATTTCGAGCCGATATCTCTTTAGAGCAGCCATTCAATGAAAATTTCCAAAATGATGCTTCAATTCCTGCGAGGATTGTTCAGTTCCGCAACTATACTCTACAGAAAGTGATGGTAAGAACTATGATACCCAGGAACATTCTAAAAGATAAGCCACTCGATCAAACGTGTCTTTTCTATGCGAATACTACAGATACAGGGGAAGTTCAATCTCTGGTTATTTATCTCCCTCATATATCATCACCTGATGAATCGCCATTTTATCACCCTGGAGTTTACGGAATTGCTTTCCAGCACACATTCAATCCTGTCACACAGGATGCAAATATTGCAATACACTATGCATTCTTCGACTCCGAACCTCGTACTCAGAAACTTGAAAGAACAGCTGAACATCTACTAGCTGCTCTATACAAGCACGGGCAAGGAACTGCTGCAGGATATGTCAAAAAAGTCCATCATGACACTATCATACCCCAAGCTACTGTTCAGAATACTTATGCTCGTCTCAAGGCCAAATATGCAAAGACTTTGATTGAGAATTGGGCTGAAGCCACAGATCCTGAAAAGCATGTTTTCGAAGATCTGAACATTGCAGCGTTTCTCATTGAACTTTGGGCCGATACTTATAAAGATACCGAATTTCCAGGTTATGTTGACATTGGATGTGGAAATGGACTTCTTGTTCATATTTTATCCGAGGAAGGTTACAAAGGATGGGGATTTGATGCAAGAGAAAGGAAATCATGGAGTGTGTTCGGGCCAAAAACACGAGAGAAGTTACAAGAACTTGTTCTGATACCTTCAATTCTATATTCAGAGTCAAATGAAAATGAAACCTCGGGACCTGATGTCCATGACGGAAATTTCCCTAAAGGAACATTCATCATCTCAAATCACGCTGATGAGCTAACTCCATGGACACCTATCCTTGCGAACATTTCTCAATCACCATTTATGATGATTCCATGTTGTAGTCATGCTCTCAGTGGTGCAAGATGTCGGGCGCCACCACCCAAAGGATCTGGAGGTACACCCTCGGCATACGCTTCTCTTGTTGCATGGGTCGCGGGTCTCGCTGAAGGATGTGGATGGGAAGTGGAAAAGGAATGGCTACGAATACCGAGTACAAGAAATGCGGCTCTAATCGGACGAAGACGAAAACTAAATTACGAAAATGTCGACGTACGAGAGTTTGTTGAGGTAAATGGCGGAGCCGCAGGCTGGAAGGAGAACGCATTAAAGTTGGTGACGGGAAAGGCAAAGAATCATTGACGGTCATTTATGACATTTATTACACATCAATCCTTCCAAGCAGCACACCACACACAGACGGACTTCAAGTAACACATCGAAAGTACAACAAAAGATGCCGTTGATATGTGACATCATTTTTCTCTTGAGAATACTCAGAGGGACCCAACGTCATCTCACCATCCCTGGAAATGCTGTTACATATGCCCCTACATCCTGGCCCTTCGTCCTGAAACCGAAAATGCCACGGGTGACAAGGTCCTGCCATATGCGTAACAAATGTGGCCCTATTTCCAAAGTTCTTATAATTGCTCGCTAATTATGAGGTCATTCTATCGTTCCGAGGAACGCCATGAGATGCTGATATATGTATGCTCACATCTCCAAAATCAATCTCGTGAATGTCGTAAAGTACGAAGGTTGCGAGGTGGAGGTGAAATATGGAGGAATGCGTACGGGTGAAAGACTCGGATTGGAATAATAGGAAATGGGGGACGCTGGGTTTTTGGCTGCATCGAAATTGTCTCATCTTCCCTATCGAAATCAATACTAACGTATCAAACCCCACCATCTTTCATCGGTGTCGTTATTATTGAATAATTCACCAATTCTTTGGTCTTTACTGCCTGATTACAATTTTGAACATAACTTTCTACCTCTGTGTTGTATCCTACATACTCTTTCTGCTTCCCTACATAGCACCAAGAACCCACTGTTCTAGTTTTCCTTCAGATTCTGTTCTTGATACCTAGTCAATACTAACTTCATGATCCTGCAGTAGTGGAGATATCGTCTACGACAGAGAATGCAGACCCTTGCTCGTACCCAGAAATGGACGGGATACACCACCCTCATATAACATCTTTTCCACTCTAGCCGAGGAAGCAACACCTCATTTGTACGGGCCAAACGAAGGGAGTCATTCAATTTAAGACACCTATCTATCACGTGTATTGGCCCAACTCAACCAAAAGCCAGTGCAAACAGTCACAGCAAATACTATCTTCACCATCTAAAGTTTCTTGCCCTTCGAATCCAAGATGTTCATCTTTCTGCGCGTCGTTTAATCTGTATAGTTTCGATACTCAAAAATTGTGTCTCATTGATAATCATCAGACCCATTTTGCATTCTTATTGTTTCAATAATTTTCCAAAATCAATTCTCCAAACACTTTCGAAGCCTTTTTATCTTTCGCTTTGTTTTAATTACCCCAAACGAATTTAACAATGACAAGCTATCCGAGGTCCTGAAAGAGAAAGAGAAATAGTCTTCACTTCCTGGTGGCATGCCGTTCAATCACAACTTTGGAAATAAGACACGAGAAGGGGACTCATGCACTTACTAGCTACTCTGTATGAGGATTCCTGCTGAGTTTGCTGAGGCATCATAAAGAGCGATTCAGAAGTTGATAAAGGTATTTTTATAGAATGTGGTGATCGGAGATGAGCGAGAGAAAGATGGCGAATCGAGAGAAAAAGAAGAATTGGGCAACATGGGAAGGAGAGAAACGACCTGGCAGGAGAGGATAGATGAGTTGAGCCTTGGAGCCAGAGTTAAGAAAAATAGAAAGAAAGAGGGAGGGAAGAAGACGGAACAAGATCCGGCAGATATAATACTGGTTCAAGTAGGTGATAGTCCGGGTCCGACGACGACAAGGATCGCGGAAGCGAGTAGCAAGGTATCAGATGGATCTGAACATGTCAAAACTCAAAGTGGCGATCAGAAGAATGGGGAGATGAGAAAAGAGGACAGGAGCAATGAAGCAAGTGAAAATGTGAAGAGCGTAGACTAAGCAGGAGAGACTTAGAAGGTATTGAAAAGGGGCACTATTCAGTCATTGCTGGCGCAGATTATTAGCTAAAATCAAATGGGATCTTGTTGATTTTACAACCACAAGTTTCTGCATGGTAATATGAGAGAAATTTGATGATCGTTTCCTTGAAATAGCGTCGCACGGCTCAGAAGGTAACTCAGGTACCTTGAAGAAACACCAAAGATTGTAAAGTATCACCTATTCAGAACCACAAGTGCCTACTCCGTTGAGTCGTCTGGATGTGATTTTTTGACCCGAAGGAAAAGTGAGATTCTGTCATTTATCAAATGAATACGCTAGAATCTTGACGCTTTTGGTCCCACAAGGAAGATATTGTAATATAGAAGGACTTAATGTGTAGTATGATTTTGTACAGCTAAGTAACCTTCGGACTACCTGAAACTTTATATTCATGCAGCGAGATGCCATAACATAGCCAAAGAGAGGATTATGATCATTCCCATATCAATGCTGTCACCAGTCCTCTAATATCATTCCTAATCGACTTTGCCTTGCGTGCGGGAAATTTATTCGACCTTGTCCTCAAAGTTCTCACCCTCGACCAAATCTGGGATATCATCATCATCCTCATCATCGTCCTTCTTGTCTTCACCACCCTCGGCCTTTTGCATGGATTGGTAGCTCTCGGCAAGCTTGCGGAGGGAAGCAAGGGAATCTGGGCCGAGTTGGTTGAGGATACCTGGGACGAGCTCGGTGAGCTCCTTGTCTTCGCCGTTACCGTAGATGGCGAAGGTGTTGGATGGAACAGCAGCGTGAACTAATCAATGAAAGGTTAGTGTAATTCCAGGAGCTCGTGTTGTGAGGTGGAAGTACCCTTTGGTGCAGCGAAGTGGATAACATTTCCGTCGGACTTGAACATGTTTACCTCCTCGATAGCTTGGATAGGTTGGACGTTAAGCTTCTTGAGGGAGGTCTGTAACTTCTTGTCGTCCATTCCGGTGCTCTTGTGAACATTCTTAACCTTTCTTCTTGGTGTACCCTTTCCACTATGTATCTGTTAGCATACCGATGCTACCCCGCTATGCGCTTTCCTCAGAGTCGTGCAGCTCGGAAATCGCGTTCGTAAATTATGAATCGCATAAGGACGAGGATTCTATCACATACCCTTCGGCCACATGTTAGCTTCTAATCGTTCAAATACCGGTAAGAATTGTATGGCACAGCCAGCTGGCATTCCAACCCCTCCATCCTTCAAAAATTCCCATCCCAAGCTCTTCAATCTTTCTGCTATTCGCGTCCTCTGCGGTATCCGCCGGAGTTAAACTCACCAGTTCTGACACCACCTCTGGCCTGCATTCTCTTCAACTTTTCCATATCCATGATTGCTATAGTTTGACCTTCGTCGAGAATTGAGGGGAAGTATTAAACGAGGAAGTGGAGGTTGTTCTGTGGCGAGTAAAAATTGTCAGTCAAAACTTCGAGGTATCTGTCCGGCAGAAAGTTTCGCGTCGATCGGATGTATTTTTGATGTTATACGTACAGTTGTAAAGATTTGACTTTCCTATGTAATCAAACTCGTCGTCGTGTGTTGAAGGACCTCAGCGCTCATTGTGTGTGCCAAGAATTTCCATTTTTAAGCGAGCATTTGTGTGGGGAAATTCTATAGCCTCGTCAATCATCAGCCAAAATTAACAATCTAACATGCAATTCACGACAATAACGACATTCAATCCAATGCAAATGAAGAGGAGGAGATGGTGGATAACTGTGTGCGAGGAAAAGGAACTTGCAGTCTCGATCTGTTGTGTAGAGTGAAGTCATGGCATTTTCACATATTGCCTATCAGACCGGTCTATGACTACTTAATACTAGAAACGGTAAGACATTACAGTCTAGGACATTCGTATAGGTGGTGAGTACTCTTATACGCCAAGAAAGGTATAGTAAACATATAGTGGTTCTCGAAGAAGTCTTTGCTATCTATCCTTTGACACAAAATCGGCAGATGAACAGATAAGTCAATAGGTATCATTCTATATATGATTGCTCTGAGGTAATTCATTACCACCCTTTTTTCCTCTCTTCCCACAATGGAAGCGAGACATTGAGAACTCATATGTACCTCATATACATAATCTTCTATATGCATTCTCAGCATTAAGCACATTGCGTTGCCCTCCTGCTTCTACCTTAAACTTGAGGCGGATCATACAAAGGCAGCTGGTGCGCACGGGACGATCACGTGTTAGTATTACAAAGTTCACGTGAGGAAGTCTCACGATCACCCATTTTTGGGTCGAACTCTGTAGGTAGCCAACCTGCTTGGCTCTTTCCTCATTCAGTCATCCATGGGGTCTTAGTTTTTTGTTCGGCGACCCTACGAGCAAATTGAGTCTCAGGAATGCTTCGAATCAAACAAATTGGTATTGCAACAACACAGATGTAGATGCTCCGGAGCCCATCACCCATCACATATAGTAGGGAAGAGGCATGGCTTGAATCTCATGAAGGGATAACCAAATATGCGCCTGAGCTTGATGAATAATTACGGTAAGACGAAGTTGCTTCGAGTACTTCTGAAATCTCATTGAGGATAGGTTCGTGATTCGTCCTCGAAAGCACAAAAGTTTATCTTGTGAGTTCTTTGTCTTGAGTATTCGCTGTAACTTCCTAGATGTTTCTTGGATTTACTAGAAGTTTTTTTGCTAATTATACCTCGTCATTTCCCGTCAATTTATAGAATCTCCTAAACGGGTGCAGTACAATCAAATCACTCCTGCCACTAATATGGTGCCTCCCCTATTTGGAGAAATTGCTAAATGTACAATTGTCCCATACCTCATACTACATACAAACACAAGGAAGTAACCTATTTCTGTTCTTCGACTTCAATTTCGACAATCAGCCACCTGAAACCGAGCTTTCTCGCATCTCCGACCATGGAAAGTGAGGCAGACCACGCTCAAGTCACCAAGAATCAGCATGCAGATCTTGCAAGAAAGTTCAAGCTGCATGGACCGAAAATCGAACGGATTTGGCGAAGCTTTGATCAGAGTCAACGAGTGAATGTTTTTAAAGTTAGTGTTGTAGAAGACAGATATTTGAAGCACTCAAAAGACCAATCAGTAGGAGCCCGTTCGAAGTTCGTCCCCGAAATGAATCTGCATGACATAACTACGGAACCTCAATATCTACTTGATCATCTGAGACACCGAGCTACAACATCTCTCCTGCATCAATATAGAGTGGGTATTCATGATGGACCAGGAGATTGTATGTTCGTCTTGGAGAATATGCGCGATAAGAATCTTCGCCATACTCATAGCTTCAAGCACTGTTTCACTGGTTCTTACGACGAAGAGACCTATGGTCAGTCATTCAAAGCAACCACTGCTGCTAATTACCGCGAAATCATAACTAAAATTGCCTCTTAAATTAAAGGGAGAACTGTTGTTTCTCGAGAGGCTGACGAATTGGTTCTCAACAGACAACTGCATACCTTGATACACCTGAATACATTAGTTGCGGGCATTCTGGATGCCGAACCTGCTACCAAATCTACGAAACCACAGCCCAAAAAGTCAAATAAGGCAGTTATTTCTGCTCTTTCAAGCCTTTCCATCGTTGACTGTCAAGAGAAGCTTTCGCTAGACGACATAATCAACAACTCACTCGACCAAAAAACCGCCGTGAGCGATTATCTGGTCTTCTGTTGCTCTGAATCATTTATTCTTCAACATATGGTCAACGGCTGGTACTTCAGTCGACCGGAACTTATACCTGATGAGAAGGGACGAATTCTCCCCTGGCTGGCCGATAAGCACATCAATACTTCTATCTTCGAGTTGATACACAACATGGCAACTGGAGTCGCAATCTGGGATCACATACATCGCCTTCTTCAACTTCTAGCAAAGAAGCCTGACGATAAAATTGCCAGTACAATTTTGCTTCAGAAAGCATCAAACGTAGCTCATCTCGAGTTCTTCAGGGCACAGAAAGTCTTTAAACGCTACGCAGCCTTGGGAACAGGTAAAAAGTACTTCAAACGCGTCTCGGGAAAGTACGATAATGGATCTGCACGAGTATTACTCAAGCAAGATCCAGAGCTTCTAACTGGGGAGAACCCACAACTTTCTTACGTGCTCCGTCTCTGCTCCCCTCGAATTGACGTCACCAACGCACTTCCTTGGGTCAAGAAACTAGAAGATCTTTATCGTCTTCACCCCATCGAGCTATCCGAAATGCATGATGGTGTTGTGGACGCTTTGATGACCTAGCGGTCATCGTCAGATTTGTTGAAATTCTTTCTGCAACTGTTACTCTGCCAGAAAAAAATGCTAGAAGAGGACCGATATACGTATCAAGACTCAAGAACTTGTTAGGCGAGCTTGAACCATTAAAGCATGAGGTTGATCTTTTGAAATTTGCAGTACCCATGGAAAACCTTCTCGAGCCGGGAATGATCGAAGGCGCTATTGATGTCCTTGATCAATTTACAGCGGAACGTTTGGGCACGAGAACAGGATTTCTGTACCAGGATCTTGTTGACGATTGCGTTTCTCAGGTTCAAGCTCACTATAATCAGCAGAAAGACAGAGTGGCACAGATTGGGAAGAAGCCTCCCAAAAGTTTTGAAGACCCCGCCTACGAGACTATGGGTCCAGATATCCTCATTCAGCAACGAAGACAAAAGGACAAGACTCGACCCACCAATGTCTCTCCTTATGATCTTACCCAAGATGATACTGAATCTACACAAGCAGGAACCGAGGAGTTGCCTCGGATATTCAAAGCTAACAAAAACACGGCGCAGGTCTTCTCCACCATGTTCGCCAAATCTGAAGCCCGTGGTTCAGTCAGCTGGATTTCATTTGAAACTGCAATGGTCGATTTGGGGTTCTCTGTCATTCCAAAATTCGGATGGGTATACACTTTCTCTCCAGCAAAAAAGGATGTGGGCCACGAGAAGTCCATCACTTTTCACCGACCCCACAAGTCGGAGATTGAAGGATGGAAGTTGGTCATGTTTACTAATCGATTGAAGAGGGTTTATGGATGGAATGAACAATCTTTCAAGGCTATCTGATGAGAGTGCAAGGGTTTTAACGGCGGCTTGGCGTGGGAGTGGGAGTGGGCAATATTCGGACGGTATTGTTAATGGCAGATTTTGAGCAGACTTTGAGCAGAGATTTTGTTACCATTAATGGAGATGGATAACCTTTGAGTATGTAATACCAAGTAAATGTAATTGCTAGTGTCAAATCTTCCACATATCTCAAGTACCGGTATTAGGCAATTGTGAAGCTCTGGGAGACAATATTACTTTATCGTATGGGAGGTCATAAAGAGGATATGTGGTTTATGCAGGACTAGTAGAAATGTTTTTCCAACATTCCCTGAATAGCTGAGTCAAAATGGACAAAATGATGGATCAGGCATTCAGTATTGAGTATATTGCATGCGAGTTGGAAAGATAATGTCGGTTCCTCGTGAAACGATATTTCTTATGCTCATAGAATGCGGGCTCGGAGGTTCTCTTTGGGGCCTACACCTATGGAGTCAGGGTAGTCTGACTTAGCAAATAAGAAATCCTCCATCATTATCTCATCGTAGAGTGATACATTTACCGTTGCTTTAGAATGAACTTTTGCGGACGCAAATTGTGATCAATCAGATGAGAGCCGAAGAGTGAGAAGAATGGGATTGGTATCGAAGGGTCGGGTTCAGAAAAAGGAGGGTGAATGGGGACTTGATATGAGGATACTACGATCCTGTACGATGGCCCATGTCGCACTCGTTGGGAATGTACTGTCCGTAATATGGTTAACAAACCCGAATATGTAGTACTGACACTAGAAAGAGAGGAGTTGGGTGATTAGAGTGTGAATTGTTTGCGCCATAGGTACCTGAAGAGGGAGAGGAACATATGTTGGGATGCCTTCTAAAAAGAAGTCCAGTCGAGAATTGCCTCGAGGCAGGGTTTCCGGAGCAACCTGGGATACCCGAGAGAACTGAATCTGCAGAACTCGAGACAACAACAATTTGCAAATGTCAACTCCCACTCAGCCATCAACAGGTCGCTAGTGAAAAAGGCACGCCCACAATTGTATCAGCTCGAGTGTTTGGTATTGATTGAATGACCCATCACCGAAGAATCCATCGACTCGTTAATATATTGTAAAGGAAGCATGTAATATGGGATCCATGAGATACTTCATTTATCAACACACAGCATTAGACTGGCAGCCTTGTAAAATGGAAGCTAGTTGGTATTTCAACCATCCGTGCCTTAAGTCATACCATAATCGAGGCATCACAGGAAGGGCCAGTTGCGGAATTGCTGTTGCACATCTCTCCGGTAGATATCGACATGATGTTCGGTAGAGTCTCGTGGGTTTGGGCTCAAATGGCGACGGGAGATCAAAAGATTGGTGTATCGATACCACTCATTAGCCCTGGTACACATCTGCTTGCACCATAGTGGAACAGACACTTTGTTACGGTACTATCATACCATGAAGTTGATCGTAACTCAGAACCTTGAATAAGAAATTCATAGCTTTGCTGTTATCTTAATCAGGAAAGTTGAGTGGTCTTTTGTTTGAAAAGGAATGCCTTTCAAAGTTTCTATGGCAAACCCGTTGGATGCCGAGTTCAGTTGTAAGGTTGCATGAAAGTAATTTCATCTGAGAGACGCATTCCGTCTTCCGGATGTCGGAGAATATGATTCTGGTCCTAATGTAATATCTTGATACAAATTTTGCAGTCTTGGTAAGATATTGTATTGAATCGACAACGCGTGTGCATTCTACCTCCCAAGTCTGAACGACATAAAGAATTCTTGACTCCGATGAGATGGAGCTCTGTTTCCACGTCTTTGTCTGAGAACAATGGAGTGAAAGATAATAGAATGATAACAATGTCTCGAGATGCGAGGGTAGTAGAAGCCAAGCGATACTGCCCTATCGTATGAAGGCCAAGACGGAGAAAACTACACAATGGCCAGGTTAAAGTACGTTTTCTCCGAGATCGACGATGTTGGCTATACCTCTCACTCGCACTCACTCAAGCTTCTTTCTGTGGTCAACCTGCTGAGCATGTAGCAAAGGCAGGGTGATACATAATAGAATGATGCAGCAATCGACTAAAAAGGCAGGCAGAATAAGACGAACAAGGTACAAGAGGCAGTGAGTACTTGGCCTGTGTCTACCATACGGAGTACCCTAGTAACGACGAGAATATCTCCGTTGTACAGATTGCAGTTTGTGATGTTGTGCATCCCAGAAGATTTTAGGAATTTCAGATGATATTTTTCAAACACTTGTAATGAAAACTACCAATATACAGAAAGCCATTCTTCCATCCAAGAATATATGAGAACAGTTCTGAGAACAGTTCTGAGAACAGTTCTGAGAACAGTTCTGAGAACAGTTCTGAGAACATGTCTCAAGAACATAATTTTAGGCTATGCAAAAACTCGTTCGAAACTTCAAAATTCCCAAGACCTTCGGTCCCGAAGCCTTCATCCCATTATCCATACCAAGCCTTTCCCCCAACCGGAAATATACATCCGTACCAGTGCGTGCCACTTACACACAGGAAAATGTCGTCGTAAGCTTTACCCGCGACAATGGAAACACGAAACTCTGCAAACCAACGAGAATGAAGAAAAAGTGTTTTGTTGCAAGTCTGAAAACTTGCCCAGCTTTTTGCTTTTCCTCACTTGGCTAGGTTTGCTATCGAAAGATGTGAATTGGTGGATCTTTGCACGCTTTGGTTTGTGTAAATGGTTATTTTGGGATGGATTGGTGGTAGAACTAAGGTTGTGCATGCTTTGTTCCATTGTTACCTTTCTTTTATTCCCGCCAGTAGATGTTGAATTCGAAGTATTGGTGAAATTGAAGAACGTTACTCAGTCTACCAATTGGTAGACTAAATGAAATTCTAGGAGATGTGAAAGAAATCGGGCGACTATAGTCACGTGCCCGCGCGAACTTTTCAAACACGAACCATCACTTATCTGTCGTGGTTGGATTTGAGACCTTCACCTCATGAGATTTTCAAATGCGTCGATTATACTACCAAGAATGAGAGCTACTCATATCGTATATCAGTTATGAAATAGAATCTGTCTATTGAAGTATGATGACTTATGATTCTGAATACCTTATTTAAGGTTATTGAGCATTCAAAGTGATAACATGATTTCTTGAAATGGCCATACGTCTCACAACTCTCCGCCTATCAAAGTGCGACAATTCATCTACCGAGAATTCTCGAAATGGCTGAAATAGATCATACGGCTCAGACAGAAGTCTTGTATTCTTCAGCGTCAGCTGCAGCATCAGCTCATCCAATAACAGCGGACCAATTGCTTGAATTGGAAGAGCGGCAACGAGTGCTGTTCAATGAGAAAGGTAGTGGACCGGCACGAATCAGAACGGGATGTCAGGAAATTGATAATTATGTTCTTTGCGCCGGTAAAGGTAAACTAGATGGGGGGTTCGAAAGGGGAATTGTAGTGGGGTTGAGTGCTGCTGATGGAGATGAATCGACAAGCAGTCGAGTCGTAAGTTGATGCAATATTGTGTATTGAGTTATGTATTGAATAAGGTCCTGATACATTCTCTATATAGATATCTCTCAACCTCATAGCATCAGTTCTCTCACAACATATCGATTTGGTAGATGTCATTCAAAATTTCCAGAGTGAATTGACGAATAAAAGCAAGCCAAAAGTGGTAGTAATAGATACGACTGGTTCCTTTAACCTTCCTCTCTTGGTCAAAATCTTGAGAACAAGGCTCTTGAAGAGAAGATATGAGATGAGAAGCAGGAACGATATAACTATGAATCTTAACAATGGCCAGAATACAGATGAGAGTACGGGGATCGACATACAAAAAGAGGTGAATGCACTACTGGAGCTGGTAGCCATTAGTAGAGTCTTTGATATTGAGGGGCTATGGGAGGTATTAAGTGAGCTAGGGCGACCAGATGACCTATTCAGAAAAAATGAGGACGATCAGGAGATGCCTGCCACCATACCATCACGGACCAGCAAACCTGTCGAAGGGAAAACAGAGCCATTGCACAAAATCCCAGATGAAATTTGCGACAGCGAAGACGAAGACATCGAATTAACACCACCACCACCACCACCACCCGTCAAACCCCAAGTTTTAACACCAATCCCAAGCTCAACAGAAACCAGTCCCGAAATCTTAATCATAGACAGCATGCACCATCTAATCACCCACCTCTTCACACACTCGGAAAAAGTCTCCGCGCACAACCTCCTCTCCCTCCTATCACACACTCTCCACACCCTAACCCGTACTCAAAATATCCTCACCATCCTCCACAACACCACCACGTCTACCAAACCCACTTTCGCAAACCAACACTCTTCTCGTCAACCTCCACCTCCACCTCCAACTATCCACTCAATCTTCACTTCCCCAGCCCAAAAACCATCACTCGGACGTATCTTTGACGATTTCCTCAATCTCCACATTATGATCTCGAAACTTCCGAAGAAGAGGGGAGATGCCGAGATGCTCTACGCTCGAGGTGAAAATACATCTCATGTTGGGAGCGAGGATGTCGCTTATAGTTTTGTGTTTGAGATTTTGAGGGATGAGTGTCCGGTTTTGGGTGGGGAGAGGAAGGTGGGGAGGAGGTTTGGGGATAGGGAACAGAGGTGGGGGGTTTTTGAGATGGGGGATGGGGATGGGGGTGGGAGTTGAGGGGTGGAGTTGAGGGGTGTTTTAGGATGGATGGAGAGAAGGAGGGGAGAGACTAGCGTGCGATGACTGGAAAGTGTGGAAATAGGATGGGGAAGGGGTGTCAAAATAAAAATGATAGATGGATAGATCTTTCGCATACCTACTCACTGTATACATACGTACATATCAATCATTTAGCCATCTCGCTTAGACGCACTTTACAAAATATCATGAATTCGCGTTCCGATTCCGATTCCGCAAATGCAATGCGATGCCTAGGTCATGCTATTACCTAAAAAATAAAAAAAATAAAAAAAGAGACCCATCTCTTCCCTTTCCTTGGATATTCTACTTCATCTCGCTAGCCCTCAACATATCAAAACTCTCTCCACTCTCGCTTCCTTCTCCTTCATCCTCCTCATCTCTAAACCCGCCAACCACACCCTCAACCAAGACACCCCCCTTTCTAAACCTCTTCCTTCCAATTTCCACCTCTTCAAGCGCTAGTCTAGGTCCATTTCCTAGAATAAATCTTCTATGCCATTCTCCTACAAACATACCTTCCGGATCCGCATTATTTCTAATCTTTCTCCAGTTCTCCAAGTTCTCTCCATACATCTCTTCAATATCTTCACCTGTAGTTTCGAAATTCTTAGCCCAATGAGGTCTGCCTCCTAGTTCTCGCATCAAAAATTCGAATCCTTGGTAATATCTTGCATGACATGGTGGATCCATATCATATGGACGATAGAGAGTTGCGTTTAGGTAAAGAGTTGCTTCTTCTGTACATGTAGGATCGAGATGTGGACGAGGGGTAAGACTGTTGCTTGTTTCTGTGACGCGGACTTCGACAGGTGCGTGGACGTATAGACCTTCTGCTGAATAAGGGATGCCATGTGCAACGTAATCTGAATCTTCTGGAGTAAGATGATTAAGCCACGAACTTAATCTCTTTAAAGCTTCTGGACCTTTGGAGATTGGAATTGCCCATTCGTTGACGAATTGCGAGTAAAGACAATTCATAAGGAGAGCTTGACGAGATGGTTGAATTGCGGAGCTCTTGGAACCATTTGCAAATCCATATTGCATACCAAAGACAAACCACTCTACCCATGGAAGAATTCGTGGAACATAATGTCCTAGAGCAAGAAGATTATGATAGACGTGATAACCTAACCAAGCATCATAGTAAGATTTTGGAGGAGGCATGGGAGCCAAATCTGTCTTTTCAGCAGCCCAAACAACTGCTCTTCTTGTGTAAGGAAACCACCAAACTCGAACAAATTCGGTCTGTGTCCAAAGAGTTTTATCCCAGTTGTTCATCATTCGAAGATCTGTATCCACAGTTTGTTCCCATGAAAGAGTGAAAGCTGGTACGGCTTGGAAAGTGATTTCTGTGATGATACCAATTGCTCCCAAAGAAATGAGAGAAGCGCGAAAGAGTTCCTCATTTTGATTCGGTGAACAAGTTTCCGTTCTACCATTCGAAAGAGTAATCTTCAACTCCAAGATTGAACTTGACAAAATTCCATGTCGCAAAGTACTTCCGTGAGTCCCTGTCGAAATTGCTCCAGCGATCGATTGATGATTAATACTACCCAAATTTGGCATTGCCAAACCGACAGCATCAAGTTGTTCGCCCACGGAATATAATCGAATACCACTTTGCATAACCACAACACCTGTTTCCCGATCCGCAGACAGAATTTTGTTGAAATTATCCAAATTAATGAGCCAGCTCGATGTGCAAGTAATATTTGAAGGAGAATGACCACATCCTACCGTTGTAATTCTGCGTCGACATCTTCGCGCAAGGTTGACGACCTTTTCGACTTCGGCGATAGATTGTGGTTGAATGAACAATTCAGGAGATGAATGAAATGTTCTTGCCCATGTTGATTGAGTATGATTTTTTACTGCGCGAAATGGAACATCGTCGCCATATTTTTCCAATTCGGATTTGATTGCGGGGTCCATCTTTGCGCCCAGATCGACCTAGGTATTATTTCTTTGAATGTTGTAAGCAAGTTGTAGATCTACTTTGAAATGGGGATGAAAACTTACTAGGTAATCTCACTCGATGTATAACTTAGGTTAAGAAAGGAATATTATATTCTCATCTAATATTCCAGAGAGATGTAAAAGAAAATAAAGATTCTCCCATTTTTGTCGCCTCTCTTCGAAGGAGGTTTGATACTTTTTTTAGGCGGGGTGGTTTGGAATACGAAACTAAAATGGCTGCAGATGAGTGCATGAGATGAGTGCATAAAAAAATAAGCCGACGCCGACAATACAATACAATACAATACAATACAATACAACACAATACAATACAACACAATACAATACAATACCGATACCGATACGTCCAATGATTTCAATCAGTCTAGTCGTCAGTCCAGCCAGATCTTTCAATGATTTGATGTGATGAAACTAGACCACGAATGGGCTCATTTTCTACAATCACCAGTCAAAGACCAACGAATAATATTCGGAAGTCATATAAATGACTGATATACATATATATCTACATATATATAAAACGTGTTTTATTAGTGAATAAGTTATATCAGTGAATGAATCATTTCGAAAATTATTTAAATCAAGCTTTTCAAAAATATTAATATTTTAATAACTAATCATTATTTTTTTATATAAAAGATTTTAAAAAATAACTAAAATCTAGATTTTTTATTGATTTAATTTTTATAAGATAATTTTATTATTTTCTATAAAAAAAAGGAAATTGTTACAATTCTTATTGCAAAAAAACTATTTTTACAATAACAACTTTATAAATTCGAATTTCTTAAAACTAATTAGATTTTTAAAAATTTCAGAAAATTATATCTATAAATAAAGAAAGTATATAATTATATATAAACAAATGTTGTATATAAAATTAGTGATCTATTCACTAATATAAACTATTCACTAATAAAACACGTTATATATATATACATACAACATATACTAGCTCGAGACTAAGTAATGTTATATAAATGATTTGTTTGCTCACTTGTTTGTTCTTGTTGATTTATTATCACCATTATCTCTATCAAACTACTAGATACCATATTAGATTGTATCTACATAGTAGACAATTGGATGACGCTCCGCTGGCCCTTCGGGGACCACTGCCGTGGAGGCAGACTATTGGAAATGGCAATATCTAATACTTGCTGCTACTTCTTGACATCTTTTGAATTTCGAGCGCAGCGAGCTATGGGGGTTTGGGGGCTTGCCCCCATCAATAAACACAGAAAGATATGAATATGCAATGCAGACTTACATATCTACTGATCCTACTCTGGATACCCCTAGGTATGAAAATGATCAAGACGACGAACATAGATCGGAAGCCAGGAGTTTGTGCATCCACTGCCAATATGGGTACGATACTCCAGATTCTTCTCGTTTTCTCCTCAGTACTCAGGCCAAGGACAACGAACGATAAAGTTTCTAGAAATTCTAGAAATTCAATCGACTTAGGATCTTAGCAAGGATATACATGTTCAATTAATATACAAGTCATATCATTCCGTATATGCAAGGCGACCTGTCAAAGATATTGATTGATCACCAGTCTACAAAAGGGTTATATGTATCCACCAACATAGCAACGATCCTATTGATATTGGTAAATGCTCAAAATTCTTTTTATATCTCGTGAGCCTCACATCTTGTTCAATATACATCATATGAAGGTATATTATTTTACAATTGTCAAGTATATCATATCAAATATATCATGTTCGTTCTTCTATTCATATTCATGTAAATGAAAATCGAGATGGAAAGATTTCCTAGACTTCCCCAAACCCTCGATCCCTAACTTTTCATCTCTTTTTTCTTTTTTCCTTTTTCCTCATTGTTTGCATGAACTTCATCTGAACTATTATTTCATGGAGTCCTAGTCTTGGTCTCACTTGAGTCTACCCTTCGTATGCGGAACATCCGGACCCCTCTCTACTCAACCAAATGAGGTAAACGTTTAGATATTGTATCAATTTAACATAGGGGAGAAATCTCTATTGCATTGCATCGCTTTTGGAGGTGTATCTAAGATCGAGGTGTTCGAGAAGAGATTTGATACCTGCAGACAGTCCAGACAGCAATAGCTACAATATCTACAAGATCTACCATATATACAATATTCTTCTATCGGTCTGATCCTCTCTCTCTATACAAAAGTACTTGTTGATTTATTTCATTCTCTCATTCTCTCCCTTCCTCTCTCTCTCTCTCTCTCTCTATACATCTACATATACGTCTACATCTACAAATACATCTACTCTCTTCCTAAATTTACTGTACATCGTCTAAATCTAAACCGTTCACATTCTTTTATTCTTCTATTCTATCATTGTGTTATTACCTTATTCTATCCTCTTCTCCTTTCCCAATAAAATGAAATAATGGTTAATGTCGCCCTCTCACTCACGTTATCAGCTGGAATGTCTCCTACACCCAGCAGCACATTTTGCGGTCTTCATCGTCCCTCACATTCTCACTCCAATCTAAAGAAAGACGCCGCCCAACAAGATATTTCCGACGCTGTCTCCACGACTTCCTCCAAATTCCGCAAACAATTAGTAGCAAATGCACGACCTCTTCTTCTCCGTCGTCGCGATACCTCAGGTACAACTCAAAGTCTGCCAAATTTAAGTTCGAAATCAAAATCAAAGTCGAGTCTTCGAGATCAAGATAAATTCGATGGCGACGACAATTCACATTCCTCAATTTCAGTACCACCCGGTCGAAACCTCAAGTTAAAGAAATCTCAACCACCCGGTTCCACTTCACCCAATTTTTCCCTCCCACTCAATAATAATAACAATTCTAAACGTCCATCCGTCGATTTTCAATGGGCGCGTGAGGATCAATTGAGTGTTATTCTAGAATATTTGGAAGAAACTACACGTAGCGGAAGTACTCCCAATTCAGAGACTGCCGATCCATTAAGTCATTCCAATTCTAATCCAGCAACTCCGCTCGCATTACCGCAACCCCCCCAAACAAAAACCCCACCTCTCGCAATCCCCGAAACAATACGAGAAAACTTGTCTCCGACACCTACATCATCACCTCGCACACCAAAGTTTAATAAAATCGGTGTTCGTGAACGCGCAAGTAATTCGAAAATTCCAAGTTATTCTTATTCGAGAACTCCTTCTACACCTTCGACTCTCAATACCGCTTTCACAAATTCATCAACACCTTCCAGACCCCAAAACCTGATAAGAAGAAGTGAACAACGAAATCTGGAGGATAAATTCAGAGAAATAAGAGAAGGGTTGAGAGATAAAGATCGTGCGGATCCAATTGATTTTTCAAGCAGCGCATTGGGAATCAAAATGGCTAGCAGTATTGGTAGTGAGAGGGGAACACCGGAGATGGTACCAAGACCCATTGCGCATCCGCCAAAAGATGTAAGTATCTTCTTGTTTTAATTCTTGTTTCCGAAGATGAGATGACAGAAGGGGAAGTTGAACGGGAGAAAATAAATGGAAGCTTCTCTTCTAGTTGCTGCACTTTATGGGGGCAAGCCCCAAAACCCCCTTTTGCTCGCTGCGCTCGATTTTTTCCTCTACGAAACTAGTCGGCCTCCACGGCAGTGGCCCTCGGAGAGCCAGCGGAGCGTCATTCATGAAGTTTCATTATGGAAAGCAGTGCCCTTTCCTATTCCAATGTGGTCCATCACGTATCTCAACCGATGAACGTTAGATCAAAAGTTTCAATTCACATCTCAATACCATTAATTCACTCCACTAAACCATACTAACATCACTTCTCCCACAGCTCGAATCCATAGCCCGCATAGATTCATCTCTCATCTTCGAACATTTCACCACTTCCGATGCCTGGGTTCTCGGATCCGCTCTCCGTGAGCGTCTCCTTCCTCATCCAACTCCAGTCGTTATTTCCATCTCCCTTTCAAACGCCAATCAAGTTCTTTTCCACTGCTGTACCCATTCTGGAACCATGCCCGATAATGATTCTTGGGTTTCGCGAAAGAGAAAGACGGTTTTGAGATGGGGTGTTTCAACATGGTATATGTGGTGTAAATTTGAAGGGGATGAGAGTGCTTTTGCGCGCAAATATGGATTGGGGAATGAAGCGGGAGAATATGCGATTCATGGGGGTGGAGTACCGATTAGAGTTACAGGTGTGGAGGGAGTGGTAGCTTGTGTGGTTGTCAGTGGATTGAAACAGTGGGAGGATCATGGAGTTATTGTCGAAGTTATTCGTGATTTGTATTATTGAGCGGATTTGTGAGTTTGTGCGTGCATCGTGAGTCTAGGTGATTTGGACAATCGAATATGGACGCGGTGTTTTTTTCATATTCTGCGACTTGCATATAAAGGATGGATGCATGGAATTACGGGATGTTTTAAACTTGGCTTGGATGGTTCGGTATGGTTTGGTTGAATGGTTCGCATTGTTTACGCGCGTTAATGAATGCGCACATGGTATATGTTGAAAGGGGAAGTTAAGAAAATGGAGGGAAAAAGGAAGGGAAGAGCAGCGATGATTGATGATTAAAGAGAAGAAAGGTCATCAGCAAGAATAGAACAGGATGGAATGGAGAAAAGGGTGTTTATGTATATACGTATGTATATAAGTATACCCAAGCCTATCAGTGGCTATGGCGATGAATTGAATTTCAACCATATGATATATTTTTAAGGCTTTTGTGTGGGATGATGTGTGAATTGGTTGTGTGTGTGTTTTTTGATGTGAGGATGGGATGCGGTTCTGGCGAACTGGAATTGGAATTGAAAGTAGAAGTAAAAGTAAAAGTAAAAGTAAAAGTAAAAGTAATGCATTCGATCATCCAACTCACCTACTTGGGTTTATATCAAGTGATGTTATAATGCATCATATTATATCATATTATATGATCTCGCATCACCTCACATCACCTCACATCACCTCACATCACATCACCTCACACTACAACACATACATTCCTCGCTTATCTCCTCTCCTCTCCCTCTCCCCCTTTCTATTCCTAAACTGCCTTTCTCCCTCCAGATTTGCTTTTGAATATACTGCTCTGCTCGAAGTCGATATGTGTATGTAATGCATATATAAATATGCCCAGAATTGTCTTCTGGTTCTCATCTTTTCATTACCTTTTTCTATTATCTTCTCTTCGGTTGAGTGTGGAGGAATTAGATTATCATGAGTGTACTAGGTATGAATAACAACTCTTATATGATGAGGGATTTAGGAGAAGAATGAAGGGAATGTTGTTTAATCATTGGATTTATCTAAACACCTCTAAAATCTCTCTAATTACTTCTTTAAATATCGAATATCAATAAATATCTATCTCCACCTCATAAAACCACTCATTTATTTCCCCTCCTTTTCCTTCTCATCCTCTACCGAATTCTCAACCACATCCACCATAAACGCACCACCCAGCAAGATAGCCGGTTCTTCTAAACTCTTATGTTCATAACTCAACGTTCCTACTCCTCCCGCCTCGAGCAAAAAAGTCGGTCCATCCTGTAACGTTTTTCCAACCCATCTCATCGCAAACGCTCTCAATATATGTCCATGCGCTACAATCAACACATCTCCCGTTCCCGCATCCTTTTTATCTTTCCCGATTACGGGACCGTGGTATTTGGATCGGATGTCTGAGATAAGAGCATCGATGCGTTCGGTGACTTGTTCAGGGGATTCGCCATCTGGACAACCATCGCGCCAAATATCCCACTCGGGAAGTCCGGCGGCTTTGCGATCAGAGCGGATTTGTGCAGAGGTGATTCCTTCGTAAGAACCGTAATCCCATTCCCGGATGTTTTCGGTGATTTCTACTTTTGCTGATGTGCGGATTCCTGAGGTTTGGACATTAGCAAGTGTCGATATACATACTAGAAGTTCGGAAGTAAAATTTCCAGGCAATCAGGAGAGTATATGGAATAGATGTTTGGATTGGGAGAGTGAAGTAAGGAAATAAACACTCACCAAATTCAGCATGTTTTCTTCGTTCTTCCCATGGAAGTTTCTCGGCACACCCCACTTCGAGGAGTTCGAGGGTTCTTTGGGCACGTTTCCGTGGGGAGACATAGCTGGATAGTTGTTAGAATTGTGAATATTTACCTAAAAAGATAACTGAATATTCGAGCGCAGCGAGCAAATGGGGGTTTGGGGGCTTGCCCCCATTAATATCAATACAGCAATTAATGGAAGACGCTCCGCTGGCCCTTCGGGGACCACTGCCGTGGAGGCAGACTAGGAGAGGATTGAAACATACATATGAGCCAAGTTTCTAGGAACAATCAATCGATCATCACCAATTAATGCTCTTCCCGTTGCACGAATTCTCTTTTCTCCATTGGCAGTCAAAGGAAGTTCAGTGATGCCTGTATGTCGACCATTGAGAGACCATTCGGTTTCACCATGGCGGATCACGAAGACTCGAGGACTGGTCATTATGTAGGAGGATGTGATGCGATGTGATATTTGTTTATCTTTTAACTTTCAGTTGAGGGGTAGAGGGGATGCTTGTTTTGGCGCAGATCGTTGACTTAAGTTATAGAATAAGTCATCCAAAAATGAACGGCGTGTTTGTATAAAGTAAAGTAAAGTAAAGTCTATGACTCAATTAGTATATATTCGAATATTATAAATTCCAACATCATTTCCATTTCTTCCGAGTCCCAGAATCAAACCTCTTCTCTCCTCTTCTCTCCTCTTCTCCCCCTCAATGCGCAAATACAAATAGCGGCAGTGCAGGAAACCAACATAATTGAATCTACCTACCTGCCTAGTGATCTGTGCCTCACTCCTTCGACTCTAATAAGAATCCAACGATAATTATCACAAGAGGCCAAGTATCTTCCAAGAAAACAACGGTTTTTAAATCAATACAAATCAAAAATGACAAGCAGCTGCCCCTCACTTACACGTCGATACACCAATGATGTCGATTTGAGCTCCGTGAGCTCCGTGAGCTCCGTACACCGAACGCTAATTGGAGGAGTGGAGTTAATTGGTGAGGAAATGGAAATGGAGATGGCATTTAGTTGGAAGGAGAGAGGAAGTGGGAGTGGGAATGTGAAAGAGATGGAAAGAAAAGAGAAACAGAAACAGAAGAAGGAAAATATTAAACTTACTAATACTGGAGAGAGAAGTAAGAAAGAAAAGAAAGTAGAGAGAGAACAATCAATTGATGAAATTTGGAAGGGAGTTTGGACTTGAATTTCTATTTTCTACAGACATCCATCTACTTGCTACTTATCGGACAATCGGAAAAGTCCAAGATCTTCGGTGAAGTTTGAACCCGAGATGTATTTTTCTGGAGCTTCAGTATCAATCACCAAACGGTAAACTTTGCGACGACATACTTAATTGCTGAGTATCCCAGGGAGCCTCAAAATGTCAACATCGCAACAGGTAACCAAATTGAAAAGAATAGTATGGACGGGTGCAATTGCATCAGTTACAGTCGTGGGCACAATATATGGTGCTGGGTTGAAAACGCAGGGAGAACAAAAACAGGTACTTCCTTCCACTAAGATCTACGATTTTAACTCCCACTACATTCTCAAGAACAAAAGCTAACCTTTCACCTTCCTTAAGCAAATCCGCAAGGTTCGTGAAGCTCCGATCTCTGAACGAATTGCCCATCTCGAAGAACAGCGGGGAGTATTAGTGGGTAAAAGAATGGGGTTGCAAAAGAAGATTGAAGAATCACAAATGAGGAGGAATGGGGCGACGGTTGAAGAAAGTACTAGGGGAATGGAGAGGAAGAGGGGAGAAAATGTTGGTTTGACGATGGAGGGGGAGAGGAAGACGACAAGGGTGGATATGGAGGACAATTTGAGGGTGGTTGGGGTGGAGACGGAGATTGAAGAGGGGAAGAAGGGAAGAGAGAGGAAGAGGAATTGGTGGTGAGGGGGCTGCATGTTTAAGGATTTGAGATATGCGGGAGAAGAGGCAGGCTACATATGCGGTATCGAAGACTTGTCCGATGGGGCTAGGCTTCGATTAGAAGCATCGATCCCTCCATGGTCTCGAGGAGAGGGGCAGTGACGATTGCGAACACACTGCGTAAGAGAAGAGAAGATAGATTTACGGTCGGGCCAGGAAAGCTGTCCTATAGGAGCGGCAGCATAGGGTTCGCGAGCCATCGAAAAAGAAGCAAATGAAATTTGGCGGCAGAATTTCGAGACAAGCAGTCTGCATCATGAACGTTGAAGAATGCAAGAAGACTCTCGCCTTGATCACCGCAAAAGAGACCACCTGAAACTTTCCTGGCCGACTCACCACCTTGTATGGACCAAACACCTCGCAATCTCAAGCATCGGAAGATGAGCTTTGGATTTGGGGTCGAAGTACCTCTGTGTTTGGGGTATTTACCTGATAGAAAATCTGGATTGCATGCAAGCCATGATCACATATCAGCTTTGATAGATGGCAAATATGAAGCTTGCAGTTAGTAACTTCAGTTTTACGAGTACTCATAAGGAGGATGAAGATATTACTACACAGCTAATGGTACCTCCTGCCACAATATCAACAGATGATTTGTATGCCAAAAAATCACTAAGATGATGCAAAATTGCGTTCCAAAACATTATCATCCAATATGATACATAAGTTGTGTGTAAGTGTGTTCCTAAGATTTTACATGCACATGCTATACAACCGTTCAAGCGGTTCTACCAGTCCCTGGCATTTTGTTATACAGCAAGTAGCTCATTCATGGTGCATTCCATTAGATTTCCATTTTCATGTACGTGAGTGATATTATGGGCTAAGTAAACTCATCATTATCACACTTGGCAGATATATCTTGACATAATACACCGACACAATGGGATTATATATTTTTGTTCTACCTTATTCACTGGATTGGAATGTAATATTTGGTTATTAGTTATACTGGATTAATGGACTGTGTCTTAAACCAATTAAGGGATTTTTTTTGTTTTATAAGATACTATTTGAATAGGTTTTATATTCTATATTTATAAGTTGTAAAGTTTATAAAGTCTCATTATAATTTCGAATTATAAAATATTAACTGGTTGATAAGACCACCTTCAATCATACCATAAAACAGATTTTTTGACTATAAGATAATACCGCCTGATCCGGTTAATACGGTGTTCAATTGTGCCTTAAACTTTTTATGTTGAAAACATGATCGAGGGCTTGCCGCCATGGTTCTTGGTAGAGTTCTCTACCTGTCAGTATCCGATACCAGGAAGAACCGGTTCATTTCCTTGGAATCCTCCTGCAACTTAGTCTCTATCTCTAGAATCTGCCACATCTCTCATAATCAAAAGAGCGAGAACAAAATGTTGATAATACCAAGCGTCATTCATAATCCCCTCATTTCTTACCTTCTTACCGAGTGATCTATCACTTCCATCATATCACGTCTATCAATCGTCCATCACGATGCGGGGAATCCTAGTCGTGTAACCACAAATTGAAAATGGGATGATATTGAATATATAGAATATTCGACTCCAATAAGCGAAGGAAGCCATAGCTCATTATTGCTAGTGGCGGCTCGTTGATCGTCGATGTAAATGCACAATAGTCCGTACACAAGAAGTAGAGTGGCTCGCTCTACTTACCGTCATTTCGCGTGAGATAATATGGAAATGGCGTGTGTATTTTACATTATGTTGTGCGGTGAGACGAAATGTGCAAAATCCGCTGAAATTGACGAGACTTTTAACACATGGAAAACGGAATGATGCTTAGCTTGGAAATATGGGACATATGGCTTGCGATAGTGAAGTTCTAGTATGTGTTAGAAGAGGTGAAGATGATGATTTCCTTCTTATGACGGGACAGGGGAATGGGGTGGGGTGGGATTAATTTGAAAAGGCGCCACAGGAGTGAAGTGTTTGACTGAGATATGGAGTCGTGGTGTCTGAATTTTGGGGATTTTGTAAATGAATAGGGGGCAAATTCATATTCCGGTTAAGGTGATAGTGATTAAATTGATGAGCTTCGCAATTGTCTGGATAATGAACGAAGTGTTTCGTTATACTATTAAGTTAGGCGGTGTAAGTTCCTTTGCGGTGCTTGTTTACTGTTTTGTATTATGTATATGATTATCTATGTATCTAGGCCTATGTTCGATGTCTTAGTTGTGCGAGTTGTTTCCAGTCCCGCGAAGACTCACCAAATAGAATACACTCACCGTCTCAAAAGACCATTATATTCTGCCCAGAGCTTACCATTCAGTCATTAAGTTTCGGCCACTTGGTCCAACTCTTGATTACCTTCCAAGAATCCTCCGCTCTCTTAGCATGTTCATCTGGGACATTCTCTCCCTTTTCAGCCATTGACCTGTTGAACAATTCCATACTAACCCATCCTTGATAACCCAAACATTCGACAATAATCCTCGTAACTTTTTCAACCGGCAAATACGCCCCCCTTTCACTCTCCCCCGCGAACAACCTCGCATTTCTACTCCAACTCATTCGCGCAGGCTGTTCATCATCCCAAAATGCATGCCCCATCACTTATGGCTCTTGCATTTTCTCCGCATCAACAACTTGGATATAAAAAAGTTTCTTCACGTCAATAGTCTTTGCTAATCTCTCCAAACTTTCATTCAACGCTTTCTCTGCATTTTCAGTTTTTCCATAAATAGATGAAGGATCTCCATATATCCTCCCAGTAATATTAAACGTATCCAAACAAACCCAAAATTTTCTCGATCAACTCTTGTCACGACATCCCATCCCGCTTCCCACGTGTCGAAAAAGGTACTCCAGCATAAGTTCTCGTAGGCGAATCGAACAGCTGGTTCTTCTTTCGCACCCATGTCGGCTACTTCCTGAAGATCCGAAACGATGATATCCATATCATCAGTCAATTTCTCTCGGGGTAGAAAGTTCGCGGGAATTTGTACGAGATCCGTTCCCAGGATCTTGACAATTTTAAACCAAAGCTTCATTTTCTCAATCTTCTCTGCATGCTCGTGTCTATCTTTCAAGCCCTCGTAGAAAGAGAATGGTTGCAGTCCGATGATGGTAATGTTTCGTTCGTCGCATAGCGCTTTTATGGTGGAAGCAGCATGGAGGAGAGCTTCTGGAGAGGGGGTCTCGGTGTTTGATTCGGTTCGTGCGAGATATTCGAGATCTTCATAGAATATCTCGAGACCGAAGATGTTGTGGGTAGACGCGGCGGAGAGCTTAATGGGCATGGAATGGATCCAGGCGCGACCTAGTGACATGGAGGATATAGCTGGTTTGAGGCCGTCCATTTTTATTGGTGAGAAAATAGGGATTTTTGTACGACTCTTGGGGGTAGTGGAGAAAATAGGAAAAATAAAGGGAGCAGAAGAAGAAGGGCAATTGTGATGTTGTAGATAAGTTTTTTTTTGAGGTTGATTAAATGCGAAGTGCTACTTAGATGTTATTCCAGCTTTGACTTGTAGAATTGGACCCCACGCTGCTCTATGACGACACTCACTTGAGCCGCTGTTGAGCGTCTCCCCCACATATTTGAGAGAGAAGGGATTATGAGGAGAGAAGTGTTTGTTTCTTCCTCTTGACTATCTAGGTCAAGGTAGATAATACTTCGCCCCCCTTTTCAAGATTTCATTCTCTCTGGGTGTCGCGCATCTGTCATGTCGGAATGTGCAGGAGTTTCGGCCGTCAAGCTTAAGGTTACATAACAACATCATGTGATCATCAAACTATTCTCATGCCGTGTTGAGCGACTGGACGATATTTGCGGAATCAAACGACGGATTGTTGAAAGATACAAGACTCGAATGGTCGCAGAGATGAGGGGTATCGAAATGCCAACTTTCTCTGGATCATTCCTCGTCAATACCAGGCTATTATCGAATGTGTTCTGATCGATATTGTCATCACAATTTTTGCCGTCGTTTCCTATTTTATTCGAAGGGCAAACGGTGTCTTTGATGTGATTCAGCTTATCCATCAGAGAAATCTTGCTACCATTTCTTGGAGATATTCGAAATGAAGATTCTTGTTGGCAAATAATTGCGTGGTTGTTTGCTATCAAGTGACTGGTATCTCATTCAAGCCAAGTGAAAAGTTCGATTGATAAGATGCGAATCGTTGGATTGGTTGTCAGTATGGAGACCAATAGTCATTGTCACTCAGAATACGAGACTTTGTTGTCGTTTTCTTCTGAAAAGACCTGTAGTCAAGGTCGCGCACCCATTGTATTTGTTCATCGATGATTATGCATGGCTGTCAGAAGACTTGTGATGGATACCCTACCGTTGAGGATATTCCCGCAGGTTTCATGTACTATTTCTCATGTGAACTTTGACACCTTGGGATTTATCGAAGGGTAATATATGGATTGTGGATTTGTGAATGTAGTTCAGGCTCCCAGACTGAGGTATTAGACTTGAAGAAATTCGATGCTTGTCTGTACTCGGAAATAATGGCTTTGTTTCTAGAAGACATTTGCGTTCCAAACAGTCCCTCCGAGATTGAACTCCCCCAAGAAGTTTCAGAAATTATACAGTACAAAAGATTCATATCTCTTCGACTCGAGACCCATTCTGCTGGTGCGGGGAAGATAGGAGGAAGCGCATGACCCCTCTATCAATTCACTAATCATCTGCATCTACTCATTCAGATACTTTTCCATTTCTTCCCTATTTAAATCAGCGCTCTTATTCTTCAATACTTTGTACTTTACTTGAATAAAACCACACTACAAATGCTTTGACTTACTCGCACATCATTACTCTTCATTCTCCCAACCTTGAAGCTTTACTTGCATCACTCAGAGGTTCCTCCCGCTGTTGTTCCAGCAAACCTGAAGCAATGACTACTGCACTGGATCCCAAACATCCAGACCTTCCCGGCTTAATCTTTGGCTGCCCCCCTTCTAAACATCGGACAAGTTTCATGAGACGCCTGCTTCGTCGCTATAATGTTCAAGTAAATGGAAACGAGAGAAAAGAAGACACACTTCGTAAGCTTGTCGAACTCGAGAACTCTATCGGCGAGAGAGAAAAGGAAGCACTTGTCAACTGGTTCGCTGGTGAAGGTACTCATAGAGCTCTAGCAGCTTTGTTAGGTGATGCTATGAAGGTAATTCCTCTCATTTGGTCCGAAGTTTTATATCAGATCAATGTTTCAAGGACCTTCGTGAAGTTGCTAATGTTTGGGTATTCTAGCCACCAATCACACCGAAAAGTATTGATGAACCAGTGGCCAAGAAGACAAAACTTGATGAATCTAATAATGATATCGTCTTTGCCGCAGTCGATGAGTGTAGGGTTTGTATGGAAAATCTAACACCGGAGAAGTTCCCACAAACTCGCATAACAAGCACGTGTGCACACCATCCAGCGGTCTGTAATCAATGTTTGACTAAACACATCAATGATCAAGTTCAGACCAAGGCATCAAATCAGGTTTCATGCCCCGAGTGTCTAGAGAAGGTTTCCGATGCAGAAATAAAGAAGTATGCATCACCGGAGGTTTTGGAGAGGTAAGTTATTTGCTTGTACTTCTATCTTTACTATACCAACTAATGTATTCACCAGAAATGGAAGAAGATTATTGAATATGTCTCTTCAGCATCTCCCAAAATTTACCTTTTGCCTTAGTCCTACCTGCGAATCAGGTCAAATACACATACCCGATCATCCAATGATGACATGCACTACATGTGCTTTCAAGACATGCTTCAATCACAAACTACCATGGCACGAAGATCTCACATGCTCAGAATTCGACCTCTTCAATCAAGCCAGAGTTCGACAAGAAGCAGTCTCTGAAGCATGGATTGCAGAGCACACCAAACTTTGTCCAAATCCAAAATGTGGAATGAGAATCCAGAAGAAATCTGGTTGCGATCATTTGACTTGTGAGTGTATGTTGTATGATTTTCATTGTATCTTTGTTACACCTTACAATGTCATAGGCTGACAGAGATTTGATCAACTAATAGGCGATTATTGCCTTGTCGAATTTTGCTGGTGTTGTTTTGCCGATTTCAAAATGATAAAAAAACGAGGCAATGATCATCACAAGGAAGATTGTAGGTGGCATACAAAAAATGAAAATGGTATGCCTGGACATGGTAGAAGACGTGAATCTGCTCCGAAGAAGCCTAAGGAACCGAAAAAGTCGAGGAGACCTACAAAATCGGAAGATTTCAAAAAATCGGATGCGGGACCGGCACCGAAAGAACTCAATGTTTCGGAGGAGCCAAAAGAATTAAAGGAAGTGAATCTTCAAGAAGAATCGGAATCAACATATAATCCGACTATTCCAGAGGATTTGAAACAGTCACATTCACCAGTCAAGTCATCTGAGGCAGCGGATGGAATGCAGCCATTTCAGTCAGAAGTTTCAGATGATATTAAGCTTTCATTTGGAGCAAATGTGACAGAAGGTTCGAATTTAAAGAGACTCAATCAACCTCAAGGACCGGTTGAGCCATCCAAACAAATGGAGTCGACAGAAGCATTGGGATTGAATATTCTAAATCCACTAAAACGACTTCGAGAGGAGTAAGCTATCATCATGTGTGTTTCTACACACGCTTACACTTTGCCACAAGTGCGATGTTATTCCGAAACCAACACTGCTGCATGATCTTTTGTCACTGGGTTTTCGCTGATGTTTCCTTTTTACAATGGCAGAGATGATAAGTATCCTTACTGCCATAACTGATGGAATTTCTTCGGCGAGTTTGAACAGCTTTCAGAGTAGCTGGAGAGACGATGCATATTATTATCACTATCATGAACGATGGCTCTTTTCGGTGGGTTTAGCCAAGAACTTACAATACGGGTAGATATAATGCATATCATTACTACCATCGTTCGAGGCTGTGTTGACATGAAGTGACTTTAAACACCCCGGACAAAGACTGCGGTGACAACGGGATCTCGAGGCCTACTTGGCAATCGAAGAACGCACTTTCACCCTTCTCTAACTTTCAAATTCATTTCGAAAGAATGAAATAAGGGATTGTCTAAGCTTTTCAAATAATGCAAAAAAAAATATCAAGCAGGTAGAGTGTTTATTCAATCTTTTTCACCATGAAGTTCACATGTCTCTCTATGCCAAGAAAGTAAGAAGAAATACCGGCACAATAATCCGAGAAAGAAACTCACCTTTCTTTCCACATGTAGTAAAGAACCCATCGAATGATTACTGGATTTGTGGATTAGTCTGGTTCCAGGGGCTTGGACATGGTGATTCGCTTCGTGACGAGACAACGTCGCACTAGTAAGATCCGTGCGTGTTTCTAATTCCTTCGTGAACCTTGACCCCGAAACTTCGTACATCCATTGTGAAGTTATTGTGCATAAGGAGAAAAGAAATGTGGATTGGGAACTGGTTGGGGATTAAGGTTTGCAATAGGCTAAAACCTGGGTTGGGGTTTGTTTGTAAAGCTTTCGAATATTTGTTTGCTTAGATTTTGTCGATTTGAGCGATTGGAATTTTACTTCTAGTGAAGTCTTCTTTTGAATGTCCACGACAAGCTCTCAATGATGTTTTCTTCAATAATAATAAACAACAGGCTTGATAAAGTACATCTTTGAATTATGATCATATGAAATAGTTCTTCATCAGATTCTACCTTGAGTCCCGATTGGACGATATTCCCAAACACTTCGCGCACAGACTAGTGGTAACCAAGATGCGAAGTTCTCACATCACCATTGCATTTTTGCATTTTTGCGACCATTTGACAAGGCAAATTCTGTGAATACCGTTGGCATGAAACGCGCGATCTAGCCTTAGATTATCGCGGGTAGGAAAATCCAACCGTGTCCGTTATGCATGTCGAAAGAATTACTCGTGGATGTGTGGAGGTTGCTCGCGGCCTCAACTATTGTATGCTTTGTCCTCCCCCCGCGATTTCTGTCACTTTGGTTGATCTGGTCGTGATACTTTGATGTATGGTGTACATGTTAATGGAGTATTGAAATCGAGAACTGCGGGACAGAAAAAAGGAATTAATGAGTGGATTAGATTAGATGGATTGGAATGGTGCTGGTCACATATGTAGTTGAATCTTAGTATACCAATGTAAGATCTCATTCCTATTCTATACTCACGTCAAAATGTTGGAGTATCAAGACTGATTGAAAATTCAGACCACTCGAGGGCGTCATGCACCTTACTCAATTTTCTCTCTTAGTCTTCGCGACAGGAACAGGACTATGCAATGCCTCTCTTCTTCGTCGAACCCCACAGCCCGCACCAATATCTACAGCTTCAACAACTCTTCAAACCGTCACACCATCACCTACATCTCCAACTCAACCAGAAGTTACAACACCACCGGGCCTCAAACTCGCTCAAATCGCAGGCATTCTCACAATCCTTCCAGAATGCAATCGCTACATCCTCTCAGCATCCAGCGTTGTCTCCAGCGCTGTCTCTTCAAACGTCGCATCAAACGTTTCTGACCAACTAATATTCCTTAGCACAGCCGCTGCAGCCAGTATCTCCATAGCACAAGCTAGCATCTCCGCCGCTGATGCCAGCGCTTCTAATGCCATCGCCATAGTTCAATCATCCGCGTCGGAAGCATTAGCAAGCGCGAGTGCGGAAGTAATAAATGCCCAAGCAAGCGCCAGCTCAGAGCTCGCGGCAGTATCAGCATCTCTTCTTTCTGCGGCAGCTCTGGCAACATATAGCGCTCAAGCAGCGGCACAAGCTAAAGGAGCTGCGGCGACGGAGAGTGCGTGGGCGATTTCCAGTCAATTGGCTGATGCAACTTCGGCAGTGCAGTTCTCGAAGGCGACGACTTTACCAATGACGGTCGCGGTCGTGTTGATTCTTGGAACGAGTTTTGCGAGTAGTGTTGTTAGTGTTTTGGTTTATCGATTTATCTCCAAGAGGAGGATCAAGCGGGAAAAGGAAAATGAGAATGATATGAGAGATGCACAGAACAGGAGTGGAAATGGATACTATGGTGCTGGTGGAATGGAAAAGGGTCTAAAGAGCTATAGACCTCCGCGCCCGGGGACATCATACAATTACCCCGCCACTCAACACTCCTCTGTTTCAACCTCACATCGGAACGAAAAATACATTTCCCGATATACCCCCAACCCGGAAGAAGAAGTTATCAACAGAGATTATGTAGAAGGAAACTACGAAAGAGGCGATGAGGATAATTATTCCACACACGATATTATCGACATTGAAAAGGAAATCGCAGAGATGGATTACCAGATGAAAATGGCCGAGGCGGAATTAGAGCGAAGAGATAGAGAACGATCTTTTAGAGCGAGTGAGAGTGGATTGAGCAGAAGTAGTAAGAGTATTAGCGTTCTATTTACTCCTAGAGATCTGCCCCAAAAAGCAGGAGAAAGGAGAGGAAGTGGTGCGAGGAGTATTATGAGCATGGGAATCGGCGAGCGATTAAGAAGCATGATGCCTTCATATCGACAATCTCAGGCGTCTTCTTACGAATCGAAAGAATACTCAAAAGACAGCACGCGAAATTCGTCGCGAGAAATGACCGAGGGGTATTTAGAGGAAGGAGAAGAAATTATCTTCACATTGGATGAAAGACCACCGCCCTTACCGAAATCAAACCCAGCCGCGGTAACGAGGCCAACGCATTCGTATACGAATAGTGATACGAGTATTATGACGCTGAGTCCGAGTGTTTATGATGGTGGTGCGAGCAAGAAGGGTTCGGAGCCGGGGAAAGGGAAGGGGAAGGGACCTTTTCGATTTTCGATTGGGAAGGCTTATTGATTGAGCGTCTCGTGGCGCAGTGAACGTTGAACAAAGATATTTTGTAGTTTTATTAGATATTTTATTTTATTTTACTTTTGGGTTGGTTGGGTTGGGTTTGTGGTTACGGAGAAAGCAAGGGATAGGAAAATGAGGCCAGGATACCAGAGATTTTAGAAGATCATTTATTTTAGTTTTAGGTTACTGTATATGAATAATGAACGAAACTTTTGGGGTATAGATTACCCATTCCAAGAAAGTGGTTTCTGATAGTGATTTCATAAGAATGATAGTTTTTATTGCCGCACTGTACTCTCTTTCGAGCATGAAGAGATTCAGAGAGTGATCCGTATGAATCCGAATCATCAGGCGTGGTTGTAGGAGCAGTAAGTTCAGTACTAATTCCTCGCTGTGTGTTTACTCTCTGAGTTGCCTGGCGATGAGAAATATGCTTTGCTCTATAAGATCGTGAAAAGTTACTTTGTCGAGAAGAAGTTTGGAGAGAACACTGAATATCCACAGGAAGTAAAATCCCACGCGATACCCGAGATCACATATACCTAACTCTCCTGTATATCCACACGTTGGCATTTTATATGGAGCCATTATACCTCTCGAGGTTGCTTTTTCCAGCGCTGAATGGAGGGTTGGTTGATTTAGTGTCAGTGAATCTCGCTTACTCCCGACTTGCTTCAATGAATCAAAACTGAGCGGGGAGATTTGTATTACTTGAAACAGGCGATTGGAATAGCTCATGTCAGCAATCATGAGATATGGGATAAGGGATGAAAAATGAGAAATTTTTGCACTGTGAAATGTTGCACTTTTTGTCTTGGCTGGAAGCTTTTATAATGCTTGCGCTGAATCTTAGCTCAAAAGATGAGCTGATAGCACTTGCCAATTTTATTAATTCACCATCAAATCTTCGAAGATGAAATCATGTGCTCGTGTGGAGCATGCTTCAACCGTTGAGGCTAAAGCATCTCTCCTTAGGTTCCGACTTCAGACCTTGCTATATAAGCCTCAGGGTGCAGGCTGTTTATTCGACAATTTCCAGCAACTGTCTCTTGGCAAGCACTTTCATGGATGGAATTAATGGCATTGTCTAAGCATCAGAGCGTTAACGAGATCGTATGACTTGGTGCGGCATGAATTAACGAGACGATATACCGGTGTTGATTTTTACCCAACGTTCTCAGAATTATGCTCTCCAGATCAATCGAGAGAATCTTGTAATGAGAGAGAGCAAAAATAATGGAATCGATCGCACAGTCACCGTATGATAACAAGTGCGCTTGCCACAATCACTCATAGCTAATGTTCAAACAAAGACTGCATAAATCATGTAAGTTCGCATAAAGTCGCTCTCGGGTTCGCTCTCGGTCTTAGCAAAAGCTGTTCTGAGTGGATAGTCAAGCTTAGCGACTGAATAATAAGTTTCCATGTGGAATATTCATGAGGAATTTCTTTGTTAGAGGCTGTCAAGGTACGATTCACCAAGTGACAGAAGAACAGAAACGTAGTGTATGAAGATGAATAACACGCAAGTAAGTAAGAACTGCCCTCTTCAAGCACATGAGGTTGCCCACCCTCGTAAAATATTTGTAGAAAAATAGCATAAATGCTTCTTGCCCTTTCCCCCAAAACTTGAGAAATGACCCAAGCAAAGGGATTGAAAACGAAAAAGGGTAGGGTCACTTCGTGGCAGTTTTGAATCTCCAATATTGAAAGTTCAACAAACATAAGTTCGGGAAAGAATGACGAAGGGATCAAACGCTGGAAGATACGAGCATTGTCAACTTGCAGCTTTTGTCGTCATATTCGTCATAGGTTTGAGACGAATAAATATTACTGTCGTTCTTTGAACAAATTATCAGATTAAAACTCACTTGAGCCTCGAAACATGCCATATCGAGAACCGGAACGTGCAACGCGAAGAACGAAGAACGACTACCAGACCCTCGAGCTCTGGGCGCACCCATATTTAGATTCGCTTAGAAGTAGTTGAAGTGATTATCTCAATAGGTTACAACACTGACGTCTCTTAAATATCTACAGATAGGAAAGAAACTTGATTTGCTGCATGGGGGAGTAGTGAATCGATTCATGGGTAGATACCACAGGAGCTGTTGTTTGTTATTTGTCATGTTTGGGGGTCAATCATGATCTTCTCAGGAGCAGGGCAGTGAATCTTTCCAACTACTTACTGTATTAGAAGAAAGCATCCATACTTAGGTATCTAGGTACTCGAAGAAAAGAACGCTATCCAAATGAGGTTGACATTCCAAGTCACAAAGGTTGTATTCTCCACCCCCACAATGTTGAGGCGAGGGGTAAACTCTTATCCGAGACCCATTTTTATTCCCCGCAATCAACCAAAATTCCAAACCTCAAGCAGTAGAAATGCAAGTCACTACAGTCGGCATAGTAATCCGATCTCCAAGAATGGATGAAATCAACTCCGTTGAATAGCGTAGGTTAAGTAATCTGGATTTCTCCTCTCCAAGCATCTCATTTTCACTTTATGCTTACTATCATACAAACAAACAAACAAACAAACAAACAACTGCAAACCATCAATTGAAATCTCATATCAAAAACCACCAAAATGGCTGTCAAAAAGATCCTCCTCCTCAACGGTCCAAACCTCAACCTCCTTGGGACTCGTGAACCCCACATCTATGGTTACGATACCCTCGCCTCCATCGAATCCTCTCTCACCACCTATCTCTCCTCCCTAACACCCTCCGTCACTCTTTTAGCCTTCCAAACTAACTGGGAAGGTGCGCTCATCGATCGTATTCACGAAGCGCGTACTGATGGCACCGATGCTATCGTCATAAATCCTGGTGCTTTCACACACTATAGCATAGCACTGCGAGATGCGTTGGCTGGTGTTGATATTCCATTTGTGGAGGTACATATTAGTAATGTGCATAAGAGAGAGGAATTTCGTCATAAGAGTTTTCTGAGTGATAAGGCGGAAGCTGTTATTTGTGGGTTGGGCGTTTATGGGTATAGAGCAGCGATGGAGTGGTGTGTAGGGTATTTGAAAGAGAAGCCAAAAGCGTGAGGGGGGGGGACGATTAAAATTCGATGCGGAAGAGCGTGACATCAAGTGTATATCTAGATATGCAGTATTTCAAGGAAAAGCATATTGAACAACCTTAAAACTCATTGATAGAGACGAGTTGAACAAACTTCCGAGTGGTAGTTATTGTCAGAGAGATCTTCAGCTATCCCGGGAATCTCGGGTTTCCAAGCGAAGTATAATATCCGATTTCTGGAGAGCCCTCTTAGATTTTTGACCCAGATTGTAAACAATTCGACTTGTGTAGTTGCTAATGAAGAGCGGGAGATTTGGCTTTGGGCTAAAAATCAGTAGCATGTGGTATGCGTCAGATATCAATTCCCGGAATCTGAAATCCATGGTCTTTTTATGCAATATGTCATCTTCATTGTCAAGCTGCATATCCGTTTAGCGATGTATCTTCAGTTCAATGATGGGATTTTCACAATGACAACAAGAGTCACAACAGCCGTTTTGAAGTAAGTGTATAGGCTCAACCTCGCATTTGGCCTGTAGCTTTATCATCTCATCAATTTCAACCCCAAGGGGTAATGTTCCAATGGAAAAGACTCTACCAAAGCTCTCACCTATGCTCGCATGTCCTCAAAGACCTTTGGACTCTTGATACCGACTTCTAAGCATACGGGTGGCTTATTTATACCCAGGATTTGTTGTCAGATTTTTGATAATCCGGGGAATAGTTCAAATTGATTTTCGAAATGGAAGTTGACTCTGGGATCACCTATTGATATTAAATCCAGCTGGATTTCTCGCCGTATTCTTAAAATATTTCATGATGATCAAAAAATGGACAAGGACTGTAACGATGGCCGTAGATTGTGCAGAAATATTATGAGGGACTCAATCAATTTTCTTTATTACGCTCAATGGTTTGAGGAGTTGCAAGGGAATTTTTCTCAGTTGTCGTTCGAATGTATATGACAGTGTGCATAATATTATATTATATTGACAACATTGTCGCATGGGACTGACCATTTCTTTGAGTTGAGTGCTTGCTGCACTTGAACACTGTGGCTTTCTCTAGTCTTCTACCAGAAAGCATAGGACATAGCCGTCGCCAAGTAGCATATAACTTGTGGTTTCATCCAAGTGGTTCGACACCCAACTTATACTTGGATGTTGAAAATATGAGCTAGAGTGTAAGAAGACTCAAATAACAGTAAGAATTTGTCTCGGAGCTTGGGATTAATATCGCTGCAAGTAAATGCATTACACCGAGCTATATAAATAGTATTAAAACTCACTAAGAGTTCACTAATATAGCCATACGCTCTATCAAAAATGACCTCAGGGCCACGAGTCTATGATTGGTAAATTATCGTTCCGAAACTACTGAGAACACTTCTTATAACTCTCAAGCTGTTCAAAAGCTCATTTCCCCTTCCTCTCAATCCTCTCATTCCTCTCTTTAAGACAATGATGGCAATCAAGATCTGAAATTGACGACAAAATTACAAAAATAAATCGCTATTCAAGATTTGAAACGCCTACAGAGGTCATGATCTCGTCAATAACGTCATAATAGTATCTTTTCCGAACGAACAGACGTCAGAGCCTTGATAGAGCCCGTGACGAATTTGAGCATTTTTGCAGGTCTCTCATGGGCAGGTATGTAATCTTTTATCCCTCCCTGGCTTTGAGAAAGTCAGGCTTGTAAGATGGGCTTGATCCGAGCTCCAAACTTCAAGTGAATTAGCATATTCTCCTCGGATGTGGCTTATAGATTCATTTCGAGCAGTATAAAGACAATGGACTTGGAGTATCGAAGTAACAGCGAGAACATGCCTCAACAACTGAAATGCTAAGATCTTAAGGGGTAGCAGGTAAGTGCGCAGCAGAAGATTTCAGATCATTGGCTATTTGTCGCGCGCTTTCGAGCTCTAAAATCACATTGTTTATCATATGCTTCCCATCCATCCTGTACTTCTATACTCAGCATGACCTTCCTCACGATTCTTCGCTGCGAGTGAATGAAAGACATTGTTGTCATCTGATAGCTGATTAATTTAACACTGTGCGTATGAACAAGATCGTCTAGCTGTTAGTTAGAGTATATAAAAAAGTATGTCTATCTATCTAGAACCACATGGGCAATAGTAACATTTTGCAGCAAAGATATTAAGGAGAAATTCAACCAAGCACCAGATATGGTCACCGAAATCCCCAATGACCAGTGGATTTGAGGTAAGAGGGAAAAACATAAACGGAATAAATGCAATCCTCTATTCTAGTGGACTCCCGAGTTTGTTACTTTGACAGCGAGGATTTAAAAGTGATAGAGGAATCTATCCACGACAGGGCGATTGCGAGATGTTAAGTTATCTCAAGAACCAAAAAGAATGCTCTACCAGCGGGTGCCAATACCGAATTGCGAACTTTAGAGGAACACTTTCTGAAATTCCAAACAGTACAACGCGACGGGAATTCCACATAGCCATAGTATCTTTTGGTATCCTTTTTTAGTACATATCTGATGTTGGAAACAAATCATTGTGCTCGTTTTTATACTCACCTACGGATTATTTATTGGAAGGGTTTGTTAACTGAGAGTTTAACCACGATATTCCCTTGATAAACTTGGATATCTTTGTATAGAACCGCGCGCCGAATGTAGATGAAGTATATAAATAGATGAGGGTTCGTACTGGCTACGGTACACTCAAGCTGTTCAGGCCAGGCAAAAGACGTCAGGTACGACTTAGCACGTAAATGTAATATACTTGTCTACAGCTTAAACCCAGTCGTGGATATTCCAGTTTTGAACGCCCTTCTCCGATGAGCCGAGGAAATACAGTTTCTCCTTCGATACTTCTTATCGCCTTGTACTTAATGTTGTCATTGTTGTCCACTGTCTACAATCTAAGATGATGAAGATTCAAAACGATATCAAAGTTCATCCCTCACAACAAATACAACCATAACCATAACTCCAGGACTCCAAGACCTTTCACCCCGATGGCAAAAACCACAAGCAGGGAAAACTTCACCAGCTATCGAGTTCAAGAGCCGCAAAACAATACCAACGCACCCATGATACGATCATTGGATTTTAGAAGCATGTATCATGCCATGTAAAGCATTCATACATAGACCTCTTTATATCCGAACTTTGATATTATTTACGTGCGTATCAAGTCTTGTTCGGTAAGTTGATCCACCGGGGGTATCCAGTATCCAATCATCGATGTGAATTTGTATGCGAGATTCGTTACGAAATCTCATGCTCTATAGAAATGATTTCTCACTTTAGATACAAAGGATGTATCCTCTTTGCTAGTATACGAATCTTGAACCCCATTCCTCGTCTGCAAAATTAATTATTATAAAGTTAGCCGTCCACATACATACATAAAAAGCATCACTCAATCTAGAATTGAAATTCTCAATCTAATGCATAGCAGATATCCCCCCCCCTTCTCCCAAATCAAGAGGGAGTAGGTTCCTTTAAATAGTCGGCATAAATTCCGTCTGGAATTGAGCGATAGGAGATGGAGGGGGAGACTGGTGTGAAGGTGGGGCTTGAGGGACTATTATTATAAGAGCCTAAGTCGGGGAAAGTATCCGGCTCTATTTTGAACTATTTAGATGTTAGTAGCGAGAATCGAAATGAATTATATGTGACGAGCAAACCGGGTATGCATTCACAAGAAGGGGTTCTGTCTTGGGCGCAAGGATTTCTGCAAGGCTAGGTGACTCTTCATTTGTGGTAAGGGAATGATACTTTTTATTGTGTTTGTTCAGGAGCACTCGGGTGACAAAACAACTCGTGAAATATGCACACGAAGAATGCGCGCATCGATACCGATGTTGATGATGTGACTCATGCTTGTCCCGTTGAGAGGAAGTTTCAAAGCCATCAACATTACGAACACAATTTACATATCGACATATGAAAACTGAGGCGCCATAAGTCTCTCGAAGAACTTGTATATCCATCTGGTTGATATTAGGAAACGCCACCGGAGCATTGGTTCCCAACAGAGACTCGATCGTTTGTTGAAATTGGTGGCCAATGGTACTTAAGTGAGTAGGATCCATTTCACATATATCCAGTGAGATCTCTGCCAAATTTTAGACCAAACATTAAATGTCGAAAGGTGCACTTACTTTCCGGAGATTTGTCTAAAGCAGCCTCCGAGTGTAACTTCGACCGGGCTTTCAACCGAAGAATATCTGACATTAACTTTTTAATTTCAGACAGATGACTCAAACCTTGCAAACTCTGATTGTCGGTGATAGCTCCAGTATTTTCTCGTGTGTCTTTTGGTGGGGTGATTTCTTTCCTATAGCGTAACAAAAATTGCAGTTGATCTAGAAGCTCTGTCGACAGTTGAGCATGCTTCTGAAAACACTCTAGGAGATGCTTGTACCAGAACGCAATGGCATACGTGAGCAGACCATGAAATCCTTTTACGACTACAGTAGCCCTTTGAGCTTCCGTGAAGTTACTTGGAATTAAATTGTCGCAGGAATTCAGTATGGCGATACAAGAGAAAGAGATATTGAGATGTGCGCTTTCACGTGACAGAAATGGCAGCTTCTCTTGATATTCTTCGTCAAGTAGATATCTATAAAATGTTAGCCACCTCATCCTTAAAATTCTAGGGATCCCAAGGGGTTTGCTACTCTCTTGCTGAAAAATGCACAAATTCGACTGTATTTGCGGGACCATCTTCTATAAGAGGACGGCAGAGATCCAATGCTCTTTTCCCGATTCTTGTTCTGGATGTAAGAGTCCGATTTGAACGATCAAGTGCAACTCCATCAAGTATTTCGTAGTTTTTAAGTACTCGATAAGAACATGCCATCCATTCCAAAATACGAATAGCCATGAATCTTGCCGTCTCGGGATTGTTGGGATCCATGATTCTGTCGAGAATTCGACCATACCTAGTAGATATTAATCACATATCCTGGTATAACGAGTGATATCTTACGCTGCTTTCAAACCTCTCGGTAAGCTCATGACTGCCCTTTCCAATGCTTCATCACTGTAGCAAAATTTGAGCTCGTCTAAGACTAGCCGAACCCATAAAAACATACCTAACAAAGTTAGTATCGCTGTTTCTTTTATGGCATTGAACTTGCTTACCATTCGCCTTTTCTATCAAAGTTTTTTCAATTCTCTTCAATAAGTCCTGATCGGAAGTGTCAAGTTTAGACATCTTGTATTTTAGGTAAGACTGAATGTCTTGATTGACTTCTTGGCGGCTGTCCAGAGCGATGTAGGGTTGTTTGAGAAGCCTTGGGCGAATGTGTGCTTCTTTTCGACTAGAAAATAAAACCTTGCATTGAAGCGCTGGACCGATACAAATAGTGCGAAGTTCTTTCAATATCGCTTTTTGATCTTCCTTTGAACATTCATCCAAGCCGTCGATAACGATTCTTGTAGATGCAACAGTCTGTAGATGCTGTGGAACTAAAGCTCTGAGCTGAGTCATTGTGCAGTCTAACCCTCGATAGACAAACTCATTGGCAACCAGAGTGGAAATTTCATGATGCTGTCTAAGAAATTGAATTGCAATGGTTGCTAGGATCTGCTGGCAAACGTTGCCAGAGCTGCGACTGTCACAATAATAATAGCATGTAGTCAATCCAGGCCTCTATTAATCTTTGGATTATGTACGAGCATATAACGCTCTTGCCTTGAGTAATGAAATTAGCCATGTTATTACCTTCGAATTCTATGAAATGGGGGCAGACCTGATCCCGGCTTGCCATGAAGCCACAGGCACGGATCTTCTGTATTGCTCTCTATCCAACTCTTGAATTGCTGTTCCCCCGCCATCCACTCGCACGTCTTGTCATGTCGCTTTTTGGAGATTCTGTCATGCTCAGTTTCTTGATTCTTCCCATCAAGAGTAAACCATGCAATAGCGTGTTGCAAACGAGTAGCTTTCGCATTCTTTTCAATCTCTTCGACCATTTCTAAGTCTCGCTTCAGTCTCAGCTGTATGTCTTCTTGCATTTTAACTCGTGACTCTCTTGACTCGACGATATCAAAAGAAGCAGCCTCTATGTCGATAAAGTCTCGATGTTTCTTCAAAGAATTGATGATGGAATCAAATCGACTCCCGAAATCCTTCCAAAAGGAAAGAAAGATAACATGCCAAGCTAAATTCTGTTTTCAGTATCGGTAAAAGGATCAGAGTTGATCTACTTACCTCTTTGTCGAAGGAATTTGTGAGTACGTTGATGAAATTCCAGAATGTTAGTATATACTGTAGCAAGCGATTGCTGAAATTCGATGTTATTATCAAAAGCCTTTTGATATCGGTCAAATCGTGGTAAGGCTCCACCAATATCAACATATGCTGAAATCAAGGCCTCGAAAATATCACGATGGTGACTCGCAATCTACTAGAGAATAAGCCTGAAGCCTGTACACAAATCATGGGATACCAACTTGAAGCATAAGTTTTATTGGAGCCTATGTACCAATTATCATCATCACTTTCTTCATTCGATTAGGTAGAAGGGTACGAACCCATATGAACGACAAGTAAGGTGTGCCATTGCATAAAGTTTCAACTATCTTCGAGTACTTTTCAACACCTCGCAAGAAAGGTTCGATACGGCGTAGATTCTGACCAGATTGCCGTTGCCTTTGTGAGCTATCGATCTGGCGAACGGCCAGCCACACACCTTTTAACTCTGTTGAGGCGAAGTTATGCGCATCTTTTTGGGAGATTAAAGATTTGAGCCTCTTGAACGCACCAGCAATGGTATCCTGGGGGCTTGCCGTGAGGTATCTATAACAGTATGATTTACTCTATATCGAAGAATTATGTTCTATAGGAAATTGAAAGCGACCGAAGAAATGCATCAGCTTTTCATGGTATTTGTATTGGTTAAATGGAACTCAAGGCGTTCTACCAGGCTTCCGTGATGAAAGTTAAGTTGCACCGCATGAAGGCTTAGCTAAAAGGTGCAGTGAAGCTGGACATACGTGGAAGTTTGCTGTGAACCTCTCATTCGTCGATTATCTCCATTGTACAGTAGTATGCTGTAGGGATCACTTGACTCGCTAACGGCGCTGACGAATACAGTTGGCATGCAGGACCTCCACTCCTCAGGAAATCGTACTGGCTCACTTTATTCTTATACACACAACACTTGTTTTATTTCATCCGCGATATAACCTTTACGAAAAATAATTGAATTAACGGTCAATCAACCTTACCATAATATGTATTTCTCTAGCTGTTCATTGCTGTGGTACTGTCTTTACGAGTTCCTCCAGACGAAGCAAAGTTTTCAATCTTGACGATGTCTTACAAAGAACGACCAGCCAAGCGTATGCGGGTTAACAATACTGGCAACCATGAAAGTAAGATCAGAGCAGATGAGGTATACTCGCCTACCGTTGAAAGCTCGAATGCCCTAAGAACGTTTGAACGGGAAGCATATGAATGTTGTTATGGGATGGTAAAAAAGATTTAGATATCTCTAAGATCCTTTCAAAAATTAACAACAGAGTAGTTGAGCGATATCGCCGTAAAGAAACTATGCAGTTCAGAGACGCATTCAACTCCTATAAACGTCGAATTTCATGGCCCTAATCATCTTTTCTCGGGTGATGATCATCACTCAACTTCATGCGACATATCAGAATTTGCATCGGCCAAGATCATCAATGACTTGGTAAGTGTTCCAGAGATCGAAATGCAGTTATATTGACATCCAAAGATTGAATTCGGCCATGGTGGACACAGTCGACGGATGATCAAACGTTCTGAAAAATTGCGTCGACTGTGGTTTTTGAATGTAATCATTTTTGGTCCAGAACATTTTGCTGAAAAGATAGGGGAATACTTATCAATCAGAAAAATGTATCTTCAAGATCCACTTGGTTGTGAATGGTGCGTTCCGTACCATAACCCCCATGCTATGACCCCCGACACGGGGGAAAGTTGTGATGACAGACTTATCTCTCTTGGTTCCTGGACATCACGATATAGAGGAATTAAAATCTGGACCAGATCTTTTAGCGCAGTTGATGGAAGGGGAGGCTCCTTTGAGAGAGACCGAGCCACCCAAAATTGTGAAGACTTCTTTATTCAGGTAAATTACTAGCACATTCATCAAGGTATCTTCCACAGGGGCTTATGGCATCTTCACTATAGGCATCAAAAGCAAGCTCTGACTTTCATGCTACGTCTCGAGGAAGGTTGGACTTTTGATGATGCAGCTTCTGACATATGGAGTTGGCGGAGTGATGTTTCGGGGCGATTCAGGTACACCTCCTAATTCTTCTAATCAATTTTTGTGTTGACTGAAACCATTAGTTACGTAAACAACGTCACCGGATACAGCACATGTGAAGCACCTCCAGAATTCCAAGGTGGTCTACTAGCAGATGATATGGGATTGGGCAAGACGCTCACCATGATATGTTTGATAGCCTCGAACCAAGCTTGCTTGGATTATGGATTACCGCAGGCTCATTCTCGTCCTTCTGAATTGAGGCTTTCGAATATTTCAAAGGCTACACTACTGATTGTACCTCCAGCATGTATGTTCCATTCCATGATAAGGGAGGTCATTGTCCAATTCTAACGCAAGAATAGTGATACAAGCATGGAAGTATCAGTTCCGATTGTAAGTCTACGCATATTTCTGTCAAATTGAAGTTGCATGGCATGCATCCTTGCACTCGTGCTACATTTATGTGGTACTAATATATCTAGACATCTCGTACCGCAAGCACTAGCATGCCATATCTACCATGGCAACAACAAAAAAAGCATAGATTTTCTCAGACAGTTCGATGTTGTCATAACTACATACCACACTATTGCGGCCATTTGGAAGCATCACAGCGCTCATCCAGATGATGAATCTTTATATTCTCTCACATGGCATCGCATAGTACTAGATGAAGGTGAGTACAGTATGTAGTATAAGCTTCAAGCTTGTTCCTAACTTCAATAGCTCATATAATCAAAAATCCTCAGAGCCAGCTAGCTCGAGCTTGTTGTGCTCTCAAAGCCACAAGACGATGGGCGATAACCGGAACTCCGATCCAGAACAAACTTGCAGACTTCGCCAGCATTGTAAAGTTTCTGCGCGTTTATCCTTATTCCGATACAAGAACTTTTTCAGAAGAAATTACCAAGCCATTTAGGAATTCATCCTCGATGGATGCGAAAGGGCTTTTACGACTCAAAACACTTGTGCGCGCCATTACCATCAGTCGCACAAAGACAGTTGTTGAACTTCCAGCACGGGTTGACGAGATCCACCATCTCGATTTTACCTCGGCTGAGCGAGAGAAGTACGAGGCCGAGAAAGTGCGAGCGAGAGTGCTACTGGAGAGACCGATCTCTTCTGGGAATCAGAGTGGAAAAACATTCAATGCGCTGTCACTACTCAACCGCTTACGTCTGATCTGCAATCACGGTCTATTACAGCTTACGCCTACTACAGATCATTTAATGTCTCAAGGGAGTGATGTTGTCGCGTGTTGCTCCATGTGCGGCGACTATCTACAGGAAGAGATCTTTGGTGACCCTTTTTCTTCGGGTATTGATATTCAACGCCAACCATTATGCGAACAATGTATTCTTCAAGACGGAGACAATTGTTCTCGATCTCCGAGTAACAGTTCAAACTTCCCAGATACAACAGAAGATTTGAGATCTGTGGCACCACAAATAGCTACAGATACTGCATTTTCTGTCCAACATATGTCGACAAAGATCAAAGCGCTTCTGGCAGATCTCCATAAATACAAGAATGCGGAGAAAAGGTCAGTTCATTCCAATAAAACCAAAAAGTATGTCAGGAACTAATGTGTGATAGTGTCGTGTTTTCATACTGGACGAACACTCTTGATCTTGTGCAAATGATGCTGGATAACCAAGGAATAAGCTACACAAGAATTGATGGGACGATGTCCCTCTCCAAAAGAAATGAGGCTTTAGGTGCTTTCAAGAACAAAGATACTGTTGGCGTAATTCTTGTCTCAATCACTTGTGGTGGTGCAGGGTGAGTTATGTCTGTTGCAAGTATTCCTGTTTTAGCAACTAATGGATATGAGCAGGCTCGATCTTACCACTGGGTCGAGAGCATATCTTCTCGGGCCACATTGGAACCCAATGATTGAAGAACAAGCTCTCTGCCGTGTACATCGAATTAGTCAGAACCGAAATGTTACTACCATTAGATATTTGATGCATGATTCGTTTGAAGAGGTAAGCTTGCCCACTTTTGTCTTCCATCGGGATGAGATTTGATGAGAGCTCCTGGTGAAACTTATGAGATGCTGATAGCTTATAGCAAATTGTGTATCTTCAAAGGAGAAAGGAGATGCTTGCAGATGTTACGTTTAGTCAAAATTGCATCTCAGAAGCTGGTGTCGATATGAGCATTTTACCAGTATGCTTCCCAAGTCAACCTTCAAATCTCGGTTGTAATTCTGACAAACATCTAGTACTTGAAATCTATCTTGGAGTAATATCATAGGATAGGTCTAAGATTATTGCTCAGTTATTTAGTCGCACCTTACAAGATGTTACTATTATCTAGTAAGAGCCGAATTCATAATGTTGACTGCAGATTCGCTATCGTCAAGCCAGGATACTTTCGATGTCGGCTTTAAGTATGTTTCTCCGCCAGCAAATCGAGGTATATACTCGGTACGACTGTAAAAATACTAGAAGTAGTGAGAAAGAGGTAGAATTCAGAGATATAAAAATACTCGGATAGCATACATAGATAATCTTTGGTTTAGGAGAGCGTGAAAGTCAAAGTTGAGTGCACAATCGAAGGATATCAATTGATGATTGAATTGTTCAATGTAATTAGGGTCCGCCACAGACAGATAGTGGAATGGGTGGAGGAGAAGCTGAAATCCGCGGTCGAACTCGAGCTGTGGATGACCTGCTTTTAATGGACTTTTGGTAACTATGTATGAAGAGCTGGTGATATATAGATATGCACTGATAGCAGTATGTACACTCGTCCATCTAGGGAGCAGTAAAATCAGTACAAGATATTGATGAATAGTGAAACATTTGACAATGAAAACAAATGTGCTGCAGAACCAAAAGATAAGGAATTGTGCACTTGTACATGCAATCCCAATTTTTAAGCGCGATTCTGATACACTGTGTTAATTATTTAGTTGTTGGTCTTGTGTGTCCTAGTCACATAGGATTGGCGACACCCAGAGCAAGTCATGCCATGCTTTTATATATGTGTACTACACCTCCTAGTTTGGGACAAGCGAATGTACTCAGGGGTATGTGGATATTCGAGATGTGATTGAATATTGAATATTGAATATTGAATTCTAGATTATCAATGAGTGTCGAAGATGATAGAGAGGTAAATGAATTGTAATAAATGCATGCTTATGCAATTGTATTGTATTGTTTTGTGTAATCATTTAATGAATAAGAATGATAATTCAAAATGATGAGAACTCATTTGGAATTCTTTTTTTCTGATTCAAGTAGTATTTGCGGAGACGTAAGCAACATATCTCTAGGGAGCCACATTATAATAATCTCACATAGATTTATTTGAAGAGTGTAATGAAGGAAAAATCCACGAATAGCCGTGATGGAACATCGTTTGATACTGAATGATTACAGTAAAACCATCAGACTAGTTTTAGTCTTCTCGTGGCTTAGGTCAAACGCGTATCAAACGTATTAGATACCCCAATCTGCCTAGTTGAGGTGGAGGTAGAATGCATGATGACGAGGACGACGACGGAAAAGACGGGGAAGAATGGAGAGAGTGGAGAATACATGGAGAATGCAATGTAAGAATGGGAAGAAGATAGGTGTGTCAAGTCGTGAGATATAATACCGCAGCGGAACAAGAGCGGATGTTGAATGGAGACATACCCAAGCATTCATCCAAAAGCATTCAACACATTCCAACCCAGAATTCACCCTTCTCACGAAACCTTTCCCAAAGAGAATCCACCAATTCTGTCCTCCGTTTGCAATTCCAAATACGACGTCCGTATCTAAAGTTCACTCCTTCCCAAAGCAGCCATCCAAGCGATAAGTAAGTTTTGCACGGAGATGGGGAAATTATCATCACCGAAAACGAACAGAATGAATCCCACGCACGATAAGAATGTATGTGTGTGTGTATGTATGTATGTATGTATGTATGTATGTATGTATGTATGTATGTATGTATGTGTGTATGTATGTATGTATGTATGTATGTGTGTGTGTGTATGTGATGGAATGCAACGCCAACAATTGATTTTTTGTAAATTCAATTGTATACGAGTACGTACTAACTAGTTTGATAACTTGATAGATTATATACATTTACTAGGTAGCTAGTACATACATATATATATATATATATATATACACACATACCTACATATATATACATACCTACCATACACATTACATACTTCTTGGAAACATGAATATTATATCCAAGTATTTATCTATCTACTATCTATCTACTCAAAATACAACAACCTCTTCTCTTCCTCTTCTCACTGAGTAATCTTACAATTTCCTTCACATTATATTAAATTTCACGATTATATGAATCAAATGAAACAAAGCACAAATCACCCCCATCCATACATAATAACCATAACCATAACACCAAAAACAAAAAAAAATGACCCCTTTACCTTTACCTTTACCTCTCCCTTTACCCCAAAGATACGCCCAAGCTTCACACCTCTCTTCATCATCTCCACTGCGTCATTTCAGCCTCAATCTGGCCTTAGCAAAAGATTCCATTCTGATAAATGGTTATCAACCACCATCACGTAAATCGAGACTAAGACGACTACCGTTGAATTTAGTGCGTTTGCCCATTTTAGAGGAATTGGATGGGATGAGTACACTTTTGGGTGAGTTTGACTTCTTTTGGAGGGTTTGGATTGGAGATGATGATGTATGGATTTTGTGATGTGAATTATTCGAGGTGGAAATATCTTGAAAGGAAAAGAAATCTATGAGAGCAAAGGTTGGATTGATGGTTGATGATTGATGATTGATTGATCCATCATTTGATTGTGCAATTCTTGGGATTCGTTTGCTGATTATGGTTGGTTTTACCAAACGATTAGTCTCAAAGGCTAAAAAGGTATGTGTTCAGTGTTTTGTTTCGTTTGCTTCGATTTGATTTGGAGATGAATAATGGGTTATGGATGGGCGAATGGCGAATGGCGAATGGCAGATGGAGGAGAGAGCAAGGGAAAATATCTATCATTTGAAAGCTGCGCAGGTGGGCAGATGGAGGTTCAATTGATGAGGAAAGGGGAGAGAAAGGAGAAAAGAAGATATAGAGATACATCATTCATACATACATATAACTAACAATCACTTCTTCAGCCAAAATTTGATTTTGTCCTCCGAGTAAGTTCTCCTTCCCAAGATTCCAACAGATTCACACTTCTTTTTCAACCCAAACTAACCTCCCCTCCTTCAGTTGATAGATCTCAACAACGTCCCTCTAACCAGTGGAACTGCATACATAAAATGGCATATCTCTTCCTCTGTTGCCTCCGAGCATTCAGGACAAACCCCTCGCTCCCCTATCAAAGAACATAAAGTCCATTGGGATTACAGCCGATCCATCCCCGTCCGTCTCACAATCGATAAATCAAACCATCTCTCCGAATGTCTTATCCATTTCGAAGTCATCCAAGATTATAATTCTGGGGCTACTTCGAAAGGGGAACGAGTCACTTTAGGACATATTACGTTGAATCTGGCGGAATATGTGGAAGAGAGTGAAGTTGAGGGCGAGGAGGGTGTGGTGAGGAGATATTTAATGCAGGATAGTAAGATTAATAGTACGGCGAAGATTGGAATCAGAATGCGACAGGTAGAAGGGGAGAGAAATTTCGTCGCGCCAACATTGAAGAGCGCACCTGTTTTTGGAGGGATTGCGGGAATAATGAAGGGCGAGACGGGGGACAATGGTGATGATGTTTGTAGTGAGTTTACATCCTTTTCTTCATCATTCCATTTATCTCACAATGCGCGAATGCGACCCGGGATGCCATACTAATTCTTCCATAAAGATATGCCACAACTTCAAAAATCCTCCGATAAATCCGATCTTCACGATATGTATCGACGCGCCCTCGCGGCCTCTTGGACTTGTTCTCTTGCCGAAATGCCCGCAGATGAATGTGTCGAAGATATATTCGCCGGAGGAGATGGCTGGAAACGCGATCCGGATTCTTCCAATTTCGATCACAATGAGTACAGTCGAGATATGCCTCGCATAGTACAAGATGATAGGGAATTGAGCGCGAGTGGGGGAAGCGGAGAGGACTTGAGAAGACACAGGAGAAGTCATAGTGATGCGAGTCAAAAGAGCAATCTTACCACATCATCTTCTGTTCCTGGAGGTGGAAAATTGGGAAGAGCAGATGGGAGAGGTCATCGATATAAGAGAAGTACCGATACAACACGTAGTGGGGTTTCATCAAGTGGAGGCAGGAGCGTGAGTGCACAGTCTGGACTGTCGAGTATGGGGGATAGAGATGATGAGATGTCGATTATGGGGAGTGGAGAGAGAGGAAGACAGGGGAGAGGTCTGGGTCATATTCCGGGGAATCATCACGGGTATGTGAGGCCGAGGGAAGTGGATGAATTTGATATGAGAGAGGATTTGGTGGCGTGGAAATTACCCGGGGAGGTTTCCTAGATGGATATGGATATGGATATAGGTGTGGAGGGGAAATGGGGCTTGTGTATAGACAGATGGTAGATTGGACTGGGCTGTACATTGGATGCCGAAAAAGAATAGGCTGGTTTCCGTTTGGGCTTGCGTATATATGGAGTTTCTGGAATTTCTGACCGGGACATGGCCAAGAAACATTGGAGAAGCATAACATCATGGATAGGCGGGCGGATGGATGGATGGAGGAACCACGGAAAAAATAAATTGGTTGGTTGGTTTTGACCATAGATTTTTAATTGCTTTAATTTATAACACTCTATTTTTCTCGTCTGAGATATCTTTCTGTTCATGTACCTCTGCTAAGTAGAAATTATGCATTGATCTTGATTGATGTATGTAGGTAGGTAGCTACCTAGGTATATCGAACTCCTAAACGCCTCGCCTCGCTTCGTTTCTTCTTCCTTTTCTTCTCATCCATATCTTCTAGCTTACGACCCTTTCGTTTCTAATGTGTGTAGTTTGCAATTATGCCATGGCCGTGTATCAGAAATGGAATGAAACGAAATGGCGGAGAAGATATATGCTCCAAGATTGGTATGTTGGACTCTTGATAGGATAGAGCCATTAGACCAATTGTGAAATGGGTTTTGTTTAACAACCGCATCCGCATCCGCATCCATATCCACAGATCTTGAGATCCTCTTCATCTGAAGAACCCCCCTCTCCCTCATCCCTCATAATTCCTCACTACCTATAACTCTCCACCCATCCCCTCCTCCCCCTCCAAAACCCTCCCCCTCAAAATCCTCACCTCCTCCACCGGTCTATCCTCCGCCCCCGTCTTCACAAGCCCCATCCTCTTCACCGTCCCCATGCCCCTCGTCACGCGTCCAAAAATCGTATGTTTCCCATCCAACCACGGCGTAGGCGCCAACGTAATAAAAAACTGCGACCCATTTGTATTCGGGCCCGAATTCGCCATCGAGAGGATCCCCGCCCCGGTATGTTTTAGCGAAGGCAGATTGGTCCCCGCCGGGGGCGATAGCTCGTCCTCGAATTTCTCCCCGTAGATCGAGGTTCCGCCGCGGCCGGTGCCCGTCGGATCGCCCGTTTGCAACATGAAGTTGGGGATGATGCGGTGGAAGATGATGTTGTCGTAGTAGCCGCGTCGGATGAGAGTCTCGAAGTTGGTGCAGGTTTTGGGCGCGTGCGACGTGTAGAGTTCGAGGGTTATGGTGCCCTAGGAGAGGAGGGGGTTAGGTGGGTTTGAGTGATGGTTTGCTGGTTCTTTGGGGAAGGGAGGTTTGGGGAATGGAGGCAGAAATTATGATCAGAACTCTGTGTAATTGTCTGCCGTATGAATGACGCTCAAGCCGAAAATATTCCTAGAGCTCTCTGTAGCTATCTGCCATAGATGACGCTCCGCTGGCCCTCCGGGAGCCACTGCCGTGGAGGCAGAGTATTGAGGGCGGGGAAGTAATTGGGAAATCTGTACACACCATTGTGGTTTCTAGGGCGATATTTACAGCCATTTTGTATGTTTGTATATGTATAATCAATCGATTTTGACCAATTAATAATATAGAAGCTAAAAAGTCAATTCAAAGTGAGAAAAGAGTAATACGTCAAAGATTCGAGAAGGCTTCAATTTATTGTTTACTTTTCTGCAAGGCTGAAAGAAGCTTGTCGCCCACCAGTGGCCTTGTGGGATCCCTGCTGGTTGTTTGGGTTGTTTGTTTCTTTGGGAAGGACAACATCTATAACTAACTTCATATTCTATTTTCATGATGTTCTAGCTAAAATTCAAAAACTACATTCACTTCAAATTAGACTTCATATTTCTGAGAGTGAAAGAGCTTAGCTGACTAAAAACGAAAGGATCTAAAATTTAAAGTTCCCACAATGAACTGGCTTCAACTGTGAAAATACTCTCAATAATTACCTCACAACTCAACTTCCAACCTGTCAATCCCATAGTGGTCACGATTTGCTCCATACCAACACCAAACAAGTCAACCACGCAATATGGACAACGTCAAAGATTTAGTAGCCAAATATGGCTCTATGATCTACACACATCGAGAAATGATTAAATTGGAAATTCATGTTATTCTCGCTGCTCTCTTTCCCATCTACATTGGATCACATGCATCACTGCAACGCCCTCCTTCCGCCTCACCTCGCAAATCCTCTTCTTCTAATCGTCTCCAAACCTCAGATAAGGAAGATGAAGAAGAATCCCGAGCTCAAATGGAAGGTATGACACCTTCTGATGCTATCGTCTTTCCACTTCTAGCTGCTGTGGCGTTGGGAAGTCTCTATTTTATTATTAAATGGTTGGATGATCCCGCTATTCTTAATAAAATATTAGGATGGTATTTCTCTGCTCTGGGAATCTTCGGAGTCGGGAGATTGGCAAAGGATTCATTGGATGTGGGAGTGGGTTTTATTTTTCCAAATGTGTGGACGAGGGGAAACAACGTTTTCCATATCGATCAGAAATCGAGACGTCAAGTTTCTGAAGATGGACAGGGGAAGTTGGTTAGTACTGGAGTCATGAGTCCTCTTCCTGGACGACTTTCGAAGATCAATCTACCAAAAGGAGTTACTATTGCGTTATGGAATGTTCGTGGTCTGCTGAGAACAAATTATACGGTTCATCTTCACATTAAGAATATACTTCCTCATCAGAAGTCTCCGATCAAATTCACATCACTTCTCGGTCTCTTGATAGGTATCGCCACAATTACAGCTTACAATCTGATGAATGCACCATGGTATCTTACGAATCTTATGGGGTTCGGGTTTTGCTATGGATCTCTTCAACTTATGTCTTTGACTACATTCTTCACTGGCTCCTTGGTTCTCTTCGGACTTTTCTTCTACGATATCATCATGGTGTTTTATACACCTTTAATGGTAACCGTGGCTACAACTCTGGATGTTCCAATCAAACTTGTGTTTCCAGCGGGCGAAAGTGGAAGAGGTAGTATGTTGGGATTGGGAGACATTGTTCTACCGGGAATATTGGTCGCGCTGGCTTTAAGATTCGATTTGTATCTGCATTATTTGTATTTACAGAAACCAACCTCTTCTACCGTTTCTCCTGCCACAACCTCAAAGAAAGCCCTCTCAAACAAATCAACAACACCCATTCCATCATCCCAAAAACCAGCCTACAGGCCGGCAACCGGTCTCTGGGGTGAACGTTTCTGGACCTCTTCCTTCTCACCTCTCTCCTCTTCCTCCATCGAAACAGGTGTCGAAGGAACTCGTTTTCCAAAACCTTATTTTAAAGCCGCCCTTGCGGGATACATCATTGGAATGCTCGTAACATTATTCGTTATGAATGTGTGGAAACATGCACAGCCAGCTCTCTTGTATCTGGTTCCTGGTGTCGTATTTAGTTTGTGGGGAACGGCAGCTGTGAGGGGAGAACTAAAAGTTATGTGGGAATTTACTGAGGATGGGAGTTTAGAGGATGAAGGGAAGAAAGATGAGGATAAGAAGAAGAATGAAGGAGGTGAAAAGAAGAAAGTAGATGGGAAGGTCGAGAAGAAAGATGATGATAAAGTGAAAGAAAAGCAAATCTCAAATGGAGAATTAGCAAAGAAGGAGAAAAATCACGAAGAAATCAAAACCAAACTCGCAGAAGCGATCGATACGTTGATGGACGATTCAGATGCGAGTTCGATATTGTCTGATGGGTCGATTTCGTGGCCTGAAGATAATGGAAATGCAAATGCGAGTGAAGCGGATGATGAATTGGTTTATGATAGGTCGGAAAAGGAAAAGCATCAGAGGATTGAGAAAATGACGAGGAAGGGTTTGAAGACGAAGGAGAAGGAGAGGAAGATGGAAAAGGAGAAGGAAGATCAAATTTTCCTCTTTTCTATTACGGGGCCGGGCTCAAGGGGTGCGGAGAGGAAGGGAGAGAAAACAGGGGTGGATGGAAAGGGGGAGGGGGAGGGGAAGAAAAATAGATGAGAGATTGTGGAAGGTGGAGGCCAGTACGAGGTGAAATCAAAGACTAGAAATGTCTAGTCGTAGCACTCAGAAAACAGGAATGGAAAATACATAGGTATCCATCCATCCTTGATATCATAGTAATCACAGCATAGAAGGAATAAGAGAGGAATGAAGAAATAGCTGCAGATAATCCATGAATTAAATAAATAAATGAATAGATGAACAGATGTATACTAGGTACCTATATCGCCTACACATCCCATCCCGTCATATCCCATCCCATCCCATCATACCATAACATAACATATAACATTCCATCACATCAAACATCACATCCTAACCCACGAGTAGAAATAGAAAATAAAAATAGCAATAGAAATAGAAACAAACAATAATAAACAAAAACCCTCAAATACCCACCTAGGTAAACAATAAATAATAAAACCCATTTCGCTTCACGCATCACGAACTTTCCCCCCCTTCTTCCCATCCCATATATCTATTCATTTTCCCCCAAATAATATGTTTAGATAGATACCTAGATAATCGTATCATATCATGCAGTTCTGGGTTGTATATTTATTTATTTATTTATTCATTCATTCATTCTATACCTATATAAACACAAAAAAATCAAAAAATAAAATCAAAATTGAATTAGAAAAAGAATCTAGTCTGCCTCCACGGCAGTGGCCCCCGGAGGGCCAGCGGAGCGTCGTTAGGATATGAGGTTTTGGGGTTTTAGAGATCCGAGATTCTGAGGTTTTAGAGTGAAATGATATATGTATTCAGTCGTGGGATCATTGTGAATCATGGACTATGTATATATATATATATATTCGTTTTTTGGATTGTGTGTATTGATTATATCTATTTACTCTGTAGGTAGGTATCTTCTATCTTCTATCTGCCTATCTTCATTTTCCCGTTTGCTTAGCCGGTTCTGTTCTGTTTTGGTGTTGTTGTGTTTAGATGGAATGAAATGAAATAGGGAAATAGTGAGCTCTCTCTTCCACTCTATCTGTTAAGTATCTATCGATAAATCCATCCGCATCTCCCAAGTATCAAATTTGCTCACTCTTTCTTCCCGTTTTCATGTTTATTCCTCTTTGAAACCTTTATTCCATCTCCTTTTAGCTTTCGACTCCCGATTCCCAATTCCAAACTCTCCATAAACCACAAATCCCATGCATATCAAGAAAAGAAGAGACCACATCCAAAACTATCTAAGCTCCAAATGCAGCAGCAGGATAACTTCTCTTTTTCTTTCCACCACTTCCTGAAGCTCCACTCCGACTACTGCTTCTTGAACTTTCTTTACTTTGTTCATCTCCTTGTGCTCTAGGACGCAAAAATACTTCTTCAGGTAGATCGTTCCATTCCCTTTCTGGTCTACGATCTTGAAATGATGTTGTATGTTTTGATGGGGGTGGCCTTGCTGTTGTGCCCATTGGAGGAGGAGGGGGTGTTGATTTCGCAGTCGCATTTTTGATTGAGTTTAATATCGGAGTAGGATTTGTTTGTGGTTGTCTAGAAATATGATCTTGAACCGAGAATCTTCGTCTAAAAACAAATGCGTCTTGTGGTCGTAAACGCCTGTAATATCCTTCGACTAATTCCCCCTTTTCGAATCCGCGCTTGGTATACCATTCTAATGCTTCTTGATTATCGACCCAAACGTGCGCGTATAATCCTTCTATTCTGACTCCAATTGGTATGCGAGAAGATGTAGCAGATTCGATGACGGAGTTTAGTAGTGCGGTCGCGAGACCAAGGGTTCGGTAGGGGGAAAGTAGAGTGAGAGATTGTAGATATATACTATACGTATTTGTGGGAGGTTGGGCATTTGGAGAAGGTGGAGGAGAGGGATCGATTCGACAGATTAGGGAGCCGATGACTTTTGGTTCGGAGTTGGAGTCTGGTGTATATGTAACTACTCTTGAGAAAGAGAGAGAGATTGGTATCGAAGGAGAAGGGGGAGAAGTAATAGCGTGGTAGAAAGCATCTGGATATGGAATTGGAAGGAGGAGAGCATTAATACGACGTAATGGTTGAATATGATGATCTTGCGGTATTTCGATTTTATAACCCTGGGGAAGTTCCTGAGATGATGCAGATAATGGATCTAGAGAATCTGGGGTAGCGGTAGTTGCGGTGGTTACCGGTGGCAGAGGGGCATTGGTAGAGCTTGGTGGACCCGATGCAGGTTGAGGTGGAGGTATTTCCTGACTTGCATTTCCATTTCTATTCTCATGAGAGTCTGAAGCTGTGATTGGTGTTGTTCCTGGTGGTGGAGTGTATGTAGGTTGTTTTGGTTGAAAGAATGATCGAATAGTTGGTTGTTGAGAACGTGGTGGTGGAGGGGTATTGTTTGACATGATGTCTGCTGTATTCATTGTTCAAGTTACCTTGCTTGAGTATGATCTGATCTGATGTTTAAGGAGAGACAAAGATGCTTGGAGGAAGAGAGAAGATGTGTGTGCTCTGACTGCTTTGCGTGTATTGTTTGTGTATTGATAAAAGAATGAATTGTGATTCGAGTCAAACATGTATGAGGAGAGAGATCTGTCTTCTTAGACTTTTTCCTACCAGTATTTCATAGAGGAGAGAGTGAGTATATGGTATGTATTCTCCCTAGTGATGACATGTAGAAATCAATTGGAATGAAGGATATCCATAACTTAAATGATTTCAACTTTGTACCTTTTTTTCATCAGCCACAGGTTTCCATTTTTATCTTTTCTCTCCAGGGCTGCCTTCACTTCAAACTCAGGTGCCCAGTTCATTACTCTGTACCTAGTGAATACCCAGCACGTGCCTAGAAAAGAGTGAAGCCTCGAGGAAGCTTGCCCAGGTGCTCACCTGGTATTCCACGGTAAGGTTCCATATCTTAGGAGCTTCCAAGGTCACCCGCCGAGGTCCACAGGTAGCGTAGCTCTCATGTGGCTCATGTGGCTCATGTGGCTCGGGTGGCTCGGGTGGCTAAGTCTTAGTCATCCATTCCGATCCTTCACCGCCCTTGCCCTTACTAATCCAAGTCAAGTTAAACATGACTGGCAATAATTTCGAACATCATTGAGCTTTTGCTATGAAACCCCAAAGTACCTAGTACAGTACAGGAACCGGCACGTACAGGATCAAAGTTTCCCGAAAGTGTGAGAAAGAGGTTCAAGGGAAAACAAGTTAATTAATATCAATCATTTTTCTATTTCTACCTCAAAATATTGAAGGTATTCAGACAACGACGACACAATACTTCTTCCTCTTCTTCTATTTATTTTCTTTAACTCAGAGTTCAAGCTCAGTCTCAATTATAAAATGATCGATTATTTACTTCCAATCCCTTTTATCATTTCTTAAAGGAAGGAGAGATAGAGAGAGGAGAGAGAGGAGAGAGAAGAGAGAGGGAGAGAGAGAGATCTTCCAATCATTTCTTTTCATCTATAGTTCCAAACCTCCTCCCCAAGTTCCCCTCCAATTTAACAATTCCGTCAGCCTTGGGGTTTTCGAGAAATTCAATTTATTTCAAGATAAACCATTCCACCAACGGGCAAATACTTCTTCAATATGTCTGCCAACGATCAGTTTCCTCAGTCTGGTATAATAATCGCTGGCCAAGATGAAGAAATTGATACTATGGGAAAACTTGTAATCATCCTTTTTCATTAACTTTCCCTTGCCTTACTGCACCTCACCTTTTTACAAGCAAAACTTGATTGTTGCCTTGCTTACTTACCAATTTACTGACATTCTGCAATAGACAAATTCTGTACTTGATGATATTTTCTACAATATCATTCACGATATAGTCTTACAAACTCATCGTGAAGAGAAAATAGCAAAGGCATGTTCTGCTGCTATCGCCATTGAACAAAAAGTCGCAGAAACCAATCCTGATTCAATAGACGATCCTACTTCTTGGAACACAAATCAAATCATAGAAACCGACGCTGCGAAGTGGGAAAATAAAGAAGTTTTCTTAAAAGGCAATCCATTAGAATTGGTCGATGAGATTATTTGCGCAAAGTGTGGTTTACCTCGACTTTTACAACCTACAGATGGAGTGGGAGCAAGGAAACCTCCTCCAGGAAAGGAGTTCTGCAAGAAGAAGCCTTTCATTGAGAAACCATGGCATGATGTTTATGGTCAAACTTATGTGCCAGAAGGACCAGGGAGGGGAAAGAAGAAGAAGGATATGATCAATCCTTTACTACAACAACAGAAAGAAGGGACTCCAAATAGTCAGGATGGTGAAGATGAAGGACCTGCGAAACCAATTTCTTTCCCACACGCCAAATGCCACAATTGCAATACATTCTTACCGATTAAGCGAATGAACAATCATATGGTGAAATGTATTGGAGGTGGAGGAAGAGATTCCGCAAGAGCAGCTGCCTTCAAAATCAATGGAAATGGATTGGGTACGGGAAACAATAGTCAAAATGGCACACCACCATTAAGTCGACAAGCAACGCCACAACCCAATGGAGGAAAGAGAGGTAGTCCTAATAAACGCGAAGCAGCCGATGATCCAGATTTCGAATCCGATTCTCCACAAAAGAAGAAGAAATTCTTGAAGAAACCAGGTAGCTCGGGTGGAATTATTCTGAAGAATAAACTCAAAGCTCCGAAAATGACAAAAACACCTTCACAACTTTCCTCCTCAAATCTAAGTTTCGAACACAAAAGACCGGATAGCGATGATGATAATGATTCAGGAGATGATGACCGAGATGGTGAATATGGACGAAGAACTAGTATTGAACCGAAGAAGAAACTGTTGGTTAATAAAGCGGGGGCGGGGATAGTCAAGAAAAATAAGGACGGTGGTGGTCTTGGTATTGCTGGGTTGAGCGATAAAAAGAAGAAGAAATTATTATTGGGAAGACCGGGGAGTGGTAGTTCGACACCAGTGCTAAAACCAGGTTCGTTACCAATGGATGAGGATCGAGAGAGGGACAGAAAAAAGATCAAGAATGGGAATGGGAGTGGAACTTTGAGTGCCCATAAGAGGGATAGAGAGAGAGAAAGAGAGAGGGAGAGAGATAGGGATTGGGGTGCGGATGAGAAATCTGAGAGTAGTCAGACTTTGTCTAGTCCAAATTGAGGGGGTTCGTGAAATGAAGGAGGAAGGTGTATGGGGGGCGTTGAATTTGAGTGGTCAAGGATGGGCTACGATAGAGAGAAAAGAGAACTCATGAGTTCCTTAGTGTAAGACCATGGTGGGATGAACATTTGAAAGGCATTGATGGGGAACAGGATTCCAATGGGTAACATACATGCATATGGCTGGCGTTCATTTCTCACTTCTTACTTCTATGTTCAGCATTCAAATATGCATATACACAGACGTTACGGGGGAAGAATATACCTGAGGTATGGTGTTTACATTGCTACCGGTGCTGAAAATGTATCGGGATTGCATTGGGGGTATACATTCGGCGTTGCATTATCTCGTTTTCGTTTTTATTTTATTTTAGTTTTCTTTGGTTCACGTTTCGTCTTGGACGACTCACCTCTTTGTATTTATGATGGGAAGGGTTGATGGGATGTGAAAATGGGGAAGGAGGGGATATACCCATTAACTAGGAAAGGAAGGGGAATATAATACAATATACTTTACTTATGAGTACGGTTGGATGAGTTTCCAATAAGGGTTTGTTAAATCGTTATTTACTTTGTTTTATTGTGCTGTGATGAGCTGCGCTGTGAAGGAGGATTTATTTGTGGAGAGTGTGGTGATGAGGATTATAGTATTATGAACCTGGGTGGATCTATAAGAGGCTGGGGTGTGTGGTTTGAATTGAATAATTGCTCAATGTGCTAGGCATGCGAGTTGAGAAGCAAGCGCTTATGTAATGAGGAGAGTATTTATCAGTGAGCGAGGGTATATATGTACGGACGTGTATATGGTATAGATCTCTTGGTACGTGGTTTGCTGGATTAGTTCTGTATGTTGATAATCTTGATAATCTTGATAGTCCGGGGATTGGAGATGAGTGGTAGGGGTTTCTGGAGGAGAGGAGGAGCGGGATGGAAAATGAGGGGTGAGGAGGGGTGAGAGTGTGTGGGATAGTGTGGGGGGGTGCTTGGGGGTTGGGGAGGTGGTTGAGGGCTGCTGAGGGTTCGAGGGTTGTGTTGTGAGGCTGTTTCTGAAGACTGAGTAGGGCTGGAGGGTTGAGGAGGAAGCTAGCACTGTTATTCTTCAAATACATCAATCAATCAATCAATACAATAGTCTTTTTTCTCCCCTCAAAAGTTCTCCTTTTGTCAACATCATCGCCATTACCATGATCACCCTAATCTTTCTAATTTCTTTCTCGCTCCCTACATTGCCAAGCGTCACGTTTACATATCTGTTTCTGTGTCCTGTAGGGGTATTGCATTGCATTGCGTTACAATCTTACTTATTTATTTCTATCCTCTCATGTTAAGTCATATTGCGAAGTTCGGGAAAGGGGATCACATATATCTATTACATCATATTTCTCAGCGGCTATCAAAGTGCCGTGCTGTGTGCGGTTTTGGTTGCGTGGGTGTAGGTGGAGGTGTATATTTGTGGTATGAAGAAGAGGATTTTGGAGCTGTGCGGGCTTGCTGGGGGGTGCGAGATGGGGGGTTAGTATTTTTGTGCGTTTTGAGGGGGGGAGAGGTTTGGGAATGGGGTTTCGGTTCTTTAGTTTCTAGTGCGTTTGTGGATCTCTTGGTGGAATGACGGGGGTTTCTTGTCTTGGTGGGGGGAGGGACGGAGTTTGATGGGGAAAGTGTGGTAGAGAAGGAGGCAGGGATATAAATACGTAAACTGTATGTTTCCTGCTCTTCTTAATATTGTGGCGGCTGGCAGGAGACAATTCTCACAAACGATGGGGAGACCGAGATGCAACAGACTGATGTTTTCAAATATTCGATTGATATCAGGAATTCTGTGGTTTGTTTGATGTGCGGATTACACGAAGTGGGATGAGATGAGGTGGAGATTGGGGTGAGTGAGTGCCATTCATTTTTTTATTCTCGTTGTAATACGTTTCTGCTATCATCGTTGATGTTCTTGAGGTTAGGTTTTTTTTGGTGGGCGCTGTTTGTTTTGCTGTTGTTGTGCATTTAGATCGTGACTTTTTACTGTTGTCGTTGTCGTGAGGGTACTCTCTCGAACTCCAGTTTCTCTACATTGGGTATTTATGGCTGGCAAATCGGGATGAATGTGAGAGGGCGGAGAAGTGTTATTCAGGATCTGACTTCCTTGTTTGGCATTCTGATGTCGATTGTGTGTTGAGAAGTAGACGGAAAGAAATGGGAGGGTTTTTTATGGGATCGTTAGGTGAGTGATGTATGTATGTATTGTGGAGTTTTGAAGTTGGGGGGTTGGGTTGTGCTATATTTGTATGTATGTAGTGTATGTATATGATGGTTTGTAAGGAAGTTTGCGGGAGAGATTATTATGAAGTAGTTGTTGTGATTGAGGGATTTTGAATGGTGTGCTTGCTGTTGCTCTTTCCTCTTTTTTTGGCTTGTTTGGGATACTCACTTGGTGGGTTATTATTGGTGATGTGCTTTATGGTATGGAGGTTGGTGAGTATAACTACAACTTTAAAGCCTGCAAATATCCTCGTTCTTGTTACGATTGTTCATTTCTGAATTGGAATATCGTACATTCTGCGATTGGTATGTAGGTGTCACGTGGTAGATGCAGAGAACTCAGGAAGTTTCACCTGGTTTTCTATAAAAGAACCTCAAAGCTAGTGTTTTGAGGTTCTGTAGTTGTGTTGGGCTCGCAGGCGGCGATAAAGAACAAGAGGTGCACTTTCTGTTGTGTTGTGTTGTGTTTTGTTACTTTGGATGGACTTGGGGAAAAGAGAAGATAAGTGGATATTTGTGTAGAGACTGTGAGCTAAAATAATAAGAGTGAGGAGTATGAATATAAATATCGATGTGGTTGAAGTTGCTACTGTTGGTATTTCTACTGCTGTTGTATTCATTTCTTGATTCTGCATTTCTTCTAGACATCAATCGCCCGTTGAAGCTCTGTCCACTCTCATCATTTGTCAATGCTACTGTTTTTATGCCATTGCCATTGCCATTGCCATTGCCATCTCTATCACACATCTCTTTTCAACCAGAATATATATATCTTGCATCTAGAGACACAGTTTACATATCTTATACGAGCAAGTTGGAAGAGTAGCATGGTAATGCAATTGTGTTTTCCTTCCCTAGTGATCTTAAAAGCTCGGTGCAATTGTGTGTTTGTAGAGAAAGGAATATCTAGGTGTGTATTGGGGGAATTTGTAAAAACATGTGGAAATACAAGAATGAGACCGGGAGGAATAGGTTTAGAGGTATGGTTCAAGGAGTAGAGAGAGTGGAAGAGTTCAAGGGAGAGAAGAGAAGATAGTCCATAATAAAGTTCAGATAGTTGTTTTGATCTCTTAGTATTTTGGAGTGGAGGGAAGTTGGTATTTAAGTTCGTCTTTTTTGATCATTTTGCACCCCATTGAAATTTCTAGTCATGGAGTCGAGGAATCCGAGGACTAATTGTCTCTTCGCTGCTTCAATTGTTGATACTTCGAGATAAGTCAAAGGAGTGAGAGAGGTTTGACGCCGATCTGCAAATAGACTTGCAATCTCAATGGTACTGTTATTGATGTTATGACTGCCATTTTTGAGAGTTTTCAATGTTTTTTTCGTTGTCGCTCCTTGATTATGATTCTTTGTCTCAGGAGTTAGAGATAACTACCATCTTGCTTAGAGTCTTCATTTGGCTGACTGAATCTAGATGATGCTTTAGATGCTCCCGCTAGGTTTTTACTATCTGTTCCTAAGAAAACGAGACGGAACAAATTCTCTTCTGCTTTTTGGAGATTGAAGACAAGGGAGCCAGAAACTTGTTATCTCCCATTTGCATGAACAAAGCTTTGCGCATCTCTTGTATTGAAGAAGATCTGGAAGTTGTTGTTCTCGTCAGACGTAAATCGGCGGACTTGTTGCCATTCTACACTTTGGGATTACGGCATGAATTGTTGTCATTTCTACCCCTTTTCTTATTGTCGAGACTTGTCTGTGTGTTGAGCGATAGAAATATTGATATATATTGATATAATACGTTACAGATTGAAGTGTTATGGAAATTAAAAATCATGATGTGACGATGCTTTTAGATTGCACATATATGTAGGGTAAAGGCCAAGGGGCAGAGGACAAAACTTTCATATAGGGGAAGAAAACTCCATGGAGAGCCAACGAAGGAATAAGGGTGATTGGAAAGTGACAAGGAGGAATAGAAGTCTGTCTTTGCGTACTATTTTGATCAAGTAATCCAAGTGGAAATCAATCGACAAATTCTTGACATTCATCATCTCTCTGTTGACCGGAAATGTCATTTAGAGGAGTGGATCTCCATTTTGTGTCCAATTTTGGCACATCTAGGCGGATTCAGGTATTAAATCTTCTAGCTGCTGCTATGGCAGACAAAGGCCACACAAGGCATCCATTGGAAGTAAGGTTGCGTCGATATTGGCTTTATCAGGGGGAGGACGTTTTGAACGCAACGATGCTACTGAAAGTGCTTATCAAGAGTTTGTAGAAGTACAGAGATAATTTCAACGTTGACCGAAAGAGTGCTCGTTAATAAATGATCACGCTATTTTCTTTTCGCCTTGCCAGTCACTTGAGAACTCTTGATATCATGATCATAAATTCACTAGCTCTATTTCTTTCCGCTGTTCTGGAGTGTGTTCGTCCAAAGAAAGTGAAATTTCGGAGCGCGGTTGTGCTATATTCATATATTTTCTCGACCTTGAGCTGCGACTAACAAATAATAGACGACAACTAGTTGACAGTATATCCAGCACTTCGGACTGCAGTCCAAAGATATTTGCTTTTGAATATTCAAGAGCGATTAGAAATTGGAAAATAATTCAATGTTCGAATCAGATTCAACATCCCAAATGGTTTGAGTATTCTAATCGATCTCGGGGATTTGACAATCATCATTGTTGGACTGCAGTCCGGACTATTGAACACCCGAGTTACCAGCATTCAAGCTTAGGATCGTAATGGAGCAAACCAGTATTGGGAGAATTATCATTGGATGTGCTGAAATCTGTTGCTCGTTTGACCAGGTGATTTTTAACTACGTGATCATTAATCAAATCTGTCTATATATGGTTTCAGATAAAAAAGAGCTGATATGTGCCAGGAAAACAACATCGTAGCGATCGTGGGAGGGGCTACCATTGACTACTCCCTACCTAGCTATGGTCCGTCCAGCCTCCAGCTTCACTGGACATATATAGCGGATCCCTATGTGAAACCATACAACTGCTGTGCCATATGTGCACAGTCATCTACATGCGTTGGACATTACTACAATGTAGATACGACTGCCAATCCTGGTCCTGCAGTGACTTGCTTTACGCATGAAGCTACAGATGGTATTTGCGATCCCTCTGGGATTCGCTATGTCTTTCGTGCAGATCCTAAGCGGAACACTCTATCTCCTGATATGGTAGGAAATGGAAATTGCGGTAAAGGACAACTTGATAATGGGGCGAGACCAACGCTGGATGGTAAACTGTAATTCTTCGTATCCATTTAATCTTAGCAAAACAGGAATGATCGTTGATTGATGGACAGGAGTATAAGTTATGGATTGTTCAGTTTCTCCTCGTTCCCAGACCTCAGTTGGGTCGGATATATTCAACTTTAGGAAAAGTAGGAGTTTGAAAGAGATAATCTGGAGTTTTGATTACATATGATTGATCTTCGGATATGACGAATGCCTCACAAAAACAAAAATAAACCACGTATTGATATTTTATATTTGACTTAAAAATCAAATAAAAATCAAGGACAATGGCTATATATCTTCTGGTGAATCGGGACAAAAGGAATACAAATGGGATTCCGGCTGCAAAGCTCTTTAGTTTTACATTTATGCAACTTATTTATCATCTAATGCAGGGCACCTTAGATTATTTCCAAATGTGTATAGTGTAGATAGCTAAGTCTCAGTCATTGAAAAAATTTCTGCCAGATTAAATAAATTCCGGTTGCCAAATATATACAGAAAGAAGTGAATCCAACCCAAGTATGAGTAGATTTCCATATTACCGTATTATTCATTACCATCTATCCACTCTTCTCAAGCTTCCTCAACAAGACTCTCGTTCCATGTCTTGGTATCACCATTGTGGTATATCCCATGGTAAGTGCTTTATTATCATCCGCCAATTTAAATTCATAGTTGGTCAACAAGTGCGCCAAAATTTGTTTCAATGACGCGCTGACGTACCAACGGCCAGGACTAGGGAGATGTTAGTTCTTGCACCATCTTCAAAACGAATCAAATATCGATTTACTCACCAAGCTTTCTTACTAGCTCCCCAAAATGGAAATCCACTACTAACATCCGTATACTTCATCCTGGGTTCCTCTCTCCCTCTATCCTCCGGTAATACAAATCTGAAACCATCAAAAGTCTCCGGATCATTGTAATACCTCGGACTCTTCATCAAAGCATCCTGAGGCACCGCAATAATATTCCCTTGCGGAATCGTTTCACCACTTGAGAAAGTGAATGGTTTCATAACTTTACGTTGGATAGAAAGAGCATCTAATGGGTTCACACGAGCTGATTCGCGGAGGAAAGATTCCATCAAAGGCATGTTCTTGTACTGCATTTCCTCGGGTAAGGATAGCATGGAGCGGATCTCTTCAGTGAGTGGTTCGATGTATTCTGGGTGAAGACAGAGGTTGTAAATTGTGAAAGTCAAGACTAGAGGAAGTTGATGGGCGGAGGCGAAAGTGAGGGCAATCATTTGCTGTACGATACGCTCTACGGTGCGTTGGCGGGGGGTTGTGGATGATTCCTAGAAGAGATTAGTAATTTTCGGCCAGACAGTATGGAAATTGAAATTCTTACAATGACCCATGTTATGCAGTCAGACTGTGATTGACAAGGTTAGCAAGCACTTTTTGAAAATTCTCCATGATAGCTTACGGGTAAAGTTTTCTTCTCCTCGATATCTCTGAGACGTTGGATAACCAAAGGTCTGATATGCCCGGCTATTTTTTTCATTGCACCACTCCAAGCCATGATTGCGGGGCAGGCGTATCTAAAAAGATCAGAATTGGACATTTCAGAGTGCAGAAAATGGGGTGCTCACGGAATGATGAATGCAGGCATGTAACGACAGAATTCCATAGACAGAATAACATCGTTCGAGTATCGTAATACGGCATCAACATAATCTTGGTTGTTAGCTAGATATTCGTTAGTGAAACTAAACATCAAACAAAATCCCGGCGTATAGACGCACCAAGTTCATCTCCAACAAGCACTTGACAATTTATTCTCAAACCGATAGCCTCAGACAAGCCTAAGACAGAAACTGAAGTCCAATCTAGGTCAAGTTAGCAGAGCAATTTCTCCTAAGTAGTTTCCACTGAGTTCGCTACCATTGACAGCTTTGCCTTTTGACAAAACTTTACTAAAAGCTTCCTCAATCTTTTCTTGAATCCTGGGTCTCAGAGCGGGTTGATTTGTTCTCAGAAGGAACTTAAGAACACGTCCTGGTATAGTGTCATGAGGATCAATTTCTCCTGTCTCAAATCCATAAAATGTGTATTTCGCTTTGACTCGCTATACATCACATTAGCTCAACCCTCATGGCACAAGTAACTTTTTCTCAAAGAAGACGGAGAAGACATACATCTTCCATAGCATCATGTAGGGACAAATGATCTTGAGAACTCTCATTTACCTCCGCGATGTGTGCCTCAGATGACACAAAGACTTGATACTCGTCGAGAGCGGGAATGGCAAATGGTTCTCCTTTGGCCTACAATCCAGTTAGTTTTGGATCGGAAATAGACTTGATATTGGGATATCAGAGTTCAGTACCTGATCATATGCTTGCTGGATGATATCTGGAGCACTGAGAACATATTTTATGCTGCTCAACCATTTTCCCCAACGCAACTTAGGTCCAGAAATGAGTATGTTACGCTATCCAAGTTAGTGATCGTTGACATCATGAGAAGATGGGGGAGGACTTACAGGACGATTGCGGTAAATAGATGCTGTGACATAAAGTCTATTCAAAATGATCAAAATTACACAAGTGTCAAATACCACCTCTGAGGTTATTCTCCAAGCGCCCGCTTGAGAGCGAGCTAGGTCAAAAAGCTCCTGGAGCATTTTGATGATACGAGTCGCGGTATGAAGATGGCCGACACGAAAGATCACGAGAAGAGAACCAGATGTATACTGCGTGGCAAATGTTCGAATTTGATTCCGAAGAACCAATTCCCTAATTGGGAAGGGTGGGGGCGTAAAATTGTGACTTCACATCAGGCAGAACAGATGAAATTACCTTACCTTACTCTAAGCCGTGCCGCGATAGCAGACATACAATCGACGGCGGTGAGATAGAAATAGCCGCTGCCAACTTTTACAAGTGATGAACCGATTGTGATATTAAGTCACATCAGTGCCGGAAGCACCATAAACTCCGACATATTCCATTAGATAGACAGTTTATTAAAACTTAATCGTTCCTTCACCCTAAACAGGCATAACAATTCGATAGGCGGGGCGGATTGCTCAGAGCATGAAATATAGCTTCGGTAGTCAGCCCGTTTTAAGAAATTCGCGAGGTTTTAGTGGAGAAAAAGTTCGTACCATTGGGATGAATTTGATCCGTGTTGCATGAAGTATCTTGAAGCCTACGATAGTGCGATAAAAAAACTCTCGGCGTGTGAAATATGTTTTAGTGTGTGTGCGCATCGATTAAGCGCAATCGATTTATCTCGACCATGTTCCTGGAAATTGCGCACATCTTCTACCGGAGGATTCTAACCTGGAGAGATTATGTACCGTGAAACCCGTCAACTTGGATGTCATCACAGTGGGATGAAATATCGTTGGTCGAAATAAATATCGAATGGAATATCTTTTGTCTGGTGCCACGTGCGGCTAATGTGTTATTTGACGTTCAGGGGTAATTAAAAAGTGTGGTGGAGAATATGGCACTGGGTTTTCATAGTCAGGGTTGGGAAACGATGTTCTTCAAAGGAGTCAAATTACCCATGGTGAAGAATATGTCAGCGTAGCAGTTAGCAGTGGTACTCTATCCTGTGTATCCAATCCCCTTTCAGATATAAAAGTATGGTTGCAATGGGTATAACGTACGTCGACATAGCGTGGGGACAGGGACTGAACACTGGTATTGCAGCATTGGTGCATTTGATATTATTTCTCATCATACAGGTATTAATCTGTAGCGTACATGTTATGTAAGAGTGGGATGACTGGCGTGGCGTGGCGACGTGGTTGCATTGCATAGTTGCACTACCTTGATAGCTTGACTATACATAGAACGTTTGAAGTAACATTGAAGGGATTGATTTCTAAAATCAGCATTTAAGTTGAAATTGCTGATCAGTGATCAGCAGTTCCTTGCACTTCTGTTTAATCAGCCCTCGTAAACATCTCAAACAGCTCAGGTTAGCGAACGTTTAGAAAAGCGGTTCTGTGTTTTTGTGCTGTGAGTCTAGCCGAGCTGAATTCACCAAGCAAGCATCTAGCCTAGGCCAGGTCAGGGGTGCTTTAAACCAGGGTATGCGGGGTATGCATGCGCCCGGGATTTCTTCGTAGGGTGCGGATATTCTCCAACAGCATTACTTGGAATGATTCTAAGGAAAATGATGCTGTTAGATTTTCTTTCGAAAAGATTTCCAGAATAGGTGTTCCCTGCGAAGTGTAAACATATGAGAGGGAGGAGTCGATTGAAGATTCTGGGGCAAATTGTGGTGTGATTATTTATCTATGGCAAGACCACCAGTAGGTATACGGACGGAAGGGTCACTCCAAGAATAGATTTAGAAACATCTCATGATAAATTTGATCGATATATCTTAGGAATAATCGTAATGTTTACTTAAAATTGAACAATCATAAAATAGATTCTGGTATCAAATGATTGAATAATGAATTTGTCGAAGATTTTTAAAAGTTGAGAAGTGTTCTACTAGGCTATTCATCCACTGATGGACCAAGAAATAATCCGATCACTGTGACATTTCGAAAATCGAGGACCAAGATGAGAATCATATGTAAAAGAATCAAGAATCTGGGTATTTGCTATCTAAAATTTTAAAATGAATACAGAACAACCCAAGCCCCTAAGAAATTCGTAATGAATCCGTTACGCATGTTATAATCCTTTCCCCAACTGCCAATCATTCCCACATAACCCATAAACCATACAATATATAAAACATTGAAATTGAACTAAACGTGTTCATAATAAGTTCTCTCGCGCTCTGGTGTCGTCGCGAGCTCATGAGTAACCTCATATCGCTGCTTGACCCTGACATTATCCAATGGAAGAATGTTTTGCTCGCTTGTTACACTGCTTCCTCCGTCAGTAGGACTCTGGCTGTTCTTCGAATCCCCCGTTCGCATATAGCTGTCTCGACCGGTAAATGTATCAAGTGTTACCCTCAATCTATTTTTTCTGCTGTTCTTGGGGTAGATTTCGGAGCTCTTTGGTGGAGTATATTTGGATGGCTTGACATTTTCTTCCTTTGAGAAGAGACCGCGAATAGAGGCAAGACAGACAACAACAATGGCTGGAAGAGAAATTTAAGTTAGCTTAACGATTCAAAAAGGATTGTTTTAGAGAATTAACTTACCAATTGTAGTCTCAATGGCTGACCACATGTAGAGCCAAGAGGTATCAGGCATTCGGGTCAATGAACTAACAACTGTAGTTCGCACGATGGCGAAGATGACTGTGATAAGGGCTAGAGAGAAGATGATACCGAAAGTGATCTTTCTCTTCATCTTCATCTGTGTACCCCACAACATACTGATTGGAATGATCATAACTATGCAGGTTAGTCAAGTCTAAGACAAGGAAAGGAAAGGAAAGGAAAGGAAAGGAAAGGAAAGGAAAGGAAAGGGAAAGTGAGCTTACTCAAAGCATCGGAGACCACATCCCAAACACAGTTTAACTTCAAAGTGATTTGTTGAAAGTCTACCGCAGAGTCTGTTGTACATTTTGTTTCGATTGTAGTCAATGGGACAAACAAACAATGATATTGAATTGTTCCAATGCAAGCAAAGTAGGTGCAGATAGTGAAAATAGTGATTGGCCACCATAGGAATTCAACCTTTGCAACATGGGATCCAAGTCGTCGAATAAAGAGCAAGAAGGAGAACTTGACAGACCACAAAGTGGAGTAAAAGAGGATGATGACGACTCCAGATGCTTTGGAATAAGCCTCACTGTTGGTAACGAAATCCGCTCCAGGCATTTTGATCCCAGCTGACACGGCCATGAGGTCGAACATTGCTTGGGCATGAATCTGCCATAGTATTGCACTGGCAAGTGCGAGAGCTAAGGCCAGAAAGGCAAAAATATCGTCGTTATAGAGGCTTTTGAAGCTCTTAATTCTAGAGAATGTTCGTAAGGCCATACAAATTGCAGCTATTGCGAAACCTCCCCAGATGACACCCTGAATGGTTGTTAGTTGAGGCTTCCCCAGCATCCGTGAATACAACAAGTGCACGTACCAGGAAGGTTTTCATATCAACCTTTGTTGGCTCAACAGTGGCCACTGAGCCCGAATTAGAAGTAGACATGGTGTATAATGAGTAAACCTTGAGTAACTTGGTTGTCTATACTGAATCAGTGGAGGATGATTGCCCACGGTACAAAAGAAGAAAGCTTGCGTTTTAAACTCTCGAACATGGACAAACGTAGTGCTTATCTACTGCCACTGGTTACAGAGATGCCACATGGAAATCAAATAAGGATGGGGGCACAGAGGTGGGGATCTCTTTCATCACAGCCTTTTAGGATGGGGTCTCCGTAAGTTCTATTGAATCTGCCCACTGTGCCATGCGTTTGTTACTGCAAGGTAAGCCCTAAATTAGTAAGGTCGTAGTTTTCGCAATACATTCTGCCAAAATTTCTGCAAGAATCTCATGGTCAGTCGTCTATCTCACGGCCAAAGCCTGTAGAGACCCCAATTGCGTTAGCCGCCGAGCTCATTACCCTGTTTGGTCGTGAATACCCCTCCAGATCCTTGGTTTCACTAGTCACAGATTTAAAAAATTACCATCACACAGTATCGCTCTGCCAATTCTTTATTTATATGCTTATCGAGATTTGTGACAGGAGGAGTCACGGAGGAAGCGTGTCTAATTCTCATTTCCAACCGCCTGGATGTGAGATCGACGTGTGCCTTGTGGCCAGTGCGTCTAATTTGTGCAATCACATAGGCCAAAAATTCACCTGCCTAATTTGGGTCTAGCTCCGTCCAAGCATGGTTGAGTGTGATACCACCATGTATGTCGCATAATTCGCATGCGGAGAATTTTAATCGTCGGTAGCACGATTTGTGAAGATTGTGCCATGTTTGTGAAAGCCTATCATTAAAGAACAAAGTTTTGGGCTTGAGGTACCATGGTTTTGAAGGAACCGTTGCGCTGGGTTCACAATCCAATCCTACCCGCGCATGTGTATGAATGATGTCGATACTTGAGCGGCCCGTTCGTCTGGCAGATTCCCTGACTAATAATATTCAATCGCTTAATACCGACGTCTAGAATGGCATCTAAACGAGACGCAACAAATGATGGCCTTCTAACGCTCTCGCGTGCTGTATCACTCTATGTTACATTAAAGCCATGTCATAGTGTGGAAGAACTTTCAACGCAAATCAATGACGCAGAGAAACTCGATTAGTCAAGTATAATACAGCAATCTCATTATCAGTATGGCATTAAGGAAAAAAATTAATTGTTTGATGAAATTCAATTGTTCCTCTCGGCGGTCAAAAAGTTGTTAAAAATATGTACATAAAACAGAGAAGAAGCTGTAACAAGCATCTTATGAAACCCCCTCATTGAATCGTTCCTAATCGTCCCTCTCAGTATAGATTATACTTCTCCCTTTCGGTCAAATCCATGAACACATCCATGTTTTTCACTGGACCTGTAATTCCGAGCGAAGGTGTGCTCTCATCCAAGACCGGGAATTTTCCATTTATCCCAGGTGCCAACTTAACATCAAATCTTCTGAAAATGATAGCAACAAAAGCGTAAACCTGCTCCTTAGCCATAACACGCCCAGGGCAGTAACTGATTCCACCGCCAAATGGGCGGTAAGAAGAATGTTTCAGCATGCCCTTATCTCTAACAAATCTCTCTGCATCAAAGTTCTTATAATCTTGACCCCAGACACTTTCGTTCATGTGTAGTTGTCGGGAAGGCATGAGAACATTAGATCCAGGTTGCATTAGCTTGTTACCGATCATGGTTGGCTGTTTGACTTGACGACTCATCATGGCACCTCCGTTCAAGCGTAGTGATTCTTGGAATGCACCATCAAGATTGGGAGAATTGGCACATAGATATTTGATGTCAAGCTCGCCGTCCTTCCAGCCTGCTTCCAATTCGTCGCGAACTCGCTCCATAAGAGGTACGTTGTAAACAAGATGAGCAATAAGCCAAAAGGAGATGTTGTACTCATTTGAGTTTGCACTATTGTTTGTTAGGAGTTATTCTTGTACATAGGAATCAATAAACTTACGCCCAGTAGATCAATAAAAGCATGCAAGCTCTACTCTCGATATCAATACCAACAATTTCTTGTGCCTTTAAAATCGTCCCAATTCCCCAAGCTTGACCCTCACGCTCCTTTTCTGGAAGGCGAGCAAATTCAGCCATTGTCTTTTGCATTGTTTTGCGGGCTTTGGCTACTTTGGCTGAGAATATCTCGGGAAGACCAAAGAAAACCATCCAGGCACTATCATTGAAGTCCAACATATGCTGTACAATATCTGGATTGAGCTTGTGGAGAGCTTTGTCGAACATGGAAAAGGTTGCGGCTTCCACAAGGGTAGATCGACAAAGAGCTTTCAATGAGACCCGGCGAGTGAGACCATTCCTGCTCAAGGTACAAAAGTCCATTTTTGGTGGTTGGAGGGAGTCTTTTAGTGACACGATGAATTTCTCTGACATTTCGGTCATGTGCACACCAGGGAGTAATTGTGCAATGTAAACTTCCTCAATGAGTTTGACGAGAGACAATTGCTTTGGGTTGACTGGATTTTTGTGCATATAGCATTTGTCTCCAGGAATGGGTACATGCCATGCTAACTTCAATGCTTTGCCAGTGAAGCCAAAGTTGGAAAGAATTTGAGACAAGTGACCATCCCAACTCAGGGTGGCTACATTCCTGTAGACTTCTGCGACATCCTTGGGGCCTGTGACAATATAGAATAATTGCGAAGCAACTTGAAGTGCAAAGGGCTCGTGAGTTCTGCCAGTATAGTCTCTGAAATACGGGTATTAGTCTTACATTCCAGAAGAGATGAGCATATTAAGACAACTGAGAAGATGAAAATGAAAACGTTAACGTACAAGCCACGCTCAATCAAACTATCAGAATTCTGGAAGAAGCTGAGACTGTGTCCTAGAACTAGATAGTGTTAGTAAAGGTTGAAGTAGACAATTAGAAGATCACCTACTTGGGATCCAATATGGAAGTTCGACGGGGTCTTGTGGTCTAAGGTATGGCCGAATGGTGAATCTCCACAAACGCCACGAGAGAAGCCAAGTGCCGAATAGTGCTGCTGCGAGGAAGTACTGTGAATACTCGCTTGTGGATACAAATCTCCAAGCTGCGTTGAGAAACATTGTGAGATAGTCTACTCTCTGAAGAGCTTTGTGGACTTGAAAATTTCTGGAGCAAAGATGATATGCGGGTGAAAACGAAAGAAGTGCTTGATGATCTCTTCAATTGGAGACCCAAGAGGATCGACATAAGTAGATATACTTCCTCACTTTTGCCTCCTCCACTGTTGAACATGAGAGATTCAGCCCCCAAGACAGGAGTTTGCCGATACTAGTCGCATAGTGCTGATTGTACTATGGAGTTCTTGTTCAAATTTCCAGATGCGCGGTCCCCAGATTGGTCCATCACCCAGGCGTCAATTTGATATTGAGAATCTGCCTTGAGATTCAATCACAAATCACTATCACGAACTATCATGATGCGACATTACCCAAATGGGACATTTCCCGGTCGTTCATACTTTACGAGATCAAGGTTGTTCTGCATTGACCACCTCTTCACATCAAATTTATATTGGAAGCTAAAATCTGCGCAGTAAATTTTAGTGTCACATCAGGTGACAGGGGGGTCTAAAAATTCTCCCCCTTGTCGAATTCCATGTCCACAGTCCACAGTGCATGATTGTAGCCCCGTAGATAACTTGCGTGTCAAAATGACGGGAGAGATAGGTACCAAGCCGGATGGATATACATTGTCTACCCTCAGGCTTCAGCATAACTTCGCCTCTTATGCTGAGATCAGCTAGAAGCGATACCATCTCTAATTAGGTGGGTTAGGTGGTCAAGCCTTATACATTTTTGGAGGTAATCATGATATCCGGCAAAACACCCCCCCCCCCCCGCTGAGCAAACGGTGAAGGCTGTTTGTCACTCATGCCATGCCATGCCATGCAATCTCTTTTCAACCAAAAATGGAGAATGGTGGGTAGAGGGTTGACAAAATTCATGAGGTCCAAATTGCTGAAGTTTTACATTCATCTTTGATCTCATATACAAAAGGCATTTTACGCCACCAGACGAAACATTCACGACTTCAAGTGGTTCTGAATCATCTACCAGCCATGACATTGAATCAAGACGTAGCTCTGTCCAGCAAGGACACTGTCTCTATCGATAAAGATATGGGCGCTGTGGCCATTACGGATGTTCCAAGCCCCGCAAGCCTCCAAACATTCGATTCCGATGAGCTTTTTCTTCACTCATGGCGTCTGGCGGCTGTCATTGGGTCTTTATGCTTGGGAATCTTTCTTCTAGCATTGGATATGAATATTATTGCTGTTGCAATTCCCAGAATTACATCTGATTTTCATGCATTGAATGATGTGGCCTGGTATGGTTCGGCATATCTTCTTACCGTTACAGCATTCCAACCTTTGTTTGGTAACCTGTACAAATACTTCGATCCTAAGATCGTTTACATGGGATCAATAGCTTTATTTGAATGTAAGTACTTTCACCTTGCGGGTCGATTCAATGGTATCTGACATGAAATAGTGTGTTCTATATTATGTGCGGCAGCCCCTTCCTCCAGTGTTCTCATCGGAGGCCGATCTGTTCTTGGTTTCGGTGCAGCGGGAATCTATCAAGGAAGTTTGGCCATCGTCAACTTTGTGGTTGAACTCGAAAAGAGGCCTATGTACCAAGGCATAGTCATCAGCTCTTTTGCTATTAGCGTGTGTATTGGCCCTGTGCTCGGTGGGGTCTTCACTGATAAAGCCTCCTGGAGATGGTGCTTTTGGATGTAATGGATTCTGTTTATCCTTGAGATTCTACATTCACTAACCAAATTATAGTAACGTACCTATGGGCGCTGTTGTACTTGTTTTTATCGTACTATTCTTTCGAATCAAAGGCGTACGAAATTCGAACCGTGCCTTAGATCTTCCAACAAAATTGAAACGTATGGATATTGGCGGAGTCCTACTATTTCTCGGAGCCATATATTGCCTTCTTCTAGCATTGCAATGGGGTGGGCAGACTGTGCCATGGAAATCATCCAAAGTTATTGGTCTATTCATTGGCTTTGGCTTACTCATGATATCCTTCGGCATCCTACAATGGAAACGAGGCGAACATGCCACAATTCCCTTGCGTATTCTTCGACAAAGATCAATTCTCATGGGCAGCATATTCCTCATGACATTTGGCATGATGAGCTTTGTTTATGCCTATTATCTACCCATTTACTTCCAATCCATCCAAGGTGTTACAGCAATCCAAAGTGGTACCCGATTCATCGCGATAGTCCTTCCTCAAATCATTGGCCTGTCACTTACTGGAGTTGTGGTTACAAAATGGGGATACTACGTTCCATATATGATTCTTGGAACGATTATCGCAATGGTCGGTGCCGGCCTCCTTACTACGATTGATACCAACACATCCACGGTCAAATGGGCTGCATACATGGTAATCAATGGATGGGGAACTGGAATGGCACAGCAGCTTCCATATACCGCACTGCAAATTGTTTTGAGTGAAGAAGACGCTCCTACTGGAAATGCCATTGCGGTATTCATGTATCAGATTGGTTCTTCCGTCTCTGTCTCCATCGCACAATCTCTCTTTCTGTCAAGACTACAAACCAGCGTACCAGCTCATACCACTGCTGTATCAGCAGAAGCAGTTATTAAAGTTGGCGCCAGTGGCTTACAGGATTTAGCCGGTGGCTCGGAGATTGTGTTGACTGCCTTGAGAGAAGCATACACCATTGCTATTAGAGATGCAATGTATTACGCTTTGGCGGCAGCATGTTTGTCTTTGCCATTTGCTTGCGGAATGCAATGGTTCAACCTCAAAAAGGTCGCAGAGGAGAGAAGAAGAGAAAAGGACGAGGGGAAGTCAGTTGGGCTAGAAAACTCGAACATGATGAACAGTGTCATTGGTTCTGAGAAAGTTTGAAGTGTATGAAGTGTATCGATACCTAGATAAAGATTTTAATAATGTAATAGATGAATTCTACTATGCTATATATTCCTTGAGCGAATCTTCAGATAGAAACATTGACTTTGCTTTGCCTTGACCAATTTTCACCAGATAGATTAGATAAAATTTCATGAGCATAATTCTTCGTTTCATTCTGTATGTTGCTCTATGGTGATGCAGTTGATCTGTAGTTTCATTCATAATTCGTAATTCCTGTTGCGCCATCCGAAATGCAAATTTGTCCGCCCAGTTCCTATGACCTATTGCCATCCAGCCCATCCAGCCAATGAAAGATCAGAATGTAACCCAGACCCAGACCCTAACCTAAAACCAAAACCAAACCGTAGCCATGATCGTAGCGATATTCCATATTGCCTTCTGCCTGCATCAACGCCATACCAATGTTAAGACCCCCTTAGGTCGAAACTCACAAAACTACATATGTAGTTGGTCGTCTTCGAGAATACCAAATTCCCGTCTGATACTAGTGTTAGCTTCAAATATCTACGAATGCTTTCGTCGCCATAATACATACCAAAACGCAAAGTATAGTATCTAAAAGATCTTAGTTAGTCAAAATTTCATATAACCAAACATAAAAAAATCACAAACTCACAATCTAACCAGTCCAAACTTTCAACCGCGAATGCCGCCTTTGCAACTATTCCGAGAATAATTAAAACGATGCACGATATCTGAATTGGAGAATTGTGTGTGGCTTCGGAGCTACCAGAGTATTGGGAAGTAGCAGTTGAGTGTTGAAGTTGGGTGAGGCGCTCATCGGCGAGGAGAGCGGGGAAATGCATCTTGGAGTAGGTATAATTACGTGCGTATGGATGGGGTTCAGGAAAGAATACCCTTTTCAGATATGATAGCAAAGTACTAAGTATTTGATCTATTGTTATACCTCTGGCTTTTTTAAGGTTTCCTCAGATTTAGAAACGGCGTTTCGAATAGAAACTTGGCGTGGCTTTCTTGTGATATGATGTAGATACCTAGCAACAAACAGGTACAGCCTAGTTGGTATCAGATGTCAGATCATCTCTGGACACGGCTGAGCACGGATAGAGGGAATTGGCGTATGGTAAATTTAGCGAAGCCACATGTGCGTGAGCGGGGGCGGGTAGCCTAGCCTATAGCACAGTGGATAATTTAGTGTACGGAGTAGTGGGTAGTGGGTAGTGGGTAGTGGGTAGTGGGTAGTAGATATAGCCCCGGCACAGTGATTAATCGCATCACAGTGAATGCCCCAGTTATTAATGACCCAGTAAATATAGGCCCCCAACTTTGATTCTGCGCCTTTACCGACTATCGTTCACAGCGTTGACGAAATAGCTCTCTACCCCATTATTGAGTCTCTGGGTTGAATGACTGGTATCGGTAAACTCCATAAACGGTATCTAGTTGCGTAACTACTTGAACGGTGATTTGCTCCGGTTTCTGCTTGTGATTTGGGGGCCGCAAATACATGTGCCGGCTATGCAACGGCTCGTCAAGTGCTGATGTCTCATCTTATGTGAGATTTAAAGATCTTATGTTGGACATTTATTATTGACGGGTACTCCCTTATGTTACGTTATTAGGACTAGAATGATTTCGTCTATGAAATATCTAATTATATACCTGGGTGAAAAAAAGTATAATAGATAATGGCTCGCGAATAATTTGAACGACAACATCACATCACCCCATAATTACAAGCAAGATGCTTAGTAGCTTTCCTAAACCCTTACAAGTCTAGACGCGAGGTAGATTTCTCTTGACCATCCAATGATCTTCATGTAATTTGTTTTAAGCGCTGTGCCTCTTGACTGCTTTCACTATCATTTCAATTCATCAATTGTGGATACTCCCATACGAAAAGTCCCATATTTCCATTTTCGGGAAATGGGCCCGAACAATTGTCATCAATACCAAAGCTTTGAAATAATTCTCTTCTGGTTTGTGAATATCTTCCGTCTTCGTCAGTCAAAGTTGCTGCCTTTTGTTACTATTCAGTCGACAATCATGGCTGGTTTTTCGTTATTCTTAGGTTTCATCATCCCGGTGGCAGGATGGATTTCATACGTACTGTATTCTTTGGCCGTCAACTACAACAAAGCTAAGAAAACTGGTCTACCCCTCGTTATCTTGCCTATTGATTCCGGTAATCCACTATGGATGGCCGTTGACACCAGGATCTTACCATACTTCAAAAATCTACCCTTCACCAAAAACTTCACTCGTTTCAATTATCGAGGATGGGAAATTCACGACCGATACAAAGCTCACCAGGAGATAGGCGATGCTTTTATTCTCGTGACTCCGGGCAAAAACTGGCTACAACTTTGCAATGCAGAGACTTTGATTGACATCAATGCACGTGGTAGAGAATTTACTAGACCAACGGAGATGTTGGCGATGTTGAACGTGTTTGGACCGAATCTCGGAACGACCGAGGGAACACAATGGCAGCGTCATCGCAAGATCACAGCCACTTGTTTCAACGAGAACAATAATGAAATTGTTTGGTCGGAAGTCATTCGTCAAGCTACCGGAATGCGAAAATACTGGTCATCAAGGTCCTCCATCAATACCATTGGTGATGATGTACGGACATTGTCATTACACGTGATGTCTAGTGCTGGTTTTGGAAAATCATATCCATATCAGGGAGCAGAGGAAGAATCTGACACTCAAGGCTCTGCTAATATCAGAGATGCCTTGAAATTGATTTTGGACAACTGTATCGCTTTGGTTGCATTGGGTCCAAAGAATTTGGATAAATGGTGGCTACCAAAAAGTTGGAAGCCACTTCATGAAGCAACTGTCACATTCCAAAACTATATGACAAATGCATACGAAGAAGGAAAGAAAGCTGCTGCAGACGGGAACACACATGGAAATAACTTGATGAATTCACTTGTACGTGCATCTCAAGCGGAGAGCAAGGAAGCTTCAAGCCAAGGTGGCTTGACGGAACAAGAAATTTACGGAAATATCTTCGTCTTCAATTTCGCTGGTCATGATACCACGGCTAATACATTGGCTTTTGGTATTGCCTTGATTGCTACTCGTCCTGATGTTCAGGATTGGATTGCCGAGGAGATCAACGAGGTATTTGGTGATCAAGACCCAGAAACTTCGAACTACGCAGAAATATTCCCTCGTCTGAAGCGTTGTTTGGCGGTTACTGTAAGCCAACATACTCAACTATTTCACCCGGTTCACAACCGTTTTAACTTATACTGACTTTTCTTATAGTACGAAACAGTTCGTCTCTTCACCCCCGTAGCCATCGTGAAAACAAGCGGCCCTGAGCCCCGTGAACTTAAAGTAAACGACTCAACTCACATCCTTCCACCCCACACTATGATCATTCCAAGTTATTCAGCCATGCACACGCATCCCCGTCATTGGGGTTCCAATTCTCTTGCTTGGGAGCCTTCTCGCTGGATCATCCCCGCTTCAACATCATCTTCAAACCCGGCTACTGAAACCTTTTTGGAATTTCCAAAGGCAAATAATCCGTTCATTGCTTGGTCTGGTGGTGCAAGAGTTTGTCCAGGGAGAAAATTCTCGCAGGTTGAATTTGTTGGTGTCTTGGTGGGTCTCTTCAAAGATTATAAGGTTAAGCCTGTACAGCTTGAGGGAGAGAGTGAGGCGGATGCAATTGAGAGATTGAAGTTGTTGATTAAGGAGGATACTGGGTTCAGATTGCTATTGCAATTGTTACATCCCGAAAGGATGTTCTTTAAATGGGAGAAGAGAGTCTGATTGCCTTGTGTGCGGGGTAAGGAGATGTTTTTGTAGCAGATGGAAGAGATATATATGCACTGTAATTATTTAGTTGTAAAGGTATAAAAGGCACATCTTATTCTGTTCAATATGTACATCGTAACCTATCCCCAAGGTGGATACGGAGACACAGACTTCGAGTCGTCTACTGGGTGAATTACAACTCGTGATTTTACAAAGGTTTACCTCGAGCCACGCAGATCTTTGATCTATTTTTCATCGTCGATAATTCGGACTTGTTGCCGTTTATGAGTACAATTTCGCTGCCTATCTGCATGATCTCTTCTCAATCACGTTACTATCATTGTCCATCTACTCTAACCTTGAATTGCTACAGATTTCCCGTTTCAATTTTCGCTTGTGTTACAGATATCACAGGGGAAATAAATTGAAGAGACCTAATCAACCTTCCCCTCCTCCCTCATCATCATCCTTTGAGTGATTTCTAAATTCTGTGTTTTTCTTAACTCTGAGATAGTAGGGTCTTTTATATCTCGCCTTCGTATTTACATTGCACAGTCGGAAAGAATGTAACCTATTTCCCAGATTATCTTCATGGAGCGTTGTAACCACCAGTGGGTGCATGGACCGACGGGACACTTCTCAATTTTCAATATTTTTCATAAATTCATTCTTCAATTATTTGATATCAGAATTCGTATTTTGATTGTTTCATCTCTATTCAAGAATTATAACAATTCCTAAAATAAATGATTCAATATATCAAAAGATATTCACAAGTTTATTTTTGTACTGTCCCGTGAGTCTGTACACCCACTGGTGAACCTAATTCTTCACACCATAATTCAAACTTACAACTGTCTAATCTTCCTAGCATTGTCTTGGATTTCTGACTATATAAAGTTCTAGAAGCTCTTTATTTTTTCTCTTCTTATGGATAAATATTTCGAAATAGAAGTACTGCGAGGGAAATTCTTTGATCATTCTCACATCTCAATGTTCAAATTGCAAATCCATTTGGTTCATGGATCTGGAGAAGTGAAGTAAGTGGTTTCACTCCTCGATTTTTACATTTATATTGTCACACGTTCATTCTCGCTGTCGTCTTTATACAATCATATTTTGATCTGGATTTATAGCACCATTCTATGTTGCTCCATCCTATGTCACTTCGAATCGGAACTACAATAGTTCAAAACGTCAAATCGGTAGAAGCAGACCCGATGTATACGAACGGAAGTAGCAGACTTATCTCCGAGACTCCCAGTACATTGGCATCCTGTCATGAGCTAATTATACAGCTCCATATACTTCCCCCCTTCACCCAACGCATCTCTTCTTATACATCTTGAAACACCAAATGGTTTCCGCAATCTCTTATTCCCAACGAGGAAGTTCCCAAGCTTTTATTGCTTGGAGATTAAGTCATAGTGTTTTTTACTCTGTCTGGTCGAAATAGATCTCATTCTTTTTGTAGAATAGATAGTGGATGAATTATTGACACAAGCGCACAGAATGATTACGCTTTCCGAAAAACTGAGCTATTGGTGGCACCTAGATATTTCTGAGAGCATTATAGCTGATGTCCAATATTCATGCCTCTATCTGGACTTGGAACTGAGCAGTAAGCAATCTTAGTTCAAGTACGGTTTATATTTCCGTCGTAGAAATTTACAAGCAAGTCAATACAAAATTCGACCCGAACCAACATCACATCACTCATTCTCAAAATTTGGGGCTATTGAAACTTCTATCATTTCTAAACGCTAGTTTGTACGTGTAATAGAAAGACTGCAAAAAGAGTCTCCTATTCAAAAAAGGTATATATACATTGAAAACCAAGCTCTCATTTATCCATCCAAATCAATCTCCTGTCGTTTTGAGCAAAGCACTAAAATGCTTATGCGTCACAGCTCTCATCATCAGAAGCAGCGGCGGAGGTAGCGGCTGGGGCGATAGATGTGATCATGGTGGTTGGGGCAGCAGTTGTGGATACTACGGCACCGGCTGCGCTTGAAATGGCAACGGATGAAGCAGCGGAAGTAACAGCGGCGGCCGAGCTAGCAGCGGCACTAGTAGCAACAACGGCGGCGGAAGAAGCAACGGCGGAAGTGGCGGAGGTGGCGGATGCTACTCCAGATGCGGCTCCAGATGCGGCTCCGGTGGCGGCTCCGGTAGAGTTGTACATAGCTGGACCGGGGATAGTGTAGGTGAGGGAAGAGTAGATGTTGACCAAGATACCTGGGTCGGTAGCAGTGTAGAGAGCCTCACCGAGAGTTCCCTTAGGAGCGAGGGTACCGGAACCAGAGACTTCCAAGTTGATACATTGAGGGTAGTTTTGAGCACCATCCTGAGATCCGGCACTGTGGAGAGCGATAATCTCATGACGAGCGACGTAGTTTCCAGGAGCGAGATCAGCTGGGATAGTTGTGGTCCAGGTGTTGTTGTTGGCAATCATGTTGTCGGAAGCCCAGGTTCCGGGAACAGTGGTGTCATCTATCAAGCCAGCCTCGTCAATCTTGAAGAACTCAAGAGTGGTCTTGTCAACGGTAGCACAGTCTCCGTTGCAGTTGGCAAGGTAGGTGATGACTGGACCATGATGGGACTCTGGCCAGACAGTCCATTGGAAATCAATGCTATCACCAGCGGCGACCTTAGCTGAGAGAGCAGCGTTTTTACCGTCTTTGGCACAGATGATATCACCAGTGGCATAGGCAGATGGTGATGTGAATCCGAGGTCAAGGTTGGTGTCAGACCAACCGATAGAATCAGGTTGTGGGGTTTGGTATGCGTAGCTGACGAGCCATCCAGTGTAGCTATGTTGAGTCAATATATAAGTTTTAAGATGACGCGGGAAAGTTTAAACTTACTAGGTTCCACCAGCTACAATACCGGAAACATATCCGTGAGCAGAGACTGCGGCGACCATGCCGGCGAAAGCGGTGAGCTTAGAGAAAGACATCTTGATTGATATTTTTTCGACTTTGGAGAGAAAAAATGAAGGAGTTTGATAATCGAATGGTAAAAAAATTCACAAAAGAATTTGAGATGTTAGACCAGCTGAATGAATGTAAAATGCTTAAAGCAAAAAGAGAGTGTGGAAGAGCGAGAAGAGAATGATAGAACTTGAATGTACAAAGGCTTGCTTTGATGTGGTTGAAAGAAGAAGCATTGAGGAGAGCGAAGTCGTCGGAATATATAAAACTTCGAATAATACCCTTGTACCCCATTCACGCCATCGCGATATAGGTAGACGCTCTACCATAGTCTGTATGTATCTAATCCGTACTTCATAGCCTTGTCATCTGGTTGACAATGAGTGCCAAGAAGTCGAGAATATATTGACTATGATGCTGTTTTCATACCACTTTCATCTCTCAATTCCAGGCGCTTCCAAAAGGGATCAAATATTGTTTGTCAATGGGGAAGAAGATATTAATTCAATTGGTGGAACGAATTGAATTTGGAGGAAAAAGACTAGGATTACCCGCATTTCGAAACGTTTTGGGGCTCTTGGAGCGTTTTAGATTAACTGCAGGCGTGGCCGCAATCTCGTTAATCTAATGTTCCGATCTAGGTGTGGTAATATTTTACTCCTGATGTTTCGAATGTAGCTATATCACTGTTTCTTTTATCATCGTCTCCAGTGTTCATGACCTCCTTGATTCATTGTTCATCTGGTTTTTCAATCAATCGAGATGTATTTCCGTATGCCAAGCATAATGCATTGGATGAAGTTTTTGAAGCCTCGGAATCTTATGATACACTTGTGACTGTGTAGTGAAATATTCGCTAACTGTTCTACTGAAGGTCTAATTCCATAAAGTACACCAGTCTCTCGATGAAGAATTAGGTTTGCGATAGAATGAGATACGCAACTTTGCGAATTAATGTTCCGATGGCACATAACGTATTGCACAGATTGAGAGCCAAGGCCGTTATATTAACACTGACTCTTTCAATCCTTCCAAAAACTTATAACACTCGATAAGATGGAGTAAGCTTGCCAACCTAATCGCGGAAATGAAGAGGAATCAAATAGATTAGATGAGGGATCGGGGTGGATTGAAAAAGAAAAAACGCGTTACGAAAGTTTATTAATAATCCAGGGGTACACCCGGGTTTCCATTTACAGCAAAACGTCTGGTTTCTAACCAATAATGTCAGCAAACGATACCTTGGCATATGGCTCTAGCGCCCTATTGATTGATTTTCTCCGATTGGTTGTTCAAATGTTGGTGTTGTTCAAACGGAATTTATAACCGATATCCCTACATCGTGCACGCCCCTGTATCGTGCACACTTTATTTCTTTTAAAAAAGATATTCTAAATTCAATATATAATTAATCAATCATTAAGTTCTATTAATAATTATACATAATATATTATATTACTATTTATTTCTTATAAAGTAATCAAAATATAAAAATAATTATTATATATAATATAATTTCAATATTAAAATTATTAATACAAAAATATTATATATTAATTTATTCATTAATAGAAATAGCGAAAATTGATTTTCAATTTCTTTTTTATAAATTTGAATATATTTAATATAAAGAAATAAAAAAATCAAGTTTTTATATTATAAGTTTGATATTATATCAATATATTATTTAAGTTTTTATAAATAATCTTTTTTTTTAAAAAAAATTGATTATAAATCAAGTATTTATAATGATTTTTAATTTTTTCAATTATATAATATATAATAGATGAATTTTGATTAGAAAACTAAAAATACTATATTTTTATTAAAGATATATAGATATATTATTAATTATTAAAAAAATTATAAAAGTAAATATTAAGGATTATATAATTAATAAAAAATATTCAAAAAAGATTTTTTTTTAAAAATTTAAAAACGGAATTAATTGAATATTAATAAAAAACGAATATATTATAATAGTAAAATTATAATTAATAATTTAAAATCTGTAAATTATAGAAATATTATAAAATTTGAGGATTTGTTTTTAAAAAATAAATTCTTTTAAAAATAGATTATAATATTTTTTGAGTTTTTTTAAAAAATAATAGATTTTATTTATTAAAATTAGAATATTTGATTTCATTTCTTATTTGGTGTTTATAGATTAATTTATAATATATAATTATAGTTTTTAATTAATTTATTAGTTTTTAATATTTTATTATTATTATAATTTATATATTTTCTAATATATAAAAATTCTATTTTCTAATTAAAATCCAATAATAATTTCAAATTCTTAAAATCTATAAAAAAACATTTTAAAATATTTTAAAAAGAATTTTTAAATTCTTTTTATTTTTTTGAATATTATACATATTTTTGAAATTATATTTAAAACTTAATTTTTTATATTTTTCAGAATTTCAAGCTTTTTTTCAATAATAACAATATAAATTAATTCAAAAAACTTTATTTTTAATAATATAAATTTATTCTAATATAAATTTTTATTAAATTATTAATATCTTAAAATATTATTTTTTAAAATCAATTAATATTCTATTCGATATTTCAAATTTATCAAAAACTTATTATTATATTTAGCTGATCTTTAATCTGTTTTTTATAAATTTTAATATTATTATAAGCAGTTTTGGATTTATAATCAATTTTTAATTCAATAAATTAAAGCGTGCAAGATACAGGGTCGTGCACGATGTAGGGATATTGGTTACTCGCCTAACGTTCAACGTCAGTTTGTAGGTAGGCGTGATGTTTGTCCAAGTCTGATGAGATGAATGAATGAATTGAAACAATCATCCACGCTGTGAAACTTTTGATGAAGAATAATGTCGTCTCTGAATGGTACCCTCGAATGTTACCCTCCTACATGTAGAATGAACTATATGAATCTTGGTAAGCGCTTAATCCCGTTCCAATTAGTAAAGGCTTCTCATTCCACCCTTCAAGTATCCTCGAAACGCCCGTAAAATGCGACAACATCAGGTCGAAAGGAACGTCCCGCATTGTTCCTACGCGTATCGATGATTGACAGGTAGAACAAATGGCTCTGCGATTTCACCAACACATCTTGCAAATATTTATTGGCTACGATGGAAATGAGTACCCTTTTATACAAAAATTCAACCCATACTAGATATGGTGGATCCATTACATTTATCTTGATTGAGAGTCGTAATGCATACGTAACCTCCTCGCTGAATAATATCATTAGCTTCTCATATTTGCTCATACGTGCTCCCCTCTGTCGTTCATCACATGACTACATCCCTGGGTCATCTGTGTAGACCACATAAATTCTGTCATCTCTAGAGTGCTATCACGCCGAAGAAATGTTCAGTCTAATTGCTCTGCCACTTTTTCATTCTGCAATTTACGTACCACCGGAAATTTCCCTGACCATGAGTCAAAAGTCGAGTGAGAGATCTCTGGCTACAGTATTTATAATTAGCTTCTAGCAATTGCCATGAAGAGAATTTCGCTGGTCAAGTAGGCCTAGCCAAAGAGCCATTGAGGACTATTATGGCCTTTAGAATTGGCTGGACGAGCCGCGGACGACCAATGTGGCGCAATTCTTGAAAATATCGAATGAAAGGCACGAGGAACGTTGTAAACTTTCTGCTCGGTGCTAAATGAAAGCTACATTATTCCATTTCCAGATGTTTTCGGCCACTTTTCGGGACTCTAAGGTTGAGGATCTGTAGACGACTCAATGGCCTTACAACTGTTTCTCTCAAATCTTTGGTCAGTCTAAATGTTTATATCTGCCTGGCCACGGACCATATCTGAAGAATTGGTTGTTGGAAAAGTAGTCCTTCAAGCAACAGGATCTCCAAAAAGTTTCACAGAAAGTTTATAATACAGTAACGTGTACCTGTATAGACGTCTTTCTCCTCAAAATTTTTTATCTTCGATTGAACGAAATTTAGAGTGTTTTCATCTCATCACGCATAAGCTTTTTTTGTGACCGCTTCTTGCCATTAGTACACTTATTAGCTTCTATCCAGCATTTTATATTGAAATCCATAAAAGTAACTTCCAACAATGACGACAAAAAGCCCAGATCTTCAAGCGCAAATTAGCGCTACACAGAGGAAGAGGCGGGAAGAGAAGACGGGAGGTAGTGGATCTCTATTTTTGGACGAAATAAAACCTGATTCGGGGCCAGTTTTGGCACACCCGCAACCAAACAGGAATAAATACACAGTCGCTAAATTCTCCAAGGACATTGACCGTATAGACCTTGAAGCAAGCCACGAGGATAAAGCTGATTCTGAACCGGGTGCAAACGAACACTTGGCTGCCAGACGTAACACTTCACTTCAACAAAAATCAACTCCCAAACCAAAAGCACCCTCGACTCTGGTCCCTCCTCAAAAGCAAAATAACCACAAAATTCCGAGAAAGGCAGTAACGCCAAAACCAGTACTCGGAAGTAATGTTAGGCATCCCGGCGAGCTTGATTATGGTGAAGTCCTTGCAGCCCAAACATATCTCAGCTCCCAGTCTCTCTCAAACGTTGCAACACCCTCGCAGCCTAGATCACAGCACAAAATTCCAAATATACCAGGAAAGAGACCAAGTCATCATGGAGCCCACAACAATATAAAGATAGTTTCCAATGACAGTCGACCTCCAGACAGAAGGAATCCTCAGAATAAAGAAACCATTGTTCCTAAAACAAGAGGAAATCCGCGTCTGCCGCCTCGTATTACGCACACAAATCACGGATCCTCCGCTTCTCAACAACATCCACAAGTGCCACGGCCGAGGGCTGTAGCTAGTCAGCATTCTCGTCCCACTACCAGTGGTATGCAAGACTCTAGACAAGTGAGAGCCTTAGCGCCCAGATCTCATACAAATCAGAGGAATGATAGTGAGCCTCTAGTGAATTCCAGCTATCCTTCTGACAGGTTCGCATCATGAAAGGATAAGCTACATTTACGAGCGTGGCGAAAAACAGCAGTGATATGACAATTTCTTGAATTTTATTCCTGGATCACACAGAAGCTGAGTCGAAGAAGATGGCAGACTAGAGTCTGATTGCATAATAACAAACGGATCGAAGTCACATTGTAAATGACCAAAATGTTATGATTGTAGATGATGTTGATGTTGACTTTTATATCTTCGATAGTAACTGATGAGAATATATTGAAAATTTAATGGAGTTTCTCTATTATACAATTTGTGAGCCCCTAAGATTTCCTACACAATTCCCATGTGGTATCTTCTTTAAATCCAGGGGTTAACCCTCGGAAAGAACGATTAAAAGACCTTGGAAGAAGCAACCTACAAGCTCAGAGCGAAGTATACGGAACAATAGAAGTTTTCATGATGGTGTCGATGGTCAATAGGGCGATAAAATCATTTTGTATTATTGTAACCATGGCCAATGTACACTGCAGTACCTCCATAATTTTGATGGATCATCCTATGCACTTCTCACAAACCCAATAGAGAAGTAGTCGCAAATCAAATACTTCGAAACCAACCTCTCGGGTCTATAAAAGTCAAATGCGATATAAGAAATTCAATACCACAAAGTGCAAGATCAATAAACTCATAACCGAATTTTGAACAATGGGGCCATTAATGGCCAAGAAGTGGACAAAACTATAACCAGCGCCAAGACCAAATCATCCTCATACAAAATGGACGAACACCCCAATAACAAAATCAAACACTTCAAAAACTTCTATTCGCCAGAATAATTCGTATCGAAACATAGAGACCAAATACTTGTCGCGATATTAATGTGTACATCAAACGTCTCAAGACTGCCAGAATAATGGGGAATGGCAACTCAAAAGATAACCACGGTCTGGGAGAAACATATCTACATCGCGAATACGAATGGAACACTTGTATACTCAATATTCGAAAGACTACATGTTAAGAGATTAGGAACTTTTCCGTAGGAAGAAGGTAGTCGAAGTCAAGACAGGCAATCATTCTTCCGATATGAGACCATCACCATTACAATGACGAAATCCTTCCATACCGATCTCTTGATACGAATCGACTGGATTTAAATTGTTTTATGCAATACAAAATGAGTCTAGGCGTTCACGGCAATGTTAACTCCAAAATCTACGAAGTCTTACATGGTCGATTCGAGATCCCTTGGGAATTCGTATACATGTACTCGAGCGCCCTTATGCATGCCGCAATATATGTTGCTCTTCTAACACTTTAATTTCAAGTATTTCGATGCAATGAGTGCTAGGAGATGATGTTGATATCTAGGAACGTGGTCGAAACTTGGCGTCAAATTCTTCCTCCCCAGTAGGTAGCTTGTCCCTTGTAAATGTTCCACGATGTGAAGATGCTGCAGATTAAACAAACACTCCAGGGAGCTCGAGAACCATCTCCAAGACTTGACCAGCAATAAGATCATGCAGAACCAACCTCGAAGCGTTTTGAGAAATCACCGCCCTTTCATATCTTAGGTTTTCCTCCTACCAATCCCAGTCAGGACCCAGGAAAATTCTCAAGTGCTGTCGAGCTGCCGCAATTCCGAAAATAAATACATTGTATACATTTGGAGGTTATTTTTGAATTCCAGCGCCAATCCTGTCAATATTCAACGGCGCTTGCTTCTTGTTTCTGAATCGATAGTCGCCATTCGGTACCAAACATTACAGTCAGGTTCCACTCAAAGTCTCTTTTCGGAGTGCCCAGGTGGTTCAGAATCAATTTTCGAATGGCTGTCCGAAATGAATGAATAATTAAAGGCCGTATCGAGTCTTTTGGACTTTCATCCGACATATCGAGCGAATACGATAATGATGAAGAAATTGAAGACCCTCAGTTTGCTACACTGGGACAGTAGCAGCTTAATTCACAAAGTTAGTATCAATCAATCCGAAATCATGGACAGCAAATTGCTTCTTCTGGCATTCCATCCTGGCGATAATAGCATCATAACCGCTCAAAACAAAATAGGCATACAGTATAGCGCCGCCCCCTTTCGACTCAATTTATTTACCCTTACCCTCCTCCATATGTGGTCAAATGATGGAATCTGGTAGAAGGGGCCAAAGTTTAATATATCGACGTCGTCAGTAGTTTTTCAGAAAGTTTTTATTCGGAGTATTATTGGTTATGTTATTGAACCTTTTCATCTAGACTGATCTAGTGAACGTTTATTGGGTGGGAACAATAGACAATTCCCATGCATTGGTAGCATTGCATGGTCGAAACGACGATATGTCAACACAGACCAGGTCCGTCAATTTGTTAGTACAGAGTGAGCCAAGGATTGAATTACAGGGGCTAATTAGACGAGATCTGTGTTTCATACCCTTACCATTGCTTCAAGGTGGTAAAATCCCCATAATTCATCTAATCTCCTCTCATTTTCATCCGAGGAATTCGGATATCGGTCAGAATGAAGTGGGGAGGAAAACATTGGAAGGAATTGATTCATGTATGGGTCGTCACCCTTTTCAAATCAAAATATCCTTGCGAGCAACAAATATATTGCTAATTACCGCCTTGATTACTTCTTTTGTTCGTTCAAAATCATCCACAGGCATTTTTTATCCAATCTCGTTCAAGCTTTATGACGAGCATAAGCTTTTTGGACATGTTTCTAGCCCTTTTGCGAATTCTCCCTTGACTGCCTTCGCAAGCAAAATCTAATCGTGCGATTCATGAAGAACTAGGATGTCCAGTTTCTTGCACACAAGTTGAATCTCCACAACTAACCAGTTCATCTAATGATACAGAGCTAGGTCCCATTCCCTAAGGTTTGTATAAGTATCTTTCCCTTGGCCAGTTTGACCACGAGTTCTTCATCGTTCAAGCAAACGTTTCTTTCTTTACCCTTCACATTCATTTACACAGTCCTCGGTGACTATCTACATTCATTACTTCATTGATTGAAGCTTTATCCAACTTTTCAAACCAAACACTCATTTTTTTCACCACGAAAAACTCTCAAGAATTTCTTCCATCAAAATTATCAATCTCAAGATTTTATCATCAAAAATGTCTTTCTCCAAGATCGCTGTTGTGGCTGGTGCCGCTTTTATCTCTGGTGTTGCTGCTCACGGACGTGTCCAAGGTATCACTGCTGATGGTGTTTGGTAAGTAATAATCAAATAAAGTTTTTTAATTAAAAGCTTATATTCAAATAGGTATGAGGGTTATAACCCAGCTTTCCAATACGAACAAGTCGCACCAGTTGTTGCTGGATGGTCTGATCCAACTGATCAATCGAACGGTTTCATCGCACCAGATGCTTATGGTACATCCGACATCATTTGCCACTTGGCTGCCACCAACGCTCAAGGATACGTCAATGTTACTGCCGGAAGTGAGGTTAACTTGCAATGGACCACCTGGCCTGATTCGCATCACGGTCCAGTCATTGGTATGCTCATATCAAATCTCTTTGCATATCCTTTTCACTAATCAACTATCTAGACTACCTTGCTGCCTGTACCGGAGATGACTGCACAACTGTTGACAAGACCACCCTCGGATTCTTCAAGATCGATGGTGTAGGACTTGTCGATGATTCCACCGTCCCAGGTACATGGGCATCCGATCAGCTCATCGCCAACAACAACTCTTGGTCTGTCACCATCCCAGAGTCCTTGGCACCAGGTGCCTACGTTCTCCGCCACGAGATCATCGCACTCCACTCCGCTGAGCAAGCCGATGGAGCTCAAAACTACCCACAATGTGTTAACCTTTGGGTTTCCGGAACTGGATCCGCTGTCCCAGCTAGCGCAGATACCGTCCTTGGTACTGCTCTTTACACTGAGACGGATGCCGGTGTGAACGTCAACATCTATGCTTCCCTCGCTTCATACGATGTTCCAGGTCCTACTCAATGGGCTTCCGCTACTGCTTCCGTTGCTCAAGGTAAGCTTTCTATTTCCTACAACTCTTACCTTTTGCATCATAATTTCTAACTCAATCTAGGTACTTCCGGAGCAGTTGCCACCGCCGCCGCTGTCGTTTCTTCCGCCGCTTCTTCCGCCGCCGTTATCGCCTCTTCTTCCGCTCAAACCACCGCAGAAGTTGCCGCTACCAGTTCCGCTGCCCCAGTCGCCAGCGTAGCCTCCTCTTCCGCTGTTGTTGCCGCCAGCTCCATTGCTAGCGTCGCTTCATCAGTTATTTCCAGTTCCGCAGCATCAGTTGTTACCTCCGCCCCAGCTGTTACCTCTGCACCTTCAAACGACGTTACTGATATGATCACTGACTACGTCACCGTTACCGATGTTGTAACTGTTACCGTCACTGCTGCATAAAATTTCCAATCTTTTGATTGTTTAACATCAGTACCTTTTTTGACTAAAAAACTTTTTGATGATATGTTGATGGTTTGTTTTTCGGTTTGATTCGGGCTATCGGGTATAGCTTGGATGGAAAACTTATGAATGAGCTGGAGGATGAGTTGAATGGGCTTCATGTCACTTTCTTGTATATATTGTGTCTTGTATAAACAGAATTGAATATTTTTGGAGCTAAAAGTTTTTACGATTTGTGATTTTGATTTCGTTGTGAAAGATAGAAAAATGCTAGAATTACTCCGTACCATCTTCAAAACAAGGGATGAGATATTTGTAAATGACAAAACCGAAACTATCCAATGTTTACATTATAAGAATTCTGTTAATCAAAAATCAGTGTTTTCGGTATTCCGTCCCAAATTCTATAATCGAGTTGACTCGGAACTAAAATTCCTCGTATATGATTCGTGAATCTATTATTCTACGTCAGAGATAAATCTCTGCCATCTAGTGCATATAACCATTCACCACTTCTCTTCTTTCTTCCATATGATTTCCCTGCAGCAGTTGTTCGATATTCTTCTATGCTCTTCTTCAGAATCTCTGCTCTACGTGATTGATGTATGGAACGGATATTGTACTCGGTGGGCATGATAAATTTCCGAGTGCTGTATTACCATGATTCGTGTTTACTTGATGAGGATTCAGCGACAAAAAACCAATTTTACCGTTCGAATCTCTTCATAAACAAAGCCCACAGCTCGGTGATGGTAATTTCCTTGGGCTTCAAACCAGTCATTCCGAGTGTTGTCCATAACAAGATATCGTTAACAAGGTATCCATGTGCGTAGAGGTGACATTATGCTGAATACAGATCAACATATTAGCACAAAAATAAATTTTAGACTTTACATATATTTCTTGATTACGCTAAGACTGAATTCCCTAAATCTTCTCCTCTCCTATTTCTAGCGCATAAGTCACAACTTTTCTTTTGTATTCATATTCGTTCACACGAGGTACTATCTCAAAAGAGTCCCACTCATCGTCTTGTTCCCAGACTCCAAGTCGGGACTTTATGCTTTTTTTTTTCAAGGGAATATATACCTAGTTTTCGACTTCGTTTCTAGAGTTGCAACTCGAGAGGGAAATGTGTTGGGATTAGTTGATTGGTCGCGCAGGCGATGAATTTTCTTACTCACGGTGACGATTAAGTATTTACATGAATCTGTCAACACTTCTCGAGACTGACTACAAGCTGTGACTTATAGAGCTCATGTCCTTTCGGCCAGAATGAAGATTTCTTAATTCTTTTGAATCTCGAGCTTGTTTAAAGATAAGTAAAGGGTGACTCGAGTGGACTCAGGACCTTCAATTTCTTTCCGTGCAGGTTTCGAGCGAGTATTTGCTTCATTAAGTGTGAAGCAAGATAGTATATTCATAACCCAGAATCAATGATATTATCATATAAGAATAACGTATTGTCTCAGAAGGAAGGAGGAGTATAGCTCATGTGGACCACGTCGAAGTATAGTCCTCAAGTCTTTGGTAAGAAATTTTCGATATAATGAATCATATTATCTATAAGCTCGATTTACAATCTGTCTGCCATGTTTTGTAAAATGAGTCTTGTCTCCTTGGCTTTACTAGCAATGTCATCTACTTTCGCGTGCGAATAATCGACAATTGCGGAAATCTGCGAATTGGACGAATAGAGTTGTTGGATCAAGTCCCGCAGATTTTCTATCTTGAATTTCATTTCATTATATTTTGATTTTGTAAAGGCTTGGAATAGGAGTATAGTATTTCATATGGATTTTTTAATTTGAACTGTTTTTTGAATTTTAGATTTATTGATTAACTTTTTTTAATAAAAATAATATAAATGATTAGAATGATTAGAATGATTAGAATGATTAGAATGATTAGAATGATTAGAATGATTAGAATGATTAGAATGATTAGAATGATTAGAATGATTAGAATGATTAGAATGATTAGAATGATTAGAATGATTAGAATGATTAGAATGATTAGAATGATTAGAATGATTAGAATGATTAGAATGATTAGAATGATTAGAATGATTAGAATGGTTTAAAAAGTTTAAAAAGTTAAAATAGTTTAAATAGTTTAAACATTCAAAACATTTAAAATATCTAAAATATTCAAAAAATTTAAAAGATTAAAAAGGTTACGAATACTTGAAAATATGAATAGTTAAATACAGAATTCAAAAATTATTTTGGGCTGAAGAATCTATATGAAGTGCTATGCAGGGGCCAACGGAATGACACGCATTGTACTCACATATATGCAAATACTCAAGATGCCCCTTGGCTTCTCTTAGACGATTCAATTGCTTCAAGATCTTACTAGTATTGAGAGCCAATGCGAGCCTTGGTCCCCACTTCTTATATTTTCCAGTGCCTGTCAAGATGCCGTATCTATCGACCACATCTCGTAGTTTGTGAATTGACTCATTGCAAAAGTCCAAAGCAGCAAGACGTTCGGGGTGATCAGGTATTGAGGCGTCAAACTTTGTGAAAATTCTCTTTATGATAGAAAGCTCGTCAACAAGCAACCGGAGTTCTATAGGAGCATCTTCTGCGTCCTCAAAATGGGGGTAGATAAACACAGCCTTGTATGACTTGACCTGTCAATTAATCACGGTAATGACTCCACCAGCAGCCGCTAACCCTTCCATGTTGTGATAAAGATCTAGGAGGAAAATGTGGCATATAGAATTCTGAAAAATAATAAGGAGATTGAGATGAAGCATGGATCAAGAGAGGTGAGATGTTAAGGTTGAACTACATCGCATCGTGGCTGAAAGCTGCTACCACAGCCCTCCTTGCGTACGTACCATCACTCACGTAGCTGTCTACCAATTACCATATATAAATGGAAGCTGAGAATAAGAAGGTGAAATCAAGTAAATACAACTTTGTAATTAGAATTTCTTCGGCCAGCGCCTCAACCTTTCATGGTAGTTTGAGAAATGTTTTGAGCCTCTTGGTTTCCAGAAAAGAATCTTGAGTTGCAAAGACCAAATCATTTGGCGGCCATAAGGCTGATTTACTCATCACCAAGGTCCTATGATCGAGACTTCGAAATTTGGATTGGTGACTAAGAAGATGCATGTTGACAGATTGGTTTGGCATGTAGCTAGTAAGAGAGTGGCAGTATGGGCGAGATCGTTTCGAAAGAATTCGAGTAATGAAGAGCAATGTTTGATCGGAGTTGAGAATGATTAATTTTTTGGGGTTGATATGAAAGTGTTTGTTCGTGGGTGAGGAATCGTCGGTCAACGCGAATGTATTCACATCCAATTTAAATGCACATGGAGTACGCCGCGGTCACCCTAACCCGACACTTTTGGAAAACCCACCATCTCGACGTCACAGCATCAATCATTACAGTCAATTTTCAGACTTCGGCACTCCAAAATCGGACGGGACCCATATCCTCAGATGCTTCAACTATACCGCCTATAATCTCGCAATTGGAGATATTGTACAGCGGCAGAATGTGCGCTTGCCCCTGACACGGATATAGGTCACTTTCAGACCTTGGCTTCTTGCTCAAACCAGAGAAAAGAAGGATAGAAAATGAGGACTGGAAAGAATGAGTGTTGCAAGGGATTGATGGTGAGTTTGATGAACGAACATAGCCATTCAGCTTCGAAGCTCCTTATGTCTTCAACATCATCATCACATAGATCCAGATACTCAGCCCGGGATACACGTGTGAGACTCACAATGGGCGACTTGATGTCATCAGAACAGTGAGCAAGACATCGATGTACTCGCTCGAGCATGTATCGGACATCTTTACCCAAAAGGCTTCATTGATTTCAAATCACAAGATATATTTATCACCTCATGAGGTTTTACCGTGTACCATTGTACAAGTGAACCGATTCGTCTTCGCCGTTACATACGGAGGACAGAACAGGATTCCATTCAATTGTCTGAGCACCTGTGCAGGTGAAAGACCGTGACGACGATCCTGACCTAGAACTATAGCTCAGCCGCAAAACTTCCTGTTTGACGAAAGATCTTCACCATCCTTGGCACAGAATGAACCTTGAACCGTACAAATATTGTAGGCTTGCAGATGGATCATCGTGGAGACATCCTCTGTATACGGTACGTACGGAGCTCGAGAATCGGACCAAAAATTGATCGAATCACAGTCCCAGCTCATACTGACAAATCTATGGACAATTCCCATGCTCAGTGTTCCACTGAACTGTACAGTACCTGCCTTCAAATATCATCCTCTACCATATCGTAAGCTTCTTTCCAAACTTCCAGAAGAATGAAACTTCCAATGACCACATCTCATCCGACCCATCAATTCTATGACTAGCATCATTCACAAGCTTCTTTTTACCTCTGAAGCTTCTAGAGATTCCATAAAGCCAAACATAACCACTCAAAAAAGATCCAATAATGCTCATGAGTTGTCTAGACAACTGTTCACCGATGATAGGAGAATTCGTTCGTTAGTGGGTACCATCTTCCTTTCCTTTCTCGTAAGTTCACGAGACACAGTGCACATACACAACACATAGGGCAGACATGCGGCGCCAGCACGTCAACATCCTATTTTATCATTCCATTCTCTCCCCATACAGGACGCGGGCACGACATTCATTGGAGAAATTTCAATCCCGAGAACTTTATTCTTTGAAATGTTACATCTATGACCCTTCGATCACCCTCTGATGATACTCTGAGTATTTAGGATGAATGCGAAATAAGCAAAAGTTTTCATCCTTTTTGAATCATTCATGCAAAAGAGCTCCTCCAACAAACCTGTCATTTTCGTTAGCAATCTTTTTTTGCATGAAGATGCGGTGACAACAAATTCTTTACAAATGACAAGGGTAGAAGATAGCTTGATAGACTTTACAGAAGTCTCGAGAAGGTTGTAAACTTGTAACCCACTAATGTATCCACTAATGTATCCACTAATGTATCCACTAATGCATCCACCAATGGACCAATTGTACCCAATTTTGAATGGCCCGGGTATGACTAATCCATAAAAGGCTTAGTCAATATTGGACCCCCTCATGTTCATCGATAACCTCATTTTTTGACTGAAGACTGAAAAAATTGAAAATCTTTTATATGGTCTGGACTCTGGAAATTGTATGGCCAACTCTCCGCCCACTACAACCACCAAACATGAATGGATTCATTCACTCATTTACAATCGAATTTACTTGATAGCCCAATACGGTAATTATAATTATTATATTTATACGAGTATTTAATTCAATCATTACCGTAATTCTTCAAATATATCGATCATCATTGGCTGGATGCGTGAAAATTGCATAAAGTGGATAGGAAAATATTCCCATCCCAACCTATCAAGACAATTAACACTCACCAGTGACCACGGTGCACACCCAGGTAGGTAAATCTTTTCAAGGATTCAATAAATAAATTTTCCTTTTTACCTCAAATTCTTTGATTTCATTCACCCATTCATCTTCCGGTCCTACCAACCCCTCAATTCTATCCATACAAACCCACCCATTTCCTCCCAACCTTGTCTTTTTTCCTTGCTCATTGTTGGTCCCATCGTCCGTATTGGGAAAAAGAAAAGAGCTCACACTCATTGCCTTACCACATCACAAGTCTCTCCGACTTTTTTCTCCCAACCTGCAAGTCAACCTCACTGCATCTCCTCTTTCCCCCCCCCCCCTTGTGCTGCCATCTCACAAGAAGGAAGGAAAGAAAGTGAGTAGAAGAGAAAGTAAACATCCAGGTTCTCCCGGATGTCTCTTTTTCGATACATTTCTCACCTACCATACGCAATCTTCAATCCAACCATGTTCGGTCGTTTGTTAGGTCGTACCGCTTCCCCTCCAAGGGCTATTGGAGCTCCTCTTTCTCGCACAACTACTACTACATCAGGTGGAGAGGATTCAACTACGTCTGCCGAGCGCGATGCTAGGGATAAGGAAATCGTCGAGGCTGCTATCGAGGAGGCTGTGAAGAAGGCCTTGAACTCGGATGTTTTCTCAAATGCTATCGCTACCTCTTTGGTCTCGCAGATTAAACCTGCCTTCGAATCATCCATCAGTTCTATCCCTACCGCCATTCAAAATGTTTCCCTCAATGTTGATGCTGTCGATACAAAACTCGCTGCCACAGCTACCAAACTTTCTCAACAAATCGATGCTAGCAATGCAGAGACTGCAAGCAAATTAGCTGCCATCGAAGAAGCTCTTGCTAAGATTGTATCTTCATTGGAAGGATTGAGTGAGAAGTCTTCTTCTCCTCAAGATACATCGGTTTTGGAATCACACACTACAAAGTTGGATGGAATTGCTACAGAGGTTGCTGCTCTTAAGAGTACTACAAATGAGGAAGCATTCAATGCCATCACATCCGACCTTGCTATTATCAAGAGTGATGTTGCCGCCATCAAGGAATCTGACTCAAGTGCTACCTCCAAGGATATCCTCTCTGCTGTTAACTCTTCCAACGAATCTCATGCTTCCCACGCTGCTGTCTTGAACGAAATCAAGTCTGCTGCCGAAGGACACGCTTCAACTCTTGGAGAGATTAAATCTACTCCTGCTTCTGCCCCAACTGATATTTCTGGTCTCGAGAACTCCATCAAGGATATTGCTACTTCCATTGAGGAAATTAAGTCCGCACCTGCACCATCTACTGTCGACATCTCTGGTCTTGAATCATCTGTTAAGGAAATTCTCTCCACTTTGGGTGAAGTCAAGGAAACTGTTTCTGCTCCAGCTGCCGCTGTTGAGAAGACTGACATTTCTGGATTGGAAGCTTCTGTCAAGGAAATCTCTGCTACTGTCAATGAAATTAGATCTACCCCAGCTCCAGCTCACGAAACCATCGACCTCTCTCCAATTGATGCTCAACTCAAGGAAGTTGCTTCTAACGTTGCATCTATTAAGGAATCTACCTCTACACCAGCTGCTACTCCTGAACCAACTGATATCTCTGGCTTGGAATCTTCTGTCAAGGAAATCATCGCTACTCTCCAGGATATCAAGACTTCTACTGGTGCCGCTCCCAAGGAAGTTGATTTCTCTCCAATCACATCTACCCTCGAATCCCACAAGAGCACTCTTGAGGAGATCAAGTCTTCCGCTTCTGGACCAGTCGACCTCTCTTCTCTCGAATCATCCGTTGCTGAAATCAAGGCAGCTCTCGAATCTCATTCCGGTACTCTCAACGAAATCAAATCAGTTCCAGCACCAGAAAAGACTGATCTCTCTACCATTGAGAGCTCCGTTAACGAGATCAAGACCATTGTTGAGGAAATTAAGGCCAAGGAAACTCCAGCTGCCGAGAAGGTTGATTTGAGCAGTGTTGAATCTTCAATTGAATCCATCAAGGCGTCTGTTGAGGAAATTAAGACTAAGGAATATCCAGCTGCCGAGAAGGTTGATTTAAGCAACGTCGAATCATCTATCGAGTCTGTCAAGGCAATTGTTGAGGAATTCAAGGCTAAGGAGACCCCAGTTGCCGAAAAGGTTGATTTGAGCCAAATCGAGTCGTCGATCGAGTCTATCAAGGCATCTATCGAGGATATTAAGAACAAAGAGACCCCGGCTGCCGAAAAGGTTGATTTGAGCCAAATCGAGTCATCGATTGAATCCGTCAAGGCATCTATCGAGGAGATCAAGACTAAGGAGACCCCAGTTGCCGAAAAGATCGATTTGAGCGCTATTGAGGCATCAATTGCCTCTGTCAAGAGCACGGTCGATGAGATCAAGGCTAAGGAGACCCCAGTTGCCGAAAAGATCGATTTGAGCGCTATTGAGGCATCAATTGCCTCTGTCAAGAGCACGGTCGATGAGATCAAGGCTAAAGAATCACCAGTTCCAGAATCAGTAGATTTGAGCAAGATTGAATCTTCCATTGAGTCCGTCAAGTCCATTGTTGAAGAAATCAAGGCCAAAGAGGCTCCAGCTCACGAAAAGATTGACTTGAGTGTAATTGAGGCATCTATTGCTTCAGTCAAGAGTACCGTTGATGAGATCAAGGCTACTCCAGCTCAAGAACAAAAGGCAGTCGATCTTTCCAACATTGAGTCCTCTATTGCAGCTGTTAAGGCTACAGTGGATGAGATTAAGGCTACCCCAGCCCCAACCCATGAAGCTACTGATCTTTCTAACATCGAATCATCTATTGCTGCCGTCAAGTCATCCGTCGATGAAATCAAGGCTGCCCCAGCACCAGAGAAGATTGATCTGAGCTCAATTGAATCATCTATTTCTGAAATTAAGGCAGCTATTGAAGAAGTCAAGGCATCACCTGCACCAGAAAAGATTGACCTTTCTAACATTGAGTCTTCCATCGCCTCCGTCAAGACTACCGTTGATGAAATTAAATCTACCCCAGCTCCATCCTTCAAGGAAACTGACATTACTGGTCTTGAATCTTCCGTCAAAGAAATCATCACAAGCATCTCTGCTCAAGATGGTGTCTTGACTGAAATTAAGACTACAACTGAGAAATTCGACACCAAGGAGGTTTTGACTAAGGTTGAGTTGATTGCTCAAGAGGGTGTCTTCTTGAATGAGAAGGGACTTGGTCAAATCAAGGACAATGTTAAGACTATCGAGTTGAAGTCACCAGCTACACCAACATCGCCAACAACCCCAACTTCCCCAACCTCTCCAGGATCCCCATCATCTTCGACATCCCCATCAAAGTCTACCCTTAAGAAGAAGAAGAGAAAGGCGGCGGCTGCAGCGGCTGCTGCAGCAGCAGCATCAGGAAATGCTACTCCTGAGGCTAAGTCTGAAGCCGAGAACGAACAAACGGCTTAAATGTTCTCTTTTGATTTTTAATCGGTTCAGTTAGGAGGATATTTATGACGAGGAGAATAAGTGAAGGGTGTATGACGGTGGAGGATATGATGAATGTCTACTAATGCTGGACAAAATGACAACTATATGGAGGAGCTAATAATGATGATGTAATGGGGGGATAGTCTTCTAACATGTCTAATGGATACCAAAACTTTGTATACATTTCTATCATATTTTTAAGCATTTGCATTTGTATTTACTGTGGCTTGTGCTTGGTTTGCATTACACATATTGCGATGTTTCATTGCATTGCATTGTTTGCAAATATGCGAGCATTATACCCGTCTCTTGCTTTATTGATGCAGGTGTGTATGTATTGAGATGGGGAATGAGGTGATTTTATGAATTATGATGATTGTTATGGAAGATGGGAGATGAGTGATAGTCGGTGGTGATAGTAAGCAGTGGAGGTGAAGATGGTAAATACAAATATATGCTTTTGTCTTATACTTATGACTTTTGATTTTGTTCTGAATTGTATGTGCTTGTGTTTGTGCTTGTGTTTGTGCTTGTGTCTGTGCTTGTGTCTGTGTATGCGTGATACATGGTTGTACTTGTGATGCTCGCACAGCTTTAAAGATGTTACATGCCCGCGAAACAGACAAAAATCGGGCAAGTGGTGTGGTGTGGTGTGGTGTGGTGTGAGTTGATACCTGGCTTTTTCCCCCGGCCAATACTGACTTTCATAGAGGGTTGTACAATTGCTTTGGATTGGCGCGAGGTGGGAGGTGAGAATGCGAGTGGGAATGCGAGTGGGTTTGAGTCTTGGGGTGGGGTTGTGTATTGTGGAATTGGTTTTGTAAGTGTAAGTGTAAGTGTAAGTGTGATTGTGAGTGTAAGTGCAAGCAGGTATATGGATTTACTTTTTGGAATATGTGTGTGTTTTTTCTCTTTTCTGGGGAGAAATGGGGGAGATGAGGGGGGGGAGATGGGAAATGGGAAATGCTGGGGTTTATGAGCTTTGCTTTGTAGGTAGTTAGGTAGTGTAGTAGAGGGTTGGATGTTTTGGGCTGTAGAGAAGGGGGAATTGAAGAATTGATATGGGGGGTTTTTTGGCGTTGGATCATTCTTTTTAGTCTAATTGTTGAGGTATCTATATAGAGCGTAGCGGATGGATGTTGGTAAAGATTATTCGGTCTTTCTGTCTTGTTTCTCGTGTCCTTGTGGGGATTTGAACCATTTCGTTCTGAGTGTTGTTGTTATTGCTATTGTTATTCTCTCTCTCTCTGTTCTTGTTTTCATTGGCTGCTAGCCTGCTATAGTGGTATTAGTTTTGTATTTTTGATCCATAAGGTTTGTGTGCTCTGCTGTGCGTATTGCATTCTATTGTACTGTGTATTTTGGCTCGAGTCTTGGGAAAAGGAGGAGGAGGTGGCGGTGATAGACGAATGGACTGTATTGTATTGTATTGTATTGTTGCACCAATAGACGAAATTTGAATCTAATTTCAGGTGAAAACAAACTCTGAGTCTGAGTCTGAGTCTGAGTCGAGTCTTGAATCCAGATTCATCTTTGCATAATGGATGGTGGGGTTTGGATGGAGATTAATTGGGATGAGACTTTTGGTGCTTCCATCTGTTGTTCTATATTTGTGTGTTGGATTGGATTGAAGTGGAGGATATGATATAATATGTTTGATGCGGTGATATATCCTATGGAGATTTCTCTGCGGGTTTGAATCTTATTTTGAGGGTATGCATACAGATAGGAGTATCGAGGAAAGAAATTAAAGACGGAGGATTTTGGAATTTGGAAAATCATTCATCGCTTGCGAAAGGAACAGGAAAAAGAGAAGGAAAATGCCACCCTTTCATCAACGACATCGTCGATCTCCTTTTAAACGTACTTCATTCCGTCGTACTTCGTCCGGTTCGAGTTCTCTGAGATCAATCGCGGAGATTCAGTCTCGTTCTGATGATCGTGTTAAATCTTCGTTCTCACACCCTACGATATTGGGATGGGAGAATGACGATGGTTTGATTGGGAATATGGATAAGGAGAAACAGTCTGTTGGTTTTCGTCCGGTGGTTACAGTAGCGATTTGTCGTGATGAGATAGCGGTGATAGGAAGGGTGGATGGAGGGACTTCTCAGGTACTCCGATGCGAATACACCAAAGGAGGGATGGGGGGAAGAGATAAAAGTCCACATGCAAGTATTATATATCCTATTAATAGCCTTGGATACCCAAGCAGAGATCTCGACAAAGATGCAGATGATGGTTCACATACCTCTCGCTCATCTGTCCCGACGGTTCCGGAACTTTCGCCTGAGCCATCAACTTCGAGGTCTGCGGTTTCGGTTTCGGTTTCTGATATTTCGAATCTGAATGGTTTGGGGAAAAGTGATGGGGAAGTGGGAATATCGATGATGAATTCACGCATGGAGAGATGGAAAACTTTTGGGAGGGTGAGAGGGAAAGCGAGAGGATTTCTTGGGGGTCGGAGGGTGGGGAATGGGGATGGGGAAGGAGGGGGAGGGGGAGAGGGAGGGGGAGAGGGAGGGGGAGAGGGAGAGGGAGAGGGAGAGGGAGAGGGAGAGGGAGAGGGAAATGAATCAAAAACTGGGAAAGAAAAACGAGAGAAGAGAATAAGACCCTTCCTGAGGAAATACTGTCTTCATCCTTTTAGCATGAGGAGTAGTTTTCGCTTGGTGGGGTGGATTGAGGATCCGGTTGGTTGTTGTGTGGGGTGAGTGATTTTTTGCATTTATTATTTTTGACTTTGCTTTGTGTTGTTCGTGAATATCATGAGATCTTGGGGAAGGGAAGGCGGGTGTTTGATATAAAGTGAGAGGTGTATTGAGATTTTGAGTTTTGGGGTTTGATTACGGCAGTTGAGGTGGGGATACTTGTTATGAGGATGGAGAGGTGGATGGACATTTTTGCGTCTTTTCTTCGTTTTGGAGGTGATTGAATCTCTTGTTACTTATTTTTCTGCTCCATGGAGTTGATGTACTCTTCTCTTCAATTTTCCTTTTCTCTTTTCTAATTCTTATTTTCTGCTTACTTCCTCTCTCACTCCCTCTACCCTAATACTAAAACTAAAATCCCGCTTCCCCCTTTCACTTACTCGTACTGTCGGTTTTGGAGTTAACAATCATCTGTATATAGTCACAGCACAGCCTACGGAACGGCTCATGCGACGGGATATGGGGAGGTAAGAACGGGGTATGCATATGGAGGGGGAATAGGAGATGCGAGGTTATGGGATGAAGCGAGACGGAGCGGATGGGGGGGTGGATTATACTGAGAAGGTAGCAAGGGGCAGGGGAAGTAGACGAGGATGGAGATGGAAACGAAGATAATTATAATTTAATTGAGGGAAATTCCGCATGGGAAAAAAATAGTGGTCGCCTTAAGCCTTTTTCTGTTTCTAGGAATAGTTTTGAAATAGTGTATTTTGTATACATATTTTCATCTGAACTTCATTGTTCGATGAACGTTTTAATTACCTTCTTGATTTTTCGCCCTTTTTTTTTCTCTATTTAACTGTTTTTATCTCTCTATTCTTGACTTCTCATGCCCTTTAAAAAATACCCCTCCTTGGATTTGTCTCTTCTTCTCCTGTTCACATTCCACAATTACTTCTCCTTCACTAATTTCTTATCTTCCTCCCAATTTATTCCAATAACCAGCATCAGATGGTAATGCAGTGAAGTACAATGAATAGTTTAAATATTTCATAGGTCTGTTTAATGTTTATAGATGATAAAGCTAGGACGTGCTTGAGAATCACGCAATAGATACAAGAGCTGCATAGTGCTGGAGCTGGGAGGACATGTATCAAATATAGCGTGAGAAGGATACTTTAATTTAATGCTTGTAATATAATCAAGACAATACTAGATTCCTAATTCATGATTAAATCTAGTGTTAAGATGACATGTGCCACCTGTCAATTTATTCAAGTCTAAAAATTAGTTGTCTAACTGAAAGTTAAGTGTGTATTAGCTTGTTCGCTAGATGAAGAATGCGGGGTTGATGCAAGGGGAAGCGAGAGGACTTAACGTTTGTATTTTTATTGTATTCATAGTTGTTATAGCTATGAGCACAAAAATAAGGGCTCATTCAACTTAATAACGTAATCGAGAATGCTTCCTGAGGTTTAAATTACACATGAACTTCCAAAGCATAAATTTGATAAACATGGGTGTTGTCTTATATCCTCTCTAGTAGGTGTATCAAAGTTCTCTTTCGTCAAGATCATGAGCCCTGGATAATCCCGCATGGCTCAATTATAAATCTAAACATATTCCACTCAATTCGGACCCTTTTAATGCCCTGTTCTTGTATAATACACATCGCAAGTAAAGAACCAAAAATCAGCCTCTCATAAGAAACCAATCAAAAACCAAAGTAATCGAGCTTCTCACCCTTGCTCATCGACAAAGACTTGTGTGGAGCTTGGAGGAGTGGTGGAGTGGTTTGTGAATTATGGATCGTGTGAAGTCGAGCGACAAAAGTGAAGGGGATTGTGAATACTTGACGCAGAAAGGAAAGAGAGTGGTTCACAAGGATGGAAGTCTTCGGGGTTTAAGTGAAAGGAAGTGCAGAAAAGGAAGAAAATGGTGAAATATTAGGACGGTACTCGATAACGGGAAATGACCGACCTGAGATATGAAGTGGAAAAAAGGGGGGGAAGAAAGAATAATAGGCTGAATTACGTTAGGTATATTTCTTGAGTATAATCTCTGCTCCTCCAGCCCCAGTTTCTTGGAATTGGAATTGTAAACTCATCAGCCTGGATCTACCTACACCTTTACCTCCCTGACGGATATATACATGAGAGGATACTTTGATAGCATAATGTTGATCTAGTGTATTAACGCATTATACTATGCTGGGGAGTTCTCAGTTCCTCATTCCTGTTCTACTGATGTGTTCACTTCCTTTTTTGCCCCCTGAGAATTGTGACCAGAGGGGTAATACAGACTTATTATGATGTGGAAATGCGGAAGAAAAGAGGAATGGTTCAATAGCCCATGATGTTGACTGAATATCGTGAAAAAGTTTAGGTAATGGAAAAAAGTATCAGAGAGCTAAAGGAAAGGTGTTGAATTCTAGACAGGAGAGTTGAACGAATGGATAGCGAATGAACATAAAGGTTTTAGGGACTTCGGATGAAGAAGTTGACTGGTGCTACGATGATGGTTAACGAAATCTTTATGTTTGGGGGCGTCATAAAATATTTTTTTCAGAGCATTATAGTTGATGATAGATAAATTTATTTGTAAAGAGTCTATGCCACCCACGCAGTGATGCTTTAATACTACTATAGATGTAAAACTCTAGCCGGAGTCAATCCAAACGCCAACGGTATAATATACCATAGTATATCAGCATCTACTAAATTACCACCCCATTTTATTCATTATCATCATCCTCATCATCATCAATAGATTCCACAATCAAGTTCGCACTCTTGCCAACCCTCTCCCCAATTGTTCCTCCCCCCTCAATCTCATACACTTCTCTCGGTATGCTTTGCACTAGTCTGAAATTATATTTGTGTTCATATCCTTCCGGCTTTTGCCTATTGTAATCCTTGCCAGATTCAAGTAAATCATGACATTCGACAAATGCGTAAAGTTCTTCGATTCCGGAATTGGCTTCAAAACGTCGAGTGATTCTAGCACCTTCTGGCATTCTCAATGCAACTCGAACAACATTAGTTCCTGGCTCAGGTTCTGGTTGAATGGTTTGTGCTCGCCATTGCTTCCAATGTTTTCGTTCTTCGGCTAATTTGGCAGCAGCTTCTTCTTCTTCCTTCCTTCTCTTCTCTTCTGCTGCAGCCGCGGCTTCTGCTTCCTTTCTCTGTCTAGCACGCTCTCTATCTTGTGCTAAAGATTGCTCATAGGCAGAATCTTGTTCTTCTCTTAACGAGCGCTCGAAGTTTTGTGCTGAACGTTGTGCACGAACTGCAGCTAATTTCTCGGAATGCTGTCCCATCGCACTTTGTAGTTTCGCTACGAATGCGCCAGGTGCTTCTTGTCCAGAGATTCTAGCAATGACCGACATTGAGGTAGCTCCTTGGTCGGGTGTATGGGTAATTAAGGCCGTGAATGGAAATTTGGTACATCTCAAAGCTGAAGAGACTTGATATGCTTCTGAATCGCGTACATCTCCCATCCAAAATATTATGTTGTTGGTTTTATCCCCGAGAAATGAGGTGACTTCTTCGGAAAGTAAAGTTTGATGCACAAAATCGGATGTATCATCATGTTCCGGAGACATTAAATGAACAATAAGGAATTTCAAATCTTTCTTTGCAAGATCCAATGCTTGCGCATATCCTCCATCGAAAAATGGTATATTATTTGGTCCATATTCTTCCTCGAACTCCCGCTTTGTGCGTGTTGCTGCATCTCTCGGTTTGAGTGACCTCCGTCCCATTGTATTTGATGCGCCTGTAGGTGTGAACCTTGGTAGGAAAGGAAACAAAAATGCGAAGGCTCTATATCCCATCGAGAAAATTTTATAGAGTACACTGAATGGTGCGAACAGTATGGCGAAAATAAGATTTGGTCTTCGAATTACTTGATCCTCCGGTTGAGGAACAATTCTTGGAGCCGAGTCCACATTTTGAGCTCTCGATCGATTTGAGGATTCGTTGAGGAGACTATATTGAAGATTTTCTTGTCTCGAAGCACGAGGAGGTGGAACGTTTTGAGCTGCTAGTCCTGCTGCTGTCAAAGAATCATCTTCGCCGTCAAAGAACTTTGCGATTGCAATCTATCGAGAATTAATACAAAGATGGATATGGGATTATTGAAAGATAAAGCTCGAACTCTTACCTCAACGCTCCATTGTGATCTCTGCAATAGGGGGACTGCTTGATCTACTTCCTGACCAGTTACCGTAAGTAATTGTTGTAAAGCTGCCTGCTGTGTTTCGGACAGCTGGCTGATATCGGTATCTGGGGTAGCCATTGTTTGCGATGTCGGTTTGTTTGTCGTGTTGTCCGAAAGACAGAAGTTACTTGAAATATACTTGCATGTTCAGTAAAAACTAAGAATGCCGTAGTAATGGCCAGATAATAGTAAATCGTTTTTTTGTTCAAATTACAGTTGGTGTGATATCACGATTCACTAGGTAGGTATTAGCTCAGAAGTACGGATACAGTTCTGGAATTACCTATGATGATTGTTCAATAATTAAGCCACATATCGGAATCGGATAAACTAAACTCCCCCCCAAGCCACAGCAAGGCTGAAATTTTGGATCCACCTCTTTATCGGATCGCATTAACTTCTGGTGCATCACCACCAGCCAGCCAGTGTTCCCACCTTCAAAGGAACCTCCACCCCGCGTCATATATATTATAATATCTTCAGCCTCAACACGACTATTAGTCTAATCTTTCATTGGATGTGCTAGATGTCACATTGATTTTGCTCTGTCTGTTCCTTGGCAGGATTCTTTGTATAGCTCTTATGTTCAAATTCATTTCTACTTATTAAACCTCATACAAGGACCAATCTTCATCTTATTGGAATTTAGGAGATGTCAGCCAGATTCAAGTGAGCAAAAAGCATATCCATCACGTAACCCCTTCATTTTAACCCTTTTACGCGTCACTGCGGTCGATATCCTTCTGGAAACACTAAATGATACTTGAAACTACCTCAATGGTTAATTGAACCGAGCTAACATGATTACTTTTCATTAGGCTTCCTAAAGTGTCATTGGGGTCCGGCAGATAGTTCTATTCATCTTGAAGCAAGAATTTAACATAAAATATAAAACAATGGCGGCTACAAGATTCAATCAACCCGAACTTCGCAGACCGACGAGTTCTCCGAGGCCGAAAGGACGTGGTATGTTTTAGGCGCATTCTTGGGTTGATATACAAAGGGAAATAACAATGGATGTTGATGAAGCTGTACTAGAAAACGCAAAGGATACACTATGTCGAAACGTTCTGATATATGGGCATTGCCGTTATGAGGATCAAGGTTGTGCCTTTAATCATGATCCTAACAAGGGACTTGGGGGAATAATCGATCAGTGAGTAGATTTCAGTTTCTTCGGATTCAAATAAAGGATATGACCCTCTTCAATTTCGATCTCGCCAAACATTTGGACTTCTCCAGATAAATTTTACCTTGGACTTTGGGAATGATCGCCATTGGTATTGGAATTCGATGGAGTCGAATTCCGAGTGAATTGGCACTCTGTTCACTTCTATGGGGCCAAGCGTCCAAGTCCCATGACTCGCTGCGCTGGATATGATTCCTTTCCTCGCATTAGTCTGCCTCCATGGCAGTGGCTCTTGTAGAGCCAGCGGAGCCTCATTCCAGCTAAAACTGAGATTTATTTCAATGGCAATTGTAGACAATAACATTTCGACCCTTCATTGGAAAAGTTATGTGTTGCTTTGAATAATCAGACTGTTGAATGATTTTCAAGTCGTTGACACCATATACTTCGCAATGTGTGGCAGTCGCTGTTTTTCAATAATAGAAGGAAATGATCTGGAGCTGTGATAGTCCCCCGGAGTCGCCTTCATCGGTTCGAATATTGCGCAAAGCCTGTCTCCGTATTTATACTTCCAGGTTGATTTTACAATCGCTCAAACTCCTTTTCCACTACATATAAACTATTTGACTTCGGGGGTATTTGGACCATGGTTACTCATTTCTGGCAATTTACCCGGTCTCGTGGCTGGCTCCTGCTTTGATAGGATTGTCATGGGGGTGCTACTTGCCTATCCTATCTTCATCACGACTCTATTCGATTCCCACATCATCTTGATACCAAATACGATATTTCTACTCTTCGTTGCACAACAATCTCTTGTAACATCAAGAACAACAATTTTTATCGAGATGCGGGCTATGTTCAATAGAAATCTCAGAAAAGCAGCTCCAAGATCACGTTCTACATCCATGGATTGTACGGATCTGATGGATAGCCAAATCTAAGTTGATCACAAAGAATGGATAATCCATGGCACAAGCCATGGTTGGCCAAAGACAAAAAGAAAAATACAAATTTTCAAAAAAACCGCGTTAGCCCCATAAAAAGTCCTCGCAAAAGAGTTCGGCAAGATACCAGCACTTCAGGCTCGACAGACTATTCTCCAACCAGCAGTCAGACAGACTTCAATCATTCTTCAGTCAATCTGCACCCACAGAGTCGTTTTGCAAAACCTTATCATCGTGAAGACTTGAGATCGAATGAGAGGCCTGGACAAAAATCTCCATTGTCGAATACTAACTTTAACGATGATAGGCCAAAGAAAGCATTGAACGTAGATTCGCCTTCTTTCACACCAGCAACCATATCCTCATCCAATAAAGGATCATCTTCAATAACTTCACAAGCTGCAAATGCGGCGCCATTCACTCCTCGAGGACTCACGAGTGGGACTGCCACACCAAATGCACCACTTGACCCAGAGATACCTCAATTCAATCCAACACAGAGAGACTTTACCCCACAGAACTATGATCTCTCTCAGACTGTAAGTGGACTACTTCAGTCATCCTTGATTATTACCTCCATGTCCAACTTAGGCATGAGAGTATTTATTGGTTATTGAATAAAGTACTAATGTAGAATAAGCTACCCACCAACGGTGCCACACCTGAAGCTACATACGATCCTTTCTCGATGGGTAATGTCTCTCAAGCGATTCCCGCCACATTTCAGAACCACTATTCTGAAGACCTTGGCATTTTAGCAGGAGCAAATATAGCAGGTGGAGGAACAGGTGGAACCTACTTTCAAGGACAACCAGGCTTCAGTGTCCAGCCTTTAAATTATCACCAATACGCCCCGATTGGTCCACATACGGAGAATTTGACACCTTACCAAAAATCTATCCATGATCTTTTCCTATCCGACCGGCTTCGTGAAGAGCTTCAAAGAAAGTCTGAAGCTACTCATCAAGTAATGCCAAGTAAGCATGAGAAATATTATGATGGTTTCATTACTGATCAGATTAGATGCCCTTCCGAACATTGGTACATCACCGCATTCATACTATTCTCTCGTCGCTCTAGACACAACTCAGAACAGGAGCACCGCTGTTTTTGGTTGCACAAGTTGGGTATACAAAGCGCGTTCAGAAAAGACTGACAAATATTGCTGCTTGAGACGACTAGAAGGTGGGACAGCTACATATATTCCTTTCTATGAATAAGTACTAAAGATTGATAGGCTATACTCTTGCCAATGATAAAGCCATACGAGCCGTCAAGAAATGGACTGAAGTCAATAGTTCGGGTGTAGTATCATTCATTGATGCTTTTACTACACGACAATTTAAAGATGGTAGTTCACTAATCATTGTCACAAATTACCATCCACTTTCAAAAACTCTTTTAGAGCATCACTTTTCCACCACAACTACAAGCCGCTATAGAAATCAACTTCCTCGGATATCCGAAGACATTCTTTGGTCATATATTGTACAAATCACAGTTGCAATCAAGGCTGTTCATCAGGCTAATTTTGCTGTACGATGTATGCATTTGAGTAAAGTTATTCTTACAGACAAAAATCGAATTCGTCTTAATGCATGTCCTATCTTCGACATCTTACATTACGATCAACGTCGGGATATCAAGGAACTTCAATATGAAGATTTACATTTATTCGGCATACTTATGTTATCCTTAGCCACAGTCAATGCATCGATTACACCTCAAACCAACCCTCAAATTTTGCAAACCAACATTGATAGCCTTAGCCGAATTTATTCAGCAGAACTTGTCGATACAATAACATGGCTTCTCACAACGCCTTCTTCTCCGGAGACTAAAGAATTACAAACTTTCATGCGAGGGATCTCCGGCCGTATGGCCACTGCCTTCGATAGCTCCCTCCAAGCGAATGACGCATTAACCTCCGACCTCTGTCGTGAGCTCGAGAATGGTCGACTCGTTCGTTTAATGGCTAAACTCGGCAATATTAATGAAAGACCAGAATATGAAAATAACCCTCAATGGAGCGAAACAGGAAATCAATATACTTTGAAACTCTTCAGAGATTACGTGTTTCATTCGGTCGATCCGGAAGGAAGACCATTTACGGATATGGCGTGGATACTAAAGTGTTTGAATAAATTAGATGCGGGGAGTGATGAGAAGATTCAATTGACGAGTAGAGATGGAGAAAATTGCTTTATTGTTAGTTTCAAGGAGCTTAAGAAACAAGTCAATACTGCTTGGGGGGATTTGCAGAAGCCGGGGAAGAGATTTTAGCGTGGTTGATCAAGAGAAGAAAAGTCTGGCCTGATGTAAGGTGAATTAACGATGCATTGGAATCAAATAGCTGTCGTTTTTGGTCTCATAAACAAGGCTTATGAGAAGGTGACATTTAGTAAACTTTGATGAGGAGTGGGTATAATTGGGAGGAGAGAAATGGGATGGCAGCGAAATGTTGAATTAGAAAAGCACACGCAGGAGAAACAATCAAGGAAATTTATTTTATGGCATGTGTCTGCCTTGTGAGTGTGGAAATTTGAGGCTTGAGGAATAGGGGACGGGTATAGAATCAGATGTATAAAAGACCTTGTGATCGTAGTCCAAAATAGGCAGAACTACTGGCTAGATTCACCAAACTCTCCTGGCAGGGACGTCATGAATTATGCAAGCCAATACTCCGACATTCGTACTCGGTGTTCAACCGTTGGACTGACACCAATTCCGATCTAGATGAAATGCCCGTTGCCGGTCTCAATATCACGCCCTCAATGATCTCGTGATGCAGTCGCCACGTGATCATTCTCCAATTTTAGGCATCATATCCATATTCACTCAGAATTCCAGATTTGAAACCAGACTACCTAATCATTAAAATCTGGGAAATTGATGTTAGATGAATGGATCTTCAGTATTCACTTCTTTTATTTGAGAAACTGTGGGATAAATACGAGTGTTCTGCCTAAACTAAGCCGAAAATGATTAGCTGCTCTTGTTCA